CAGCCTATGTGAAGGCCTGTGAGAGAGAGAGAGAGAAAACAGGGAGGCTGGAGAGGTGACTCAGCGGTTAAGAGCACTTGGTGTTCTGATAGAGGACCTAAGTGGTTCCCAGCCCCCACGTGGTGACTCATACCATCTGTAACTCTAGTTTAGGGAATCCCATGTCCTCCTCTGACATCCATGGATACCAGACATGCATGTGCTACACAGACATACATGCGGGCAAAACACACACGTAAAATTAAATAAATCTAGGGGGCTGGAGAGATGGCTCAGAGGTTAAGAGCACTGACTGCTCTTCCAGAGGTCCTGAGTTCAATTCCCAGCAACCACATGGTGGCTCACAACCATTTACAATTCAATCTGGTACATACCTTCTTCTGGCATGTAGACAAACTGTATCTGTAATAAATAAATCTTTAAAAAAATTAAATAGCCGGGCGTTGGTGGCGCACGCCTTTAATCCCAGCACTTGGGAGGCAGAGGCAGGCGGATCTCTGTGAGTTCGAGGCCAGCCTGGTCTACAAGAGCTAGTTCCAGGACAGCCTCCAAAGCCACAGAGAAACCCTGTCTCGAAAAACCAAAAAAAAAAAAAAAAAAAAAAAAAAAATTAAATAAATCTAAAAAGGCAGAAAGAAAACTGAAAAAGGCAACAAAGACGAGACCATGTGTAAGGACTCAGGCATTATGCTGGCCTGTCCCGGTCACCTGGCAGAATGCACTCAGGCAGTACTCTGGAGGTCATGTGACCTACGTGTGGCCTTTAAAGATACCGAACCTTGGGCTGGAGAGATGGCTCAGAAGTTAAGAGCACTGGCTAGTCTTCCAGAGGTCCTGAGTTCAGTTCCCAGCAACCATATGGTGGCTCACAACCATCTGCAATGAGATCTCATACCGTCTTCTGGCCTGTATGCCAGAACACTGTATGTATAATATAAATAAAATCATTTAAAAAATGCCAATTGTCTAGAGATTGGGAGGCAATGCAGGTGCTAAACTGTCAGAATGTGTTGATTTCACTAAGGCTTGGTTTATTTTCAGAAGAGTCGGAGTGTGGAAATCTTGCATTTGACTTGGAAACATCCCAGTTAGAAGGGAGGATGAAGCCCTGCAGTTGTCCCCAGGGTCTGCAGGACCAAGTCCACCCAGCTGCTGGCTGAAGCCTGCTCCTTCTACCAGAGGACTTTCTGTTCTGAGGAAACACTGCAGAGCTGTCTCTAGATTGCCTCCCACACTCTGCTGGGCCCTACATTGTCTATACACCTGCTGCCGATGACAAGGGCCCACGCCACCGCCTCCAGCTTATTGAAAAGCCAGTTTGTAATTGTGCCCGTGCTGACAACCTTACCCCCAACCAATCCAGGTTCGTGCTGCTCTGTGAGCTCCAGCAGCGCCCAGAAGCTACCTCAGACTGCACGTTCCCAGATCTAATGCTTTGCTCGCAGAGGCAGTTCCTCAATCAAGCTCTCGGCTTCTCAGTCAGCAGGAAGGCTTATTTCTCAGAACAAATCAATACATGAAGATGATTTTGTCATCTCTGCACTCCATGTCTGTTCATTTGCCCACTAAACACTTGAGTGAAGGAAAAGGAAGTGCTGGACACTATCCTAGTCTGCATTCAACACATGCCTTGGGTAGTATCATCCTCACAGTCATTCATACATTGTCTTTCTGCACATACACAATGCGCACTTAGTAGAGCTGCAACACTAAATAGCAGTAGTTTGGGGGCAGTGGAGAGATTGCGCATGGGTTAAGAGCACTTGCTCTTCTTGGAGAGGAGCTGGGTTCTGTTCCTAGCACCACATGGTGGCTCACAGCCATCTGAAAATCCATTCCCAGGATCTGATGCTGTCCTCTGACTTCAACAAATGCAAAAACCACCACCACTACCAAAACCTTAAACAGTCAATCAGGAAAAATCCCCGGTGGTGGCACGAGCCTGTAATCCCAGCACTCGGGAGGCAGAGGCAGGCAGGCAGATCTCTGTGAGTTCGAGACCAACCTGGTCTACAGAGCGAGTTCCAGGACAGCCTCCAAAGCCAGAGAAACCCTGGGGTGTGTGTGTGTGTGTGTGTGTGTGTGTGTGTTGTGGTATATGCCTGTCATCCCAGCCCTTAGGAGGCTGAGCAGCCTATGTCTTTTGAATACTGACAGAAATACTTCTGGCACACATTCCAGCACCTTCTTCCAACCAGACTGTAGTAGTTTGAGCAGACATCAGGCAAGAGTCATAACCCTGGCCATGAAATGGCTCCAGGTGCTTTGTGTGATCCGGCCTTGCCTTCAGACTTCTAGGGAAGGGAGAGCAGTTGCCGGATTGAAACACTTCATAACAGTGTTGCCATGGATGAGGAAAGGAATCTCAGCAAAGGGTACAAAGTTACTGTAGTTAAACAGGACAAATAAGTTTAGAGACCTAACCTACTAAATGAGGTATATAATAAATAGCACAGTATTTCCTAGAATTTTTCTAGAAGATTAGAGTTTAGCTTACCATACACAAAAAACACTTTTCAGATAATTGACTTATTGTTAATAATAGTCACTTTATTATATATCTAAACCATGGTATACACACACACACACACATATATATGTATATATATTTTTTAAATAAGGGAGGTAACTTCCTGTCTGTCCTCTCCTGCTCCTCTGCAGCCCACTCCTCTCAAGTGTCAGAGTTTAACATTCTATCCCCACTGACATCAGTGTGGGTTCCTCAGGGCCCTCTCCCAGCAAAGCAGCATGGGCTTGGGTAGGGGAAATCTACAGTTAGGCAGAGAAAAAAAGGTCAGCTGTGGGACCAGGAGCACAGGTTGTACCACCCCTGCCGGGGCTGGAGGGTGTGATGGTTCTCCACAAAAGATTCCCTAGGGTTCTAGTTCATCACTTCTGTGTTTACATTGTACATGTGGGACAAGTGCACTCGATCCTGTATTCAGCTACATCCATCTGTCTTCTGAAGGAGGAAAAAATACAACAATCTTAGCCCAGAAGTATAGTGACTTTCTGTTCAGCTGTATTATTTTACTAGGAACATAACAAGAATTGACTTTGTTTTTTTCCCCTATGTCTAATGAAATTTTAAATTGATCAAAAAATAAAATAAAGCAAAGGTGGTTCCTGTATTCGAAAGTGATTGTGGGCTTCCCGTGCCCTGGATGCGGACAGCCTTTCCCGTGGTTGGAAGGCCCACTCCTGTCCTTGCCAAACTTGGACGCTGCGGAACACATCTTCCTTCCCACAGCTTCTTGGTCCCCTGACTGCTGACACCAGGTTCACCGAGTGCCCTGTCAGCACGGGGCAGTGTCCCCACAGTGGTATGGAAGAGAGGTAGAAGCAGAGCTCTGCCTTGAGGGGTTTTATGCTGCTCTAGTTTTGCAAATAGCCCATGAATCCCCGTCTTGTTCTCCCGTGAATCAGCCTTACTTGCCTTCTGTGGATGCTGAGAGAGAGGCCCTCCAGGAGCCTGTGTGGCGGAAGGCTACCTGACACCCCCCCCTTTGCCTCCCAGGTGCTTATGGACACCAGCGGGTCAGAGAGTGAACACCCCCACCACACAAAGTCAGCCTGGAGACACTGCCCGCTCGGAGGACTGTCAAACAGTTTTACGATGCTCGGTAATGGGCTCGGGTGTGGGGGACTCTAGCACACCAAGTCTTGACACCAATACCTCAGAGGGCTACGTCCTGTCCCTGTGTCCACTTGCTAGTGCCTGGAATGACTGTGTAGTGACAGATTCCTGCAGGGTAGCCCAGGCTGGCCTCAAACCTGTGATCCCTTTCCCTAAGCTTCCCAAACACTGGCATTACAGACACGGGGCACATAGTTATTCCATTATTTACTTAGTTGCGTTATTACTATTATTGTTTTGACAGGGTCTACGGAGCCTGGGTTGGCCTCGAACTTGCAACGGTTTTGCTGCCTACGTCTTCAGAGCGCATGGGATCACAGACGTCCGCCGCCGCGCTCGCCCGACGCTTCCCACAACATGGATTCTGACAGTACCTGGGAGACAGGGTCCACCGTCCTCCCGGACGGAGAAGGGGACAGGTTCCAACACACTCGGTCGGTATCCAGCCCCTGCCAGGGAAAGGGCGCGCACACGCCCAAACCCAGGCCGTGCCCGCGCCTTCTGCACCCCGTCATCCCTCGCCGTGCGCTCCGGTTTGCCGTCCTCCGACGGCGAAGCTCCGGAGCATCCGAGCTCACCTGGGGCTGGAGCTGGCGGCCACGCCCCATAAAGGGCGGACCCTGAAGCCCTCACCAATCAGCGTCGGCGGGGGGGCGGGCCGCGGGCGGCCGGCGGAGTCCGCCGAGGACCCGGGGGCCAGAGCGCTCGGAGCGAGCGAGGGACGGCGGAGACGCGCGCGGCCGCGGCGCGGCGGGGGAGGGGGCGCGGAGCGGGGGCGCACGGGCTCGGGAGCCTTCCCTTCCCCTCCCCTCCCCTCCCTCGGCAGGTCTCCTCCGTCTCAGCCGGACCGGAACTATGTGATCCCGGAAGTTCCGGGGCCATTGCTGTGTGGGATAAACAGTAATGGCGGAGGCTGCGGCTCCCGGAACAACAGCCACAACATCAGGAGCAGGAGCGGCAGCGGCGGCGGCGGTGGCAGCGGCCTCCCTCCCCCCTATCCCCACAGCCGCTGCCCTGTCTCCCGGGGTGGGCGGAGGGGGCGGCGGCAGCGACGGCAGCGACGGCGGCGGCTGGACGAAACAGGTCACCTGCAGGTAGGGACGTTGCGCGTCGCGGAGGGCGGGCGGGCGGGCGTCGCGGGGGCCCTCGGCGCGTCAGCCCCGTCCACCCCCCCTCCTCCACGCCCGGCCGCGCCGGTCCGCAGGGCTGGCGGCCCCGCCACCGCCTCCCCTCGGCCGGCGGCGCCGCGCTGCGCGCCCAGGGCACCGGCGTCCCCGTCCCCGCCCCCGCCGGCGGCCGCCTCAGGTCCCGGGGGCGCCGCGCGAACGAGCGAACGAGCGAGCTCGCCCGCCGCTGCGAGTCGGGCTCTAACGACCGGCCCGCTCGCTGGGCGCCCTGAGGTCTGGCGAGGGTCCCGGCGAGCCCGGCCGGCCCCGGGGCTTGGGCGCCCGGCCATCCGTTTGTAACGTCTTTTTCTGCCGCCGGCGCCGCGCAGCTCCCCCCGCCCGCTCGCCCGCTCGCCCGCCCCGCCGGGAGCAGCCGCTTGGGTCTCCCTTTGTATGGGAGCCGGCGGCCGGCGGTTCCGAGCTTTGTCTCCCGACCCGAGCGTTCGGAGCCGCCGGCGTTAGCCTCCCCTCCTCTCCTCCCTTCGATTTTCTTTTCCCCCTTTCCCTTTCTTTTTGATGAACTGCCATCGTTCTTACCGCCCCTTTGAGCGAGCAAGGAGATCCCGGGAGAGAGAGAGGAGAGGTTTGGTTCTGGTTTGGTAAGCGAGACGAAATTGATCGAAAGAATGAACGATCAGGTGGCAGTTATCGCAGTACGCGTGTGGAAAAAAAGAATTTTTTTCCCTCTCCCGGCTGCAGATATTGTAGGGTGCTTGTTGTATTGACGATGGAGGAGAAGGGGGGCTTTTATCGAGACAGGCTGGCTGTGTAGCCCCGGGCTGACCTGTGTATCGTTTCTGACGGCCGTAGAATTTCCTTCGGCGGTCCTTTTTGCCTCGTCCTCTCTCCCCCAGTGCGGGGATCTGCAGGCGTTTGATGATACCACACCCGAGTGTATTGATTTAGCCATCAGGAGAGACTGTAAGCTTTTCTAGCCAAAGGAAATCCAAAGGAAGGGAAAACCGGTATTCACCCGACAAGGACAGTTTCTATACGCAAATGCAGAAGGCTGTTCCTATTGAAGAACTCGCTGTGGGTATTAACTGAAGAATTCCCATCCGTTCAGGCTTTCATAACGTCAGGTTAAAGCTTTCCGCCCGGTCTTTTTTGTTTTTGTTTTGAGACAAGTTCCCACTTTGCAGCCCCGGTTGCACTAGCCTCTGGTCTCCCAGTGCTGGCTGGCTTAGGAAGTGTTACCACCCGGGTTGGTAATGAAATTTAAATACCTTGATTTGTTTTCTTTCATCTGCCGTCTTCACCTAGTCTAGTTCTGAATACCCATTACCAAATGAATTTCATTACTGATTTCCAAGTTTCCGTCTCTATGCAAAGCTCTGTTTCAGCATTTTCTTTTCAAAATTAGCGTGCGTTTGATGTGCCTGTGGAGGTCAGAGGGGACAATTTTAGTCTTTCACTTTGACGTGGGTTCCAGGAGTCAAACTCCGCCGTCACTTTTATCAGCAAGAACGTCTTGTCAGCACCTCTTTATTCTTCTAAGGAGTGTGTGGGGTGTGCCATGCAGAAGCTGGTGTGCCCCAGAATGGCTTGGGACTCCCTGATCCGACCGATTCTGTCTCCAGGGTTGAGAGTGCTTACAGGCATGGCTTCCCTTTTACTTTTCCGTTTCCTCACCAGACTGTCTCTTTAGCCTACATTTAGGGTCTAAATAAAATTGAAATTTTTTAGACTTATTAAGATTTAAACATTTTATTTTTTGAGACAGGGTTTCTTTTTTCTGTTAATCTGGCTGTCCTGGAACTTAGGCTGACTCTAATACAGATTCCAATTGCATCTGCCTCCCTGGTGCTGAGATTAAAGGCTTGCATCACTATGCCTAGCTTAGGGTCTTTTTAAAAGGGGGAGTCTAGCTGGGCGGTGGTGGCCCATGCCTTTAGTCCCACACTTGGGAGGCAAGAAGCAGGAGGATCTCTTGAGTTCTCGAGGCCAGCTACACAGAGAAACCCTGTGTGTGGGGGTCTTCCTTAGCACTGGATGACCTTGAACTACCTAAGCTGCCAGGGCTGACCTTGATTTTTGAGGGGGGGGTGTTGTTTCTGTGAAACAGTTTTGGCTGTCCTGGAACTCACTCTGTAGACTAGATTGGCCTTGAACTCGAGATCCACCTGCTTCTGCCACCCGAGTGCTGGTGTTAAAGGTGTGCTGTGTACCACCACCGCTTGGCAACTTTTGTTTTTTTGAGACAGGGCTTCTTTGTCTATCCCTGGCTGTCCTGGAGCCAGGCTGGCCTCAAACTCTGAGATCTGCCTTTGCCTCTGTCTGGAGTGTGTGCCAGCAGTACCAGGCCATGACCTTGATTTTAAGTGCTGGATTACAAGCATGGGCTAGGCCCAGCTCCCTAAGGCTCATTGAATTAATGGAGTTTTCTGGGTGTTCCTGGAGCAGTTGCTTGTGAACACTACATTTATGTCTAAAGACGACATCTTTGGAGGCTGAAAATGTAAAGACTGTCCTGCTGAAGCATGAGGCTCTGAATTCTGGTTCCCAGAACCCTTGTTAAAGGCCCTCACTGTGAACTTCATGTTCGGTGAAAGACCCCCTCCAGCAGGAAAACAGCTGGCTCTCTCCCCTTTTCTTGCATACAGATAAACAAAAATTTTCTTTGAGTATCTTTTTTTTTGGTTTTTACGAGACAAGGTTTCTCTGTATTGTTTTGAAGGCTATTGGTCCAGCCTGGTTTCTTTGAGTATCTTGGCTTGGGAAGTCTAAGAAGAATCTTTAATTCTAGACTAGCTTAGGAAATGCAGAAATTTACGTGCCAGCCCTAGATACACAGGGAAGTTGAGTCTCAGAAAATGACGTGGATGAAGTGTCCTTCACGATAGTTTCTCTGTAGCTCTGGCTGTCCTGGAATTTACTCTGTAGACCAGGCCGGCCTTAAGCTCAGAGATCTGCCTGTACCACCACCACCCAGCTGAGGTAAACTTTCTGAGGAAACAATGTGAAAAGCTTAAAAAGGATACAATACAGGTTTAGGATCAGCAAGGTGGCTTAGTTTAGGTAGCAAGAGTGTTTATTGTGATTCCCCAGGAGCCATAAGGTGGAAGAAAATGTCTTAGAACCTCCACACATGCATTGTGGCACATATATGCATATACAATAAAAACAAGAAACAAACTTAAAAATTTCTCGTGGGGACCCACACCTATAATTGTGTTTGGGAAGTGAAGGTAAAACATTCGGGATTCAAGGTCTCACTACATAGCGCTGGCTGGCCCTGAACTCACAGAGATAGATTCTCCTGCCTCTGTCTTCTGAGGACTAGTATCAAAGAAGTGCCCTCTGCATAGCTTTGCTTAGACTAGTCATCTAAAAATTTGTAGTCTCTTATGGTGGCATGCAGAACTAGCCCTTCTGAACTCAGTTCTCATGGTCAGTCAGTAGTAGGCTGAGGCGGGGTGTCGTCTTGACCAGATCAGCCTAATTGAAACCAGGTTACTGGATATGCTTTAGGCTTACATGCTTGGCATTATTTTCTGTTCTAGTTGCCAACATGATCTCTTTCTCCTTGAACAGAGGAGTGACAACTGAGAAATCTTTGTTGTAAGCGTTGAGCTTTGAGCAGGGCTTTTCCTCAGAGCCCGGCAGAGCTAGCGAGTGCTCCAGTTGATGTTGGTGCAGTTAGAACTAAAGCCCTCTTAGGACTTTAACAGTACTCCACCTTAGCTAAAAAGTGTGCTGGTGCTGGAGAGAAGGCGGCTAAGAGCACTTCTTGCTGCTCTTACAGGGAGATCCAGGTCTGCTTTCAGCACCCACCTGGTGGTTAGCAACTGACTGACTGTAACTCCAGTTCCAGAGGATCTGATGCCCTCTTCTGGTCCCTGTGGGTAATGCTGGCATACAATGCAGATACAGATGTCCATGGAGGCAAAACACCCACACACATAAAATGAAAATAATTAAAAAAAATTTTTTTTTGGTTTTTCGAGACAGGGTTTCTCTGTATTGTTTTGGAGGCTGTCCTGGAACTCGCTCTTGTAGACCAGGATGGTCTCAAACTCACAGAGATTCACCTGCCTCTGCCCACCCCCCAGTGCCACCAACACCTGAAAAAGATTTTTTAAAGATTTATTATGTGCACAGTGTTCTGCCTGCATTTCTGCCTACATTTCAGAAGAGGGCACCAGATCTCATTATAGATGCTTGTGAGTCATCATGTGGTTGCTAGGAATTGAACTCAGGACCTCTGGGAGAGCAACCAGTACTCTTAACCTCTGAGCCATCTCTCCAGCCCATAAAATCTTACAAATGTAGAAATGTCTACCTACAAGCATCCATGCATCCACTCTATGCATTTCTTAAAGTACACTTTTGAGTTGCTAAAGGGAGAGGACCCATTAGAATATGCTTATCTTTCTGGGACTACCTTATTTAATTTAGACTTTCATCAAATAAACTGAGTGTACACTGTGAGTTTATTGCAGAGATGGACCTGTAAATATTTTGAGTGTGTGTGGTAGCTGCACCCGTTTCTGAGAGAATGTGCAGCATGTGTAGGTGTCTGCATGAGTGCTAGTGCCCTTGGAGGCATCAGATTGATTCCCCCTGGAACTGGAGTTACAGGCTCTTGTGGGCTGCCTCAGGTAAGTGCTGGGAACCAAACTCTGTAACATCCTTTGTGCTCTTAACCACTGAGCCCACGCCCCACTCCGAGGAAATTATTTTCTATGCCTAGACATATTCCTTTTTAAAATTTTTGCTTAGATAAGAATGTTGATTTTGTTTCTTAAGATTTATTTGGCAGAGAGATCTCTGTGAGTTCAAGGCCAGTCTGGTCTACAGATCAAGTTCCAGGACAGACTACAAAACCTACACAGAGAAATCCTGTCTCAAAAAAACAAAAACAAAAAACGGGGGGGGGGGTTCTTTATACACTTTATGTATATTTTGTCTGCATGAACATCTGCATACCAGAAGGGGACCTTGGATCCCAATCCCATTGGACTGTAGTTATAAACTGGTTGTGATCCACCCTGTGAGTGCTAAGAATTGAACTTGGGACTTCTGAAAGATCAGCTAGTGCTTTTAACCCATGAGCCATCTCTCTAGCCTCTTTTTAGATTTTAAAGGATCATTTACTTCTAATATGTGTGAGTGTTTGCCTGAATGTGTGTATCTGTACAGTGTGCATGCCTGGCAGCCACTGAAATCAAGAGTGCTTAAGAGCCATCGGAACTGGAGTTAAAGTTGGTTCTAAGCCACCATGGGTTCTGGCCATCAAATCTGGGTCCTCTGCAAAAAGCAGCAAGTCCTCTTAACCAGTGAGCCAACTCTCCAGTCCATGGATGTTCTCTTTGTTATGAGACAGGGATCTTACTGTGTGCCTCTGGCTGTCCTGGAACTCCCCCTATTGAGCCCAGGTTTGCCTCTGCCTCACAGATCTGCCTGCCTCTCACTCCCAGTCAGTGTTGGGATTAAAGGCATGGATATGCTCCCCCAGCTCGGGTTCATTTTTAATCAATCAATCTCTCTTTCTCATTAGCTACTGTTAATGCTCCTGAAATCCTCCTGGGTTTTGTTTGTGCTGCCTAAGAAACGGATGCCTTTGCTGAGAAACTGAGTTATGCTGCCCCCACCAGGCTGGCTTTCCTCTCTTATTAGAGAGATGCTGCTAGCTGCCTTGGGTGTGGGATGGAGACAGTTAATGTTTACTTACTGACTTTTGAGACAGTCCTCACTGTGCAGCCTTGGCTGACCTGGAAGTCAATGCATACACCTGTTTTGTGTGTGTCCGTGTCCGCTGTGACGTCGGTCCCCTTGGAGCTGGACTTTACACCAGCTGGGCACCACTTAGGGTGGGTGTTGTGAACCAAAGTCAAGTCCTTTGCAAGAGCAGTGCAGGTTCTTAACCACTGAGCCCTCTCTTTAGCCTCCAAGCTGTAAATTATTTTAATTATTTTGTGTGTTTAGCCTGAGCGTGTTGTCTGTGCCACATGTGTGCCCAGTGACCATGGAAACTGGAAGAGGTTGTCAGAACAGTTGCGAGCCACCATGGATGTAGGTGCCTGAAATGAAACCCGAGGCCTCTGGAAAGTGGAGGCATCACTCACTCTTCACTCCAGCTCCCAAGCTGTGACTTTTAACCTATTGCTTCTAAAATAGTAAGTCTTCTGGCAATTGAAATAACACAGAGATTCTAAGTGGATTCTTCTCCATCAAATGCTTGCTGATTTTTGAGGCAGTCTTCAAATGTAGCTCGCCTAACATCCTCCTGTCCCACTCCCACATACTGACTGGGTTAAAGTCATGTGGCAGTATCGGCCTTGTTTTTGTTTTGTCTTTGTTTGAGACTGACTTTGAACTCCAGATCATAAGAGTTGATTTTGTTTTGTTTTTTGAGACAGCCTTGTCTGTCCTGAACTCACACTGTAGCCCAGGCTGGCCTTGAACTCAAAGAGATCACTGCTTCCCGGGTGCTGGGAGGATTAAAGGCAAGCGTCTTTCTCTTTGTTCTCCTCTTTTGGTCTTTCTGCCTCTACCACCTGAGAGGTGGAATCGCAGGCATGACCATCATCCCTGGTTTCATGTAGTGCTGGGAACTGGACCCAGGGCTGCTTGTATGCTAGGCAAGCATTCTGTTAATTGAGCTTCATCCCAGCCCCAAGTTTTGATTTTTTTTTCCCACAACAAAAAATGTGACTAACCAGACTTTGGGATCACAATATACCTTTAAAACAGAGGGATTCTAGAAGTACCTTACTCATGTGTCACATTGCTCTGACTAAAAATATTTTTTTTCTTTTTGAGACTGGGTCTTACTATGGCTAGCCTAGAACTCACTGTGTACACCAGGCTGACCTCAAACTCAACAGAGATCTGTGTAAGCATTTTGACGGATCAGATGTGATGGACAGGGATGGATTATGGCACTCGGGAGCCAAGGAATACCACAGGTCACAGTAAGCATAGCAGCTGCTTACAGTCTTGCTTCAGGGAAAGGCTTCCCTAGTGTATCAGCTCTGCTCTGGCAGGAGAGGGTCTTCCTGGCGAAGTTGTTACAGTTCAACTCTATTCCCCAGAGAGTGTAACAACTTCAGTTAGCCAGGGGAAGGCTTACCCCAGTGAAAAGTGTTACAGTCCTGCTCTGCTCTGCTCTACCCAGGGTCGTCTCTGCTCCAGCGAAAGAAGGTCTCTCCCAGTCCTCACTCAGGAGATTTATTGGGAGGGAAGAATCCAGGAGAGTGGCTGCCTCTGCCAGGGTGGCAGAGGACACCTCAGCAGCCTCAACAGCCACAGGGGTTATATAGGGCTTCTTGGGGCGGAGGAGCGGAGTTTTCCAGGGTAGGTAGGGGTTGATCAGAATTCAATCCCTGAGTTTAGGATGGCTAGAGCTCCTCCTGCTCAGGGATTGGTTAGTTTTCTGCACAGGGTTAGGGTCAGATTTAGCTCTGGTTTCAGGGCCAAAGTGTGTTTCTTTCTCTGGTCCTTTTTAGCCTTTTGGCTCTAGTTTTAGGACCAGGGTGCATTTCTTTCACTGGCTCTGATTCCAGGGGCAAAGTGTGTTTCTTTGGCACTGCTCAAGGCTTTTGAGAGTATCTCATAGCCAGGCCATCCGTGAATGCCTGGCATCCTTGTCCCCGGTGCTGGGAGGCTTGTGCCACCTCACTGTTTGGGGGGAAAGTCTTGGAAGCCCATTTCCTTTTCTTCTTTGCCTATTGTCTGTTACATGTTACGCTGTCTCATAATGTCTCACCTTTACAAAAAAGGGATTTCACTGAGGCCTATTTGTACTTCCTTTTTTAATTCCGGCTGGACTGAAACTCACTAATCTAGACCAGGCTAGCCTTGAGTTCACAGAGATCCATCCAGCTGCCTCAGCTGGGATTAAAGACACGTTTCACTTTACCTGTTTCTATAGTCCTGGTTATGGTTAGTGTTATAGAGAATGTTAGTGTCACTCAGAAAAGGCATGTGATCACATTAAACTAAACACTCAGGTGAGCCGTGACTCATAGCTGTCTTCCCGCTTCAGCCTCTTGGAATTACAATATGAGCCACCACCTCCAGCTTTGCCTCTAACATTGTTATAGGTAATTTTAATAAATAGGTTTTAAAAAAGAGGTTCTACAGAGTTCAGGCCTTTCAAGACTAGCAAAAAAAAAAAATAGTGTTATAGTTGCCTTAGGTTACACCTTATAGTTAGGTCAGGTTAGACCTGAGATAGTTGAAATGAGGCTAGGGCCCTACTGAGTTCTTATGCTTTGTTACAGCCTGTTATAGGGTGGAGGATCTTGGTAATTGAAATAGTTTCCAAGAAGACATGGGATGCTTTTTCTTTCTTCTGTTATCTTCTGCAGCATTTGTTTTGTTGTGGGGGAAATCACCAGCCTTACACATGCTACGAAGCTCGCTCTTCTGTATACAGTCAGTTCAGTGGAATGTGTTAAACTGTTTCCATTGCTCTTCTCCTCATAGCTGTGGCTCAAGGGTACAGCAGAGTCCTCTTCGAGGCCATCTGCCAGGGTCCGGTCTGTATCAGTCCTACACTGCAAGAGCCATCTACTGATGTCTTTCAGGCTGTGTTTGGAACCAGCCAAACAGCCCTGGGTCTGACCTTGAGAGAGGGGGAGTGTGGATCAGGGAAGTCCTAGCTACCCAGCAGCTTTAAGGAGATAGATACCATGTCAGAGAGCTCTCAGTCAATACTGGAGAGACCAGTATTTATTCAAGCATCCTAAATAGCTTTCCAAAAGCCGGAGAAGACGTCTATTATCATGTATAATAGGGCTGACTAGGAAACACTTCCTTTAACCCTAGAGAGGTCCTAGAATGCACGTACACAAGCCCTCAGACATTCCATAAAGGCGCCCCACTAGCCCTCATGATGGGCGTGGGGCCAAGATCTATTGTTACACAAACTAGAAGCCATTCTCTACTGTAGTCAGGCCATTGGGAGGTAACCAGCCTATATCTAAAAGACAATAGGAGATTCGAGCTCCTGGAATTGAGCTGAGGCCTAGATCCGAAATATAGTCCAACCACATTTACATCCAAGAAACAGTTACTATCTTCCTCTGGCATGCCAAAAAGTGACTTTCATTGTCTTGCTCAGATCAGGGGATTGGAAAATAGACTCTTTCCACTTCTTCATCTACAGCGCAATTTAGAATTGCATTAGATACTAGGTAGGGTTGGTAGGGTCTTAGATCATGTCTAGCAAATGCTCAGGTGATGGTGCTACTGTTTGTGTCTAGAAACTGCTAATCATGCCTGCCTATAATCCCTTAAAGTTGCTGGCCTAATTTAGCTAGTTTTCATATGTGGTTTTTAGAGAGAATTAAAATTTGTTTCCTTGACAAAGTCAAATATAAAAGAAATATAAAAGGTAGCCGGACTCTTTCTAGTCTATGTGGTTTCTTTATCTTTGATGTGCTTTGCAGATAATCATGGTTACGAGCTGAAGTTAGTGGAAAATACGAAGCTACCACCTAAGACTGTAAAATGAGGACAGTAGGTCAGAGTTGACCTTCAGCGAACAAGATAAATGTTTAAAATCTTTAAGTTGGGGATCTGGGGAGACAGATGAGTCTGTGATAGAGTGTGTGTGTGTGTGTGTGTGTGTGTGTGTGTGGCCCCGGTTCATTTCCCCACCCCCACCCCCATCCCCCCAAAAAGGACCTCTGCATAAGCAAATGCCTTTCAGGGCAGGAGCCTTGATCCTATACTGGCTACCTGGCCTAGACTGACTTCGTGTTTGTTTGATAGTTGTGAACATACCAGGACAATGTGCTGGTGATGAGTTCTTTGAGAGTTGGCTTTAATTTTCTAATCTAGTTTTTTGGTTCTTGTCTTACAGATATTTTATGCATGGGGTTTGTAAGGAAGGAGATAACTGTCGATACTCCCATGACCTCTCTGACAGTCCATATGGTGTAGTGTGCAAGTATTTTCAAAGAGGGTACTGTGTTTATGGAGACCGCTGCAGGTAAGGATTTGTTTTATAAACTGGCTTTTGTTAAGGGTGGGTTGAGGAAGAGATGAAAATAAAATATATAATCCTAGTAGCTTTGAATATATAATTCTAGTAGTATTGTGTGTAGCATTCTAAAAATGTTTATGCTTTGAAAAGTACTTATTTGATCAGCTGTGGTGTCACGTGCCTATAAGCCCCGATACTGGAGACTAAAGTTAGGATAGCAAGTTTGAGGTTATAGCTTAGTGGCAGTGTACTTGCCTAGCATGGCAAAGTTCTGGGTTCACTCTCCAGGTACTGCTGAAGAAGAGAAATAATATTTGCTAGCAATGTTAGTGCACTGCCAGAAACCTGTGTCACATGTGACAGAGACTCATTTGTGATGTGGCTCCTCGCAGAGACATTGGTTCTTTGTAGTGGACCTTTCCCTAGGGCTGCTGCCATGTCCTTATAGATTGGCAGACAGCTTTCTTCAGTGCTAGCAGTCAAACTGTTACACATAACTGTATCACATGTTAAAGTACGTTTTGAATATGGTGGTTAAGTTTAATGCTTGTGGAACAGTCTCCAGACTTAACCTCTTAAGTGTGGGGAAGATGAATTTGCATGTGTTGGTCTATGCCTATTAATCCCAAGATTTAAGAAGCTAAGACAAAAGGATTGTCATTGCCAGCCTGGGCTATAGTGCAAAACACTCTCAAAAAAAAATTAAAATAAAGCACGTAGTATGTGTCCAGGCTAACCAGGACTGTATAGTGAGACCCTGTCTCAGAAAATGGGAGGCAAACAAGGCGGAGATTGGTGTGAGGTGTGTAGTGACTAGGTTATCTTATGTAGTTATCTTCTCCTGGCGTGAATTATGAGGGAGATGGGTCTTGGGCATTTAGAGTGCTGCATGAATCCCTCACCCATTCCTTCCCTTTATGTTCTGGGGATGAAACCCAGGGCCTCATCCTTCATATGCTCGCTCATTTGTCTAAAACTATTTAACAGCCTGAGCTCAGGAAACAACATAGGCTTAGGTAGGAGTACTCTAGGGAAAATGCTTCCCGGAATACCTCTCAAGTATTTGCGTGCCAGTAGGGATTTGTTACTAAGCAGTCTCTACCATTAGGCATGGTATTGCTGTCATAATCCTGGCACCTGATATGGTAGTGGTGTGTTGAAATTGAATAAAGCAGATCTTCCCAGGTCAAAAGGTGTCTGTGTGTACTGTTTATCCCCTGAAGTTAAATGAATAACTCACATGTAGAAGGTTAAGACAGTAAGCATTTATTGTCATCTCTGGAGGCCTGCAATCGTGGTTCAGTTCGGAGATTTTAGGGGATGGCAGAGCTTTGATCAGGGTGACAGTCATCTCCTGGCTTGACAGATGAGGCTCATTTGTGATGTGGCTCCTGGCAGAGACATTGGTTCCTTGCTAGTGGATCTTTCCCTAGGATGCTGTCGTGTCTTTATAGCTTGCAGACAGCTTTCTTCAGTGCTAGCAGTCAGAGAGGGCTCAGCAAAAGCTACAGTGCCTCTTATGTCCTAGTCTCAGGAGTCACACACACTCTCACTTCTACAAAAGCCTGGACAAAGTGAGTTCAGCCACATTGAAGGGAAGAGTCTTGGATATATGTATACATACATACATACACACACACATACATACATACATACATACATACCACAGTAGGTAAGATTTGTATGTATCACAGCCCCAGACAAAAGATGAGTGGATAGCCGGGCAGTGGTGGCGCACTCCTTTAATCCTAGCATTCGGGAGGCAGAGGCAGGTGGATCTCTGTGAGTTCGAGACCAAGCCTGGTCTACCAAGCGAGTTCCAGGACAGGCTCCAAAACAATACAGAGAAACCCTGTCTCGAAAAACCAAAAAAAAAAAAAAAAGATGAGTGGATAGATAGATGGATAGAAAGATACTGTGGTAATGTCTAACACTTGTAGTCAGTATCACAGCCACATGGATGGGTGGGTGGGTAGAAAGAAACCACTATACTGGGTAAGACTTGAAGTCAGTATCACAGCCACAGATAGATAGACAGACAGACAGACAGATAGGATAGACACATACACAGAGTCAGCTATTAGGTTAAAATGTTTAGAAGTCATCCTGTATTTATCTGGTAAAAAGTAAGCCCTCCAGCCGAGTGGTGGTGGCACACCCCTTTAATCCCAGCACTGGGGAGGCAGAGGCAGGCGGATCTCTGTGAGTTCGGGGCCAGGCTGGACTGACAGCCTCCAAAACAATACAGAGAAACCCTGTCTCGTAAAACCAAAAAAAAAAAAAAAAAAAAAAAAAAAAAGAAGTAAGCCCTCCAATAACTAACTATTTAGGGGTCAGAAATGGATCCCTCGGTGTCTGAGCCTAATGGGTAGACTTTTGTTACAGTGCTAAAAGGAGGAGGTGTTGTCCGGATACCATCCTTTGGGATGAAAGAACAGTTCTTAGCAGGACAGTTTGTTTTGATGTTAAAGACAATTGACTGGGAGAAGGGAGAGGAATATTGAGGAGAGCAGAGCTGTGGAGAGTAGACCATGGGACAGATGAGGGATGGTGTGGATAAGGTGGAGCTTGAATTCTTCCATCACATGCATGGGTCCCCGGAATTCACCTCAGGTGGGTCATCGGGCTTGGTGGTGGGCACCTTTATCCACTGAGCCGTTTTGCCAGTCCACATTGAAATTCTTTAAATAGGAAGTTATACTATATTGATACTGAATATGAAAGAAAGCTTGATAATTAGCTGTTTTCTCAGCATGATTTCATCACTTAATAGAATCAGCAATTTTGTGACATCCTATTATAATGTAGTAGCTGTAATAACAGTCTCTTGTCAGTGGCTCATGACTGTAGTAGATATTAGATTGTCCACAGCTGGAACGGTAAAGCTTTCTCTACAGGGTGGAAGTCACATCAACTAGTGGACACATAAACCAGTGTTCCAGTTGCAGCTTTATCTTGGGCGACTACATTTGTAATTTTATGCAACTCATGTTGTGTTAAGGGACATGTCTTGAGCTTGCCACACCTTTAGTCACAGCACACTAGAGGCAGAGCCATGTGAAGAGATAGATCTCTTGAATTCTAGACAAGCCTGGAGTACAAAGCAAATTCCAGGACAGATGGAGCCACACAGGAAGCCCTGTCTTGAAAAACCAAAACAAAACCAAAAAATAAAAATAAAAAAAAAGGAAAGGTAAAGATGTGTCTTGTGTCCTTTTTTTTTTTTTTTTTTTTTGTCTTTTGCTTTTTTTTGGAGACAGGGTTTGTCTGCATTGTTTTGGAGGCTGTCCTGGAACTAACTCTTGTAGACCAGGTTGGTCTCGAACTCACGGAGATCCGCCTGCCTCTGCCTCCTGAGTGCTGGGATTAAAGGCGTGTGCCACCACCACCCAGCGTTTTTTGCCATTTTTTTAAAATACAGTTTAATTTTACTCTGTGTACACAAGTGTGCTCGTGTGATGTCTTTGCCCCGTTTGTGTGCCTGGTCCCTTAGCGCCATCTTGCTGGCTTTGACTCTTCTCTCCCTGCTCTCTTTGTTTATCCTTCCTGCCATGTACTGACTTTACTTCTGAAGCATAGTCTACAAAGATCTAGGTAGTGATGTTGATGATCTAACAAAGCTTGCCTGTGAGCACAGAGTGAGCCACACTCGTTAGCTGTTAGGCCAGGAGTGATGGCACACACCCTTAGTCCTGGTGCTTAGGAGACAGAAGCAGATGGATCTCTATGAGTTCAAAGCCGTCCTTGGGCTACAAGACAGAGAATCTGTCTGCAAGAGAAACAGTTTTACACCTTTGATCCCAGCACTTGGGACGATGCTCCTTTAATCCCAGCTAGGGAGGTCGGAGATAGGCGTGGTGTCTGGGTAGAGAGGAGACTATAAATTGGGAGAGCCGGGAACTCAGTGGAGTCTGAGGTTTGGTGGAGAGCTGTGCAGTCTGAGGTCTGGTGGATCTCCCCTTCAGTCTGAGCCTTGGTAGAGGTGAGAACTCTCTAGCGGCTGCCGCTGTACTCCTGATCTTCAGGCAAGCTTCATTTGTTAGATCATAAAATGTCAGTACAGATCTATAAGGGAATACTTGTCTCATTGGGTAGATTTGATAATGCAGGCCTTTTATGACTTTAGACCGTCTTAACCGTATGGCAATGTGCTCTGTAGACCAGGTTGATCTTGAACTCAGAGATGTGCCTTCCATCTGGGAGCTGGGATCCCAGGTGCATCACTACACTGGGCCTGTCTTACATGTGTTCATGCTCACTCTGTATGCTTGTTTGCTTGGTGTTTCGAGACAGGCTCTCTGCGGCTTTGGAGGCTGTCCTGGCACTCCCTCTGTAGACCAGGCTGGCCTCAAACTCACAGAGATCCGCCTGCCTCTGCCTCCCGAGTGCTGGGATTAAAGCTGTGTGCCAGCAACGCCCGACTTTATTCTATTTATTCTTGAATATGATCTCAACAAAGATTTTTGGTTTGCTTATTTGGATCTTCTCCTTTCTTCTTCGTCTTCTTTGTCTTCTTTTTTTTAGACCCCCAAAGTGGTGACAGGCACTTGCTACTAATATCCATTTCAGAACAGTCTCCTTTCTTACAGAGACTTTAACTTCATTCATGCTGATTTGACCATAGATGACATAGTTCCTAATATTTGGTAGATGTTTACTAACAGGTAGTGAGAAAACAAATTAATTGCTTCAACATGTTTACCTTTTTTTTTTTTTTTGGATTCTTTTAGTCTCACTTGGGGGTGGGGGCGTGGTAGGAAGTGGAACTCAATTTGTCAGGCTGGCTTCAGAATTGCAATAATACGCCTACCTTAACTGACCAAGTGCTAGGATTATGCAGGCACCCATTATTAAATTTTGTTTTTTGAGGGGCTGGAGAGATGATGGCTCAGTGGTTAAGAGCATTGGCTGCTTCCATGGGCCTGACTTCAAGTCCTAGCACTCACATGGCAGCTCACAACTGTCTGTAACTCACAGACATGCAGGCTAAACAGAGAGAGAGAGAGAGAGAGGAGAGAGAGAGAGGGGGGGGGAGGGAGGGAGGGAGGGAGGGAGGTTGGTTTTGGATCATACACCTTTAATCCTACCACTTTGGAGGTAGACACAGGCAGAACTCTGAGTTCGAGGCCAGCCTGGTCTACAAAGCAAGTTCTAGGACGGGCTTCAAAGCTACACAGAGAAACCCTGTCTTAAGGAACAAAATGTTTGGAGGTAGAGTCTCAGCAAGTTTCATAGGCTGGCCTCAAACATGGGATCCTCTTGCTTCAGTCTCCCAGGCAGCTGACACTGTAGGTCTCATGCCTTGAGCAGTATGACATCACAGTGAGGCTTTCTAAACACATCACCCTGGGCTGCATCCAGTCCTAACAAGTTAGATATCCGGCCAGCATCTTAGCTCAGTACCGGCCTAGGTGCACAAGGTCATGGTTCAATCCCTAGCACTGCAGGGTTGAAAGAGACCAGGCCAGGTATGTTGATATGCTTGTAGTCCCACCATTTGAGAGGTTGTTCAAGACCACATGAGATACATAATGATGGTGAGGCTAGCCTGCGTTACATAACCCAGTTGTCTGGGACTGGAGAGATGGCTCAGCAGTTAAGAGCTCTGGCTCTTGGAGATGACCTGAGTTTGGATCCCAGCTTCCACATCAGACAGCTCACAACGTCATTCAACTTTGGACACCCACACCCACCACAGAGACACACAAACAAGAAGAAACCTTGACAAGTTTCCAGGTGCCTCACAGTCGTGTTTGGGTTCACACTGACAGTTGAAGAGTCCAGGAACTCTATGTAGCTGGGCAGTGACTGTTACTCTTATGTGTGTCAGGTATGAGCACAGCAAGCCACTGAAACCGGACGGAGTGACTGCTGCAGATCTGAGCGCGAAACCACCTCTCTCTGCCTCCTCAAGTCTCCCCTCAGGAGTTGGATCACTTGCTGAAATGAATCCGGGCGAAACTGAGTCAAGAACCCCAAGCTTTGCAACTGTAGGAGCAGGTTCAGAGGACTGGGTGAATGCCATTGAGTTTGTGCCTGGGCAGCCCTACTGTGGCCGTAGTAAGTATTGTGAGGACCCTGTAAAATGCAATCAGAGGGCTAAGTGACAGGCCACAGTGAACTCACCTTCCGTTGTCCTGTTTCCAGTGCTTGAGTTTAAACTACTGTCTACTTTAGATCGGTTTATCTAAGACTTAGAGATGAAGTAAAAGACATTTTTGAACTCCAATAAAATGAATTCATGTTTAAAAACTGAAGTGTCTCCGAATGCTGTCCCCCGCCTGCTCCTGGTGGTGCTGGGATCAAACCTTGGATTTGCACATGCTAGATAAATGCTTTACCATTGAGCTAACACTCAGCCCACAACCAATAAGTCCTGTTTTTCTTTTCTTTTCTTTTTTGGCACAGGGACTCTAATAGTTTAGAATCCTCACGTAGTGAAGGATGACCTTGAACTCCTGATTCTCCTGGTCTACCCCACTAACCAATACTTACTAATATTACATTCACTTAAGAAATTCACATGCAGAACTGGGCTTGGTGGCACACACCTGTAATACCAGTTTTAGATGCTGAGGTGGGAGGATTGCTGAGTTCAAGGCCAGCCTGGGTTATTCAGATCTTACAAAAACAGCTGTAGAGTGGAGTACACACCTGTAACCCCATCACTGGGTATTCTGAGGTAGGTAGATAGCATGTTCCAAGCCATCCTGGACTGTATGGCCCTGTCTCAAAAAACCAAGGGGAAAAGAAAGTGAAAATGTACTTAGTAGACCGACTTTAGGTTTCATTGAAGTGGTTTTTTTTTTTTTATTGTTCTCTGTTACCTTATACCTTATAGTTCATATTTGTGCCTTATGTATTTGGACCTTTACCACCATCTCAAACATTTTCAGCTGCCCCTTCCTGCACTGAAGCACCCCCGCAGGGCTCAGTGACCAAGGAAGAGTCAGAGAAGGAGCCAGCTGCCCTGGAGACAAAGAAGCAGCTTTGCCCTTATGCTGCAGTGGGAGAGTGTCGCTATGGGGAAAACTGTGTGTATCTCCACGGAGACTCCTGTGACATGTGTGGCCTGCAGGTCCTGCACCCAATGGATGCTGCCCAGAGGTCACAACACATAAAAGTAAGTGTTCAGAGAGCCTTCTACTGAGTGCTGATGGTTTCCCCCAGGGCTTTTAGTGTTGGTAGAAGTCCCCAACCGCATATGCGCCTAGTAATGTCCCCAGTAATCCCAGCGTTGTGGAGGCCACAGGCATGACAGTCTGAAGAGTTGTGTTTCCAGAACCTCAGACTATGGGGTTTTTTCTTTTTCTTGTTTTGGTTTTTCGAGACAGGGTCTCTCTGTAGCTTTGGAGTCTGTCCTGGCACTCTCTTTGAAGACCAGCCTCAATCGGATTGCCTACCTATCCATCTCCGTGTCTCAGTGCTGGGATTACACGTTGCTATGCCTGGCTTTCTAACCCATACTGATAGTCTAAACTATGTGCTTGTATGTTGTATGATGGGCAGTTTGCTGACTGAGTAATCCAACCCCAATACTGAGTTTTTCTATTAGTAACTTTATGGATATTTGGATTATTTCCATCTTTTGGTATAAACTTTTTTTAAGGTTTTTAGTGGGTGTGACTGCTATGATGCTATGAACATTTCTGTTTTGTGAACATGTCTTTATCTTTTTTTTTTCCTCGAGGCAGGGTTTCTCTGTGGCTTTGGAGGCTGTCCTGGAACTCACCTTGTAGACCAGGCTGGCCTCGAACTCACAGAGATCCGCCTGCCTCTGCCTCCCGAGTGCTGGGATTAAAGGCGTGCGCCACCAACGCCTGGCCGTGAACATGTCTTTATCTTAAATATTCTTTAATTGTCTTTATATCTACAGTTTATATTTACATTGTGAGAAGGGTTGTATGTTACAGCACACATGCATGTGTAGTCGTCAAAGGACAGCTTGGATAATGGTTCTCTTCTTCCATCTTGTGGAACCCAGGGTTGAGCTCATCTTGTCAGGCCTGGCAGTAGGTGCTGACCTACTAAGCCGTACATCAGGCTGGCCCAGCTTTGGTTATCCTTTGGAAGTATAATAATCAGTGGGTCAGCTAATAATTCTGTTTAGCATTTTTTAATACCTGACTGGCTTTGTTAGTGCTGCCCTGTTTACATTGCCAGTGGCAGTGCATGGAGATTTATCCATGGTTTTGTGTGTTGGAGTTTTGTATTTCTTCACCACATACATGCAGTGCCAAACAGACCAGAAGAAGGTGTCAGATCCTCTGGAACAGGAGTTATGGAGCTCAGCTGCCTCGTGGTTTTTGGGAATTGGACCAGGTCCTTTGAAAGAGCACCCAATACTCTTAAAATGCCAAGCCGTCACTCCAGCCTTTCATTGCTCAGCTTTCTTTCATGCTTGCCCACAATGCACAGCCCTTTGTAGAAGTCAGGACAATTCTGAGGAACTGTTTCCCTACCTTTATGTGTGGGCCGCTAGGCTGTGTGGTCAGTGTCCCTTGAAAGAGCATCATTCATATGGTCTCACGAGTGGGTGGGGATGGGTGATGAAAATAGGTTCTGAGAACTCAGACTATTACTCAGCAGTAAAGGAAACAGGTAACCTTGAAAATACAGTAAGTCAATCAAAGCCACAGAATTGGCAGGCCGCAGGACAATGGTTGCCCACATATGAGTAACTGTTAGGAGTATGGGTTATGAAGAATAATGAGCGTATTCTGATAGTAACAGGTGGCTTGGCCCTTTGAAAGCATCTGAGTTAATTCCTAGCACCTACATCTGGTGACTCACAGCCATCTAACTCCAGTCCAGGGAGATGCAACTCGTGGCCTCTAAAAGTACCAGAAACTATTTATTTGCATGTGTTCAATGGGTGAATTGTGTGGTGTGTGGATTTTTTCATTAAAGTTGTTTTCGTGTTTTGTGGGTGTTTAATTTTAATTTTTAAGGGCGATGCCTCTTGGTATTGCCCTTGCTGACCTGGGTGGAACTCATTGCATAGATGAGGTTGGCTGCACCTCAGATTTGTGGAATTCTTCCTGCTTCTGCTTCTTGAATGTTAGAATTACAAGTATGCACCACTGAAACTATCCTCCTTTACAAGAGATATGGAAATAATGTCCCTGCATAATTGTCACCTAGTACATGTTCAGATTTACTTCAGTATTGTCCATCTTATTTGTTCTTGTTTGCTTTTGGTTTTGAGTCAGGGGCCCTCTACATACTCCTGGCTGTCCTAAAACTTGAAATGTAGACCAGACAGACATTGTCAAACTCAGAGATCTGCCTCATAGTGAACGGATTAAAGGTGTGCGTCACCATGTCTGACTGTCTTATTTCTTTGGAGACAAGGTCTTGTGTAGCATGGGGTTAGCCTATAGAACTCTTGCCCCTTCTGCCTCCACCTCCCTAGGGGTCAGTATCTTGACAGATTTGAAATGAAGGCTGTAATCCTCATTTTTCTGTTACACATCCAGAAACTGAAACATTAGCAACATGTTGGTAGGGTCTTTGGGGAGGATTGTGATTTGGAGTTCTAAAGGTCTGTAGTAGAGGGAATTGGATAGCTCTTCAGATCCCGGAGTTGAGCCCCACGGTAACTGCCCTGATGTGAGGCTGCCTGGAGCTGTGCTTTTGACAGAGCCTCCTCTGGGTCAGACTGGAGACAGTTTTCGTGGGCGAGTTGACGGTCTCGGGCCTCGCAGCCTGACAGTGCCTCTTGTCTCCCCTTCTTTCAGTCTTGCATTGAGGCCCACGAGAAGGACATGGAGCTCTCTTTTGCTGTGCAGCGCAGCAAGGACATGGTGTGTGGGATCTGCATGGAGGTGGTCTACGAGAAAGCCAACCCCAGCGAGCGCCGCTTTGGGATCCTGTCCAACTGCAGCCACACCTACTGTCTCAAGTGCATCCGCAAGTGGAGAAGCGCTAAGCAGTTTGAGAGCAAGATCATAAAGTGAGACTCCTCCCCAGTCTTCATTTGTGCTTTCTATTTCCGGGACCAATTTAGTGTCTTGTGCCAACTTCCAGCCACAAGGACCACATTTAAATGCATGTATTTTATCATGAACCTGGGTGTTCTCGTTGGGATTTCTTCTTTGTACTTCAGCTAGCTGCTAGGTTAGTTCGTCTGTCTATTTTATTTGATTGAGGAAACCGTGTGTATCAGTTAGTAGATTCTTCATGCTTTTTGAGGAGATTGTGTTTAATGGATTAGACAGTTTAGGCTTCGTGAAGAAACGTATCTAGCTCTGAATGTATGTTTCCTGGCATTTTACATTTTCCACTTTCCTATTCCATCCATTAAGCTAGCCAATAATCCACCATCCTTTAAAAACTGTTCTCATAACTGAACAAAAGCCACACAACCCAAACAGAGCAAAGTTACAAGAAATAAATTTATTTAAATGAAAGGAGTCTGTGTGAAATGTCTTCTTTTGTTTTTGTTTTTTTTTTTTAAGTTTTGTTTTTGTTTTTTGAAATGGCTAGCCATTGAGTTGATTTATGAAGGAGTTTGTCTTCCCTCCAAAGAAAGGGTCAGTTGTGACTTTGTGGAACCCCTTTCTGAAAATGGCCACGTGCTTGTCAGCTAATCTAAGTGGTGAGGTGACACCCGCGGGCTAGAGGGACTGTGCATTGCAGCCTGTTCGTTTTCCCCAGGTCCTGCCCCGAATGCCGGATCACATCTAACTTTGTCATTCCAAGTGAGTACTGGGTGGAGGAGAGAGAAGAGAAGCAGAGACTCATTCAGAAATACAAGGAGGCCATGAGGTACGAGCAGCCCGGCTCACCTGGACGGAACAGTGCTGCACTGGATACTCCTACTCCTCCTGCCCGTTCTTCTCTTCCCAGGGCGGCTTCTTTTGTCACCCGTCACGCTTGCCCAGCCTGTTTCTTGCTTTGAGCTTTTAGCACAGTCATTGGGTGTGAGCCTAGGACTTTTACAAGGAAGTCTCTACTCTAGCTGCAGCCTGTGTGTGGGGAGGGATTCTAGCTCCTTCTGGGTCTTCAAGAGTTAGTTGCCTGATGAATTCCTGTGTATTGGGATTCTAAAAGATTATCACTCCCGTGTTAGTCTGGCAATCCATATACATTTAAGTAGGGATGCTTTGAGTCAGTGTTTAGAGCAAGCACATGTTTCTAAGGACACATCTTTGGGGGGCTGTGCACAGACATCTTGGTTCTGCCCCCGTTTAAAGAAAAGCACCGGTGATAGGTAGATACAGGCCTGAAGTCCACTGTGAATAAGGGTTGCGATATTTTCCTTTCCAGCAACAAGGCGTGCAGGTATTTTGATGAAGGCCGTGGGAGCTGCCCATTTGGAGGGAACTGTTTTTACAAGCATGCGTACCCTGATGGCCGTAGAGAGGAGCCGCAGAGACAGAAAGTGGGGACATCAAGCAGATACCGGGTAACTCTCACTTTTTTTAAAGGAGGGGGTTTCACACTGTCAGCGGAGCCCTGTGCATACCGGGGTAGGGAGGAATGCCACCCAGATCTGGGAGGGAGGCTAGAGTAAAGGAGTCACGCCTCAGGAAACGGGGAGGGGCAGGAAAGGCAACCACTCAGAGCCCAAGCCTAAGGTGTGGTGCAAATAGCCAGAGGGGAGGCACTGGCCAGCTGGCCCGAGTGACAAGTCTGGCTCGCCACGCCCTCTGGGCACGCAGTTGCCTTACAAGCAACAGGATAGAAGACACTGCTCCACAGTGCCACCCTATCATGGCCTTGTTTCTTACAGGCCCAACGAAGGAGCCACTTCTGGGAGCTCATTGAGGAGAGAGAGAACAACCCCTTTGACAACGATGAAGAGGAGGTTGTCACCTTTGAGCTGGGCGAGATGTTGCTTATGCTTTTGGCTGCAGGTGGGGACGACGAGCTGACAGACTCTGAGGACGAGTGGGACTTGTTTCACGATGAGCTGGAGGACTTTTATGACTTGGATCTATAGCAGCTTGCGTGGCGTGTAAACTGGTCTGCGGAGCCCCAGACAGTAGCTGTCCCCTGTGCTGTGTGGCAGTGCGTGTGGCTCTCCTAGGCAGGCCTCTCAAACTCCAGGTGCTGTCGTGGTCACTACCCAGGGCCTGCTCCTCTACCCCCCACCTTTCCCCAAGAGTGTGTTGTTTTCTCTGTTTCAAAAAGTTACAAAATAAATCTTAAAGTTAGTTTTTTTGTAACATGAATTTAACTGTCAGACAGTTAGTGTAGGTTTGTTGCGCCATCTGTTTTCAGCCAGGTTGTGTTCATGGACTTTGCACACTCGTTTGAGACCCTGAGTTCAAAGGAAAAGGCACTGAGTGTGCTTTGGGGTCCAAGGATAGGGGTGATTGGGAAAAGGGGGGCCTAAGTTGGCAGGTTGCTCTCTGCGCTAGATGTCGAGGGCTCCTTGAGGTTTCTGTGAGATCTGTACCTTTGTGGTTTATATCTGTTCCCAACCCTGTAATCCCATCACATGTGCTTGTCCTGAGGCTTGGGCTCTCATTTAATTGCACGCAAGGAATACTACTGAGTAACCAGAACCAGGTGCGAATGTGTTGAGGTTAACGTGAGAAATTCTAGAAGCACATGAAGGGTGCAGTGGCGTTCCATCAATGCAGAGTCGGCAGGTAACTCCTGAGGATCGATGGACTTGCGGTTGAGCGTGAGCAAGCAGTGAGCAGCTTCCCATCAGTGCATAGGTGCAGTATTCTTAGCCTTAGCGGGCAGACACGGATTAGTGGTGTGAGCTGTGTGTGGCAGGTAGACCAGGAAGGACCAAGCAGTGTATCCGTAGTTGTTAACATAGCAGTGCTAGTAGCTCTATGCTAGAGAAAGGGCGTCAGCCATAGAGGTTTTTAAATGACCTGCTTGTCCCCTTAGCAGTACAAGCTGCGTCTTGGACACACATTGTATTGAATGTTTTATGGTCTAGCCTTTTCAGTTGAGGCACTTTTTGGAAAAACCTTTGTCCTCGTTTGAGGGGACCTATTACGAGGTTCTGTGTTTATTTTGTGGGTATCTGCCTCATTCCATCCCTGAGCTATGAAAGTAGACAGATGGATTCCAACCTGAGGTGTTGATTGTACTAGAGGAATCATTTGCAGTAGTGTTGAACCCTTTCCCACGAAAGAAAGGGAGGGCATAGCCACTCACAAGACAGGCAAAGCTAAGTCGCTACGATTCCCTGACAGGAATTTCACCTTTGCGTTCTGTTGTTGCTCTGTTTCCGGAAATAACTTGATGCTGGGGTTTGTCCCTCTGCCTTGCTTCCCTGGAACCCATCCATTCTTTCACCTCAGAAAAACAAACAAGTCATCGTTGCAGAGGTCTCTGTATTTTGCAGCTGCCCTTTTGTAAGAAGCACTTTTCCCAAATAAAACAATTTAAAAAAAGTTGGTTTTCTTGTTTGTCTGACGATCTGTTTTCAGAACCATAGCTATGAAAGCTGTCACTTCATTCTCGGGCACACAGCTAGGCATCTGTGTGACATCTAGCCTCTGGGGACCCTGATGGCGTCCGCTGCAGGAATTCTGTCCCTGTTCTGCTGACCGGTTATGGGCGGAGTTCCTATTGGAGGGTATGTGACCCAAATACTGAATAAAAAGCCAGGGCAGGGTGAGGCATGCGCTCATGGAAGGTGGAACAGCTGACAGCCAGCCATGGGAGCACTCGTGGCTGGCAGCCTGGTTTGGTTCCCCCATTCCCTTGGGTACAAGGAGGCTAAAGTGGCAGCGACGTCAGCGGTGTGACAGCTGCGTCTGTCTTGAGTGTTGTGTCCTGGTTTCCTTGTAATGAACTGTTGCCTTGACCCCATCGGCATCAGTCTTTACCTGGTGCCCAACATGGGGCTTGAACACACAAGCCTGAGATTAAGAGTCTCTTGCTCTACCAACTGAGCTAGCTGGTCACATACCCTCAAAAAAAAAAAAAAATCCCGCCCTCTGGGCTAAGCTGATCCTCAACAATTGGTCAACGGAGTAGTGACAGAACTCCCACAACAGGCATCTGTGCTGACTGCCATCATAGGATCTACAAGACTCCAGACTGCTTTCATCTGCAAGTTCACCAAATTCACCATCTCCTGGTACCATGTGCTTGTTGAAGCCTGGTTCGGGTTCCTAAGTAAGATGGGTGTAGATAGGCCATCAGTAAAATTGGGAATTTGAAAGAATAATTCTTTGTTCTCTGCTCCTTTTCTTCTCTTTTGAAACAGGGTTTCTCTGTGTAACAGCTCTGGTTATCCTGAATTCACTTTGTAAGACCAGGCTGGCCTCGAACTCATCAGATATCCACCCGCCTCTGAGTGCCGGGATCAAAGACGTGTGCCACCATTTCCCGCCTGTGGGTGTGTTGCCTGTATGTATCTATGCACCACATGTGCAGTGCACACCAAGGTCCGGAGAGAGTGTTGGATCCCTTAGAACTGGAGTTACAGACAGTTATGAGCCACAGTGTTGGTGCTAGAAATTGCACCCAGGTCCTGGAAGAGCCGCCGGTGCCAATAACTTCTGAGCCAACTCTCCAGCCTCACCGTCTCACCTTGACTTGTTATGCAGACCAGGCTGGCCTCAAGTTCAGATGCTTCTGCCTCCAGAGTGCTGAGATTCAAGGCATGTGCCACCATGCCCAGCGACTTGACTTGACTTGTAACATTTTGTCTGTTTTGACACAGTCTCTCATGTATCCCAGGGGGGTTGTGAGCTCCCAGTGTTGTCAAGGGTGGCTTTGAACTAACTCCTGCCCAAGTGCCACTGCAGTTTCTGCAGGGCTTTGACTGACCCAGGGCTGGGATGCTAGGCACAAATGGACATCCAACCAGCTTTTGAGACAAGGCTGAAGCTAACTTCAGACCAAATGCATGGCGACACTCCTTCAGCTCCCAAGTTTCCCAACCAAATTTCTTTCTCTTTTTTTTTTTTTTTTTTTTTTTTGGGTATTTATTTAGTATTGTGTTGAATGTTTGGCTTGCATGTCCGTACTGTATGCCTTGTACCTGCAGAGGTCAGAAAATGGTAAGTGCTTCAGATCCTCTAGAAGTAGAGCTACAGATATTTGTCAGCCACTGTGTGGTTGCTGGGACTTGAACCCAAGTTCTCGGAAAGAAAATAGCAACCATGGAACACCTTGTTTTATTTGTATGAGAAGGGATCTCATTTCTATGGGTTGGACTAGAGTTGTACCTACCTCTGTTTCCCAAGTTCTGGGATTAAAGGTGGAGACTGGGCTGGTTGTTAGTCAAATGAAGGTGCTGGGAATCGAACCTGAATACATTGGAAGAGCAGCCAGTGCTCTCAACCAGAGTCATCTCTACAACTCCATTGTACCTCAACATTTTTCCCGGCACAAAGCCACACTGGAGATGCAGATGGGAGCTCACTATCAATGTCTCTGCCCACTTCCACATCTTCAGAAAGCTTGTCAAAGCCTGGAGAGACACCTCAGTGGTTAGGAACACATTGCCCTTGCAGAGGTCGCAAGCTTGGTCGCCAGGAGCCATGTTGGGGATGTCAGAACTGCCTGTAACTGCAGCTCCAGGGGACCCAGGACTCTGGGCATCTGCACTAGCCCACATAGAGGTTAAGAGCATTGGCTGCTCTTCCAGAGGTCCTGAGTTCAATCCCAGCAACCACATGGTGGCTCACAGCCATCTGTAAGATCAGGTGCCTTCAGGTCTGCAGGCAGAGACAGACAGAATACTGTATACTGGTGTTTTTTTTTGTTTGTTTGTTTTTTGTTTTTTTTTTTTGAGACAGGGTTTCTCCGAATTGCTTTGGAGCTGGTCCTGGAACTTGCTCTGCAGACCAGGCTGGCCTTGAACTCACAGAGATCCACCTACCTCTGCCTCCCGAGTGCTGGGATTAAATGTGTGCACCACCAACACCCGACAATAAATAAATCTTAATACCATAGAACAAAATGATGAATGAAAAGGCAAGAAGACTATACTAGCTAGGGGCTTAGAAGGGGCATGACACCAGTGGAGGCGGCTGCTGCTTGGGACCATTGCAGCTGTAGACCTGATTCTCATTCTTCCTGTGGTCTTAGACTAAGAGACTGTTTTCGTCCTGACACCATGTATGTTTGCTCACACTGAACCCAGAGTTTGCATTTGTGTTCATTAAATAAAATTAACCATGGGTCAAGAGGCTGAGTTAGCAACTAGTTGACAGAAAGTAATCATAGCATCAGAGGGCATCTGGGAAAGGGAGAGACACCAGAAGGAGTAGGGAGGGATTTGGAGTGGCATGGCTTTGTTTTGATTTGTCTTTTTGGCAGAGCAGAAGGATGCTCTTTGGGAGATGCTAGCAAGGAGAGGTTAGCTAGTTGCTACTCAACCTCTCTGAGCTAACAGGTTTTCACCCCAGCCTTTGAATCTTGAGTTTATTTATAAATAGACCGATGTTTAGCGGCAGAGCAGCTACCTGCAGGAACAAAATTCACACCAGGTTGCACCCCTGAGCAGCTGGACCTCTGCCAGAGAAGCTGGCCCATAACTGCGGAGTCACAACTGCAGGCTGAAATAGCAGATTAAGGTGCAGCACTGTGCCGTGGTTAAAATCAACACATGCACATAAAACACACACATACATGAACACAAAACATTCACACACAAACATGCAAATCTAATGTTTTATATCTTTACTTTCCAAAACATCTCTCTGGGATCTTGATTTCATATAACTCTCTGGTTGCTAGTTATACGATATTGCGGATGTGTGAAAACTTTATTCTACCCAGCCTGTTCAGCACTGAGTCTGAGGCCACTGGGAATGGTTTTACAGGGCAGTCAGGAGCCTAACAAGCTTCGGGAAAGCCTGCCGCACTCTTTATAGCGGGCAAGACTTTTGTGCATATACTCCACAAAGACCTCCAGCTGGGCTGGAGAGATGGCTCAGAGGTTAAGAGCACTGCTTGCTCTTCCAAAGGTCCTGAGTTCAATTCCCAGCAACCGCATGGTGGCTCACAACCATCTGTAATGAGATCTGGTGCCCTCTTCTGGCCTGCAGGCATACATGTAGGCACAACACTATATACATAATAAATAAGTAGATCTTAAAAAAAAAAAAAGACCTCCAGCCTACATCTCCTGAGTCCCTCTCAAGTGTGCTTGAGAATTTCATCAGTAGCGGACTGGTGAATAAGATGTTGCCGGTGTTCAGGTGGATTCTTCTCACACATGTAACCTGTAGGGAGGACTGTTTGAATCCAGATCACACCCAGAAGTGTATAATCATAGAAGATGCCAATTTCAGAGTGTTGATGGGAATCGTAGAGCAAGGAAGAATTAGTGTCCGTCCACAGGGCAGCGTTTCTGTCACCTGATGGTGAGTACTTCCTTTCAAGTTGCAAATTGTTTTGTTGTTTTATGTTTTGTTTTTGTCTTTTTTGAAACGAGATCTCACTATGTAGTGCTGGCTGCCTGGCAGAGATCCGCCTACCTCTGCCTTCAGTGCTGGGGTTGAGTACCGCTGAGCATGGTGTCACATGCCTTTAAACCCCGCGTGCCAGAGGTGGGTCTCTGAACTTACGTCCACTCTGGTCTTGTTTAGTGAGTTCCAGCACAGAGAGGGATGCATAGGGAGACCCGGTCTCAAACTAGGTGAACAAATAGATGGATCAAGTGCCTGCGGTGCTTGAAGTAGCGTTTCCCTATGCAGTTCCAGCCTGCCTCGAGTTTGTGATCCTTCTACCTCAACTACCCGTGTGTAAGTGCTGACATTAGAAATGAACTCTATATAGCCAAGTGGTGGTTGCAAATGCTTTTAATCCCAGCATTCAGAAGGCAGAGGCAAGCAGTCTTTGTGAGTTCAAGGCCAGCCTGGTCTCAAAGCAAGTTCTAAGACAGCCTGGGACACAGAAAAACCGTGTCTTGAAACGAACAACAAAAAAGAAACGTGTGCCACAGCACCAGCTTTAGGTTTTATAGTTTGATTGATACAGGGTCTCTTGTATCCCAGGCTGTCCCTCTGACCTGCGTGTAGCTGACGATGACCCTGTACTTCTAATTGTCCTACTTCTATTTTCCAAGTGTTAGTCTGTAATTGTTTGTTTATTTATTTATTTAGGTTTTTCGACACAGGGTTTCTCTGTGGCTTTGGAGGCTGTCCTGGAACTTGCTCTTGTAGACCAGGCTGGTCTTGAACTCACAGAGATCCGCCTGTGTCTGCTTCCCGAGTGCTGGGATCAAAGGCGTGTGCCACCACCACCCAGCCTTTACACCTAACTTAGCAGACTGCTCCAGTTATCCATCTACATTATGATAATGAAATGCCTGAGGTTTGGTAACTTACAAAGAAAAGTGGTTTATTCGACTCATGGGTTAAAAGTCACAGTGCTGGCCCTGGTAAGAGGCCTGTTTGCTGCATGGCGTCATAATGCCAGACATTTGTTGGAGTGACTCCATGGTGAGGCAGAAAGATAGACTTGGTCCAGAGAACTAACTTGAGGCTCCATGTTAAAGGATCGAGCCTCAGTATGGTAGGAAGCAGGAACCGGATCCTTCAAGGGTATGCCCAGTACAAGGCGGTTAAGTCACTAGTGACCTGGCTTCAAGGACATCCCTTCCATTTTGTTTCCCAGCCTCCCTCCTGCAGTGATGAACTGTTCCACCACAGGCCCAAACACAGACTGAAGTCTCATTTTCTCAGTGACTAAAAGCTCATGAGTACCAGAATCCGATGGAATGCCCTAAGTAACATGTTTTAGGAAGATGTTGTGAGTGGGCTCAGTGGGTAATGGCACTTGCCACCACGGTGGACAATCCAAGTTCAATTTCTGGTACCCAGGGCACGTGTGTGTGTGTGTGTGTGTGTGTGTGTGTGTGTGTGTGTGTGTGTGCGAGTGTATACAAACGTAAAAACAATACATGAAGACAACCATGAGTTTCTCAGAGGAAGCTTGAGTGGGGAAATGTGAAGCGCCTCCTGCTTAAGAGGAAGAGCTGGGAGAGACAGCCTCTCTGTCTCCTGTCCCGCCGTGGTGGATTCATGTGACATATGAAGGTCACAGTTGAAGTTCCATCGTGTGTCTCGGCCTGCTGGCTGAGGCCACTTTCCCATTCCTACCTACTGTCCCGAGTAGGAACAGGAGGGAGGGTGATCAGTGTTGAGGCTGGCCTTCCGGAAGTCAGGATGAGAGAAGGAAGGACAGAGATGGCCTGAAGGACCGACTGGCTTCCCAAACAGGATGTGAGTGTTTTTGGAGAGCATAGCACTCCCCCACCCCAAATCCTGCCAGGCCTTAATACAGCCTAGGTGTTAGACAGGGAGCAGGGAGGGGACCCAGTCACGGATGTGGAGAGGCCACAGGTGTGTTTCAGCTAGGGGCACTGGAGCTGGTGAGTAAGACCCCGTTGACCCCCATGGGTCTCACCGGACTCCTGTCAGTCACAGAGGGTCAGCTGACTACCGGCTGCCTGCTGTCTGGGGCTCAGACTCCTGAAGCTAAGGGATCCTTATATGCCAGGTGTGACCCTAATAGTACCCCTTCCTTGTCTCCTTTACATTCTAGTAGGTTTTTGGTTTGTTTTCTGGTACTGTGGATTGAACCCAGGACCTGGAACATGTTAGGACAATCACCCAGGCTGGCCTTGAACTTACTCTGTAGTCAAGGCAGGTCTTGAAGTTAATATTATAGATTGAGTTGAGTGTGTGTGTGTCTGATACTATGTACATGTAAGTTCAGGCTTTGTGTGTATGTGTGTGTGTGCAGCTAGAGTTACATACTGTTGTGAGTTGCCCAACACAGGTGCCAGGAACCAAACTCAGATCCTTGGCAAGAGCAGTACCTGCTAATTACTGAGTTATTCAGTGCTGGTCTCGAACTTTTGATCCCCCTGCCTCAATGTCTTGAGCAAATGAGATTACAGGCCTGCATGACCAAACCCTGCTCTATAATAAAATACTATAAGACAGGTCTCAGGCAGACCTAGGCTGGCCTCACATTCAGTAACATACAGGATAACCTTCGACTTGTACCATTTTGGGACCCATAAAGATGGCTTTGCTTCATCTTGGCTCAAAATCAGAGTCCAAAACTCTTTAGTAAGTGGTAAGACCTAAAGGTCTAAGGCGTGGCTACTGTAGGATGTTTTGTCTTGGTAGTGGATGTCTTATCTAAATAACTACAGACCTGATCTTACTCTTGACCCTCAAGACCGAATAACAACTGGAAATTGAGTCTAAGTTGTGATCACCAAATGTTTGGCGAATCAGGGGAAGAAGTCTGTTTGTTCCTCACACATGATAAAGAAGTCTTTTGGCCATTCCTCCCTGAAGAATGTTGAAGAATAAACTTGGGGCATCCAGCCGGGCGTTGGTGGCGCACACCTTTAATCCCAGCACTCGGGAGGCAGAGGCAGGCGGAGCTCTGTGAGTTCGAGACCAGCCTGGACTACCAAGCGAGTTCCAGGACAGCCTCCAAAGCCACAGAGAAACCCTGTCTCGAAAAACAAAAACAAAACAAAACAAAACAAAAAAAAATTGGGGCATCCAGTACTCACTGGATTGCCTTCCTGACTCTATCCTGTGTCTCTGTTTTGTGTCTTAGCGTCTTTACCTGCTGTTTCTCAATCCACACTCCCCGTCTCAGGTACGAACTGGGCAAGCCGGCTGGGTCTGACTGAAGCCCCCCAAAGATGGGTTACAACGCTGCGTCTCCCATCTCTCCTTCCCAGGAGCTGGGATTGTGGTCTTACACCTCCATGCCTGGCCCTCCTTTAGGTTTGTGTCTATTTTTTATTGTTATTTATTTATTTGCTTGTTTTTGCAGTGCTGGCGATTGAAGCTAGGACAGTATACATGCTCACCAAGTGCTCTGCCACCGAGCTACATCCAAACCCTCTGTTTGTAGTTCTGAACGTGGAGACAACTCCGTCAAAAGACGGCATCTGCTGCTCTTTGGCCACATCTGCTGGGATGGCCAAATCATCTATAGAACAATTAGGACTTTTTTTTCCTTTGGCTTTTCAAGACACGGTTTCTCTGTGTAGCCCTGGCTGTCCTGGAACTTGCTCTATAGACCAGGCTGGCCCCCAACTCACAGAGATCCGCTTGCCTCTGCCTCCTGAGTGCTGGGATTAAAGGTGTGTGCCACTACCGCCCGGCAACAATGTAATCCTGGTGCACAACTGACTTCTGGTAGTAGGTAATCTGGTGTTTGAGGAGTTCAGGGTTAGCATCTCTTATGCCTCGAGGCTCAAACAGATCGACAGGGATGGAGCAGTTCCATCGGCCCCCTGGTCCCTGACCCTCTGGCAAGATGGCATTTCTGGCTTCTAGCCGACAGCCCTTGTTCCCCAGGAAGAAGACCTGTGACTGTTAGGAATCAGTGTGGCTTTTCATTACAATCCCCGCCCACCCCGTCCCAGGCTGCTTCCAAATCTAGAATGTTCCAATCTCCTCTCTGCATGTTCCTGTTCTCTCCTTCCTTTCACGACTGTCTTTGTACAACAGAGACGCAAACCCCACTACTAAACAGTTGGGGTGTTGGGGAGACGGAGACCAGGATGGGGAAAGTCCATCCTAGCCTTCTTCCCCCAGGGCCTGAGGTCCTTGTTTCACTAGGAGTCCTTGAGGACGGAGGCGCTCCCTTTCCTCAGAGTCTGTGCTGCCCATCCAGGACAGGAACGAGGCTCCACCTGGAATGTACCTGAAGACGCTGGCGTCTGGATACCCTGGCTTTTGTGCTGGGCCTCCACTCACGTTCAGCAAGTGCAGCGAGTGTTCTCCCTGGGGCCCTGGGCCACAATAATTGGGCTGGAATCCTGGGACAGACCTTGCTGGATGCTCTCCCCATACAGGTGCAAACTATTGCGGGCAATTAACTCCTTCGCCATGAGCACGAAGACTTCATCTATGTTCCTGGACTCCTTGGCGGATGTCTCCAAGACAGCCAGGAGGCCATACTTCTCAGCCAGCGTGCAGGCATCCTCGAACAGGACGTGCCGATTCTCCCACAGATCCGATTTGTTTCCTGCAGGTGAAAGATGTGTAAATGTAACATAGCTCAATAACCTGTCTATACAAAATGAGCTTTCTCCCCACTTCCCTTCTCTTCCCTCTGCCTTTGAACTTGTTTCTTTCTTTTTTCTTTCTCTCTTTTTTTTTGTATGTTTTTTTTGAGTTTTAGAGCCTGTACCAGGTCTCTCTCTATGGACCAGGCTGACCTCGAACTCACAGAGATCCTCTGCCTTTGCCTCCTGAGTGCTGGAATTAAAGGCATGCACCATTATTGTCCGGGCTGTCTTTGTACTTTAAAAAAAAATTTTTTTGTTTTTTTGGTTTTTTCGAGACAGGGTTTCTCTGTGGCTTTGGAGGCTGTCCTGGAACTCCCTTGGTAGTCCAGGCTGGTCTCGAACTCACAGAGATCCGCCTGCCTCTGCCTCCCGAGTGCTGGGATTAAAGGCGTGCGCCACCAATGCCCAGCTTAAAAATTTTTTTTAAATTACATTTATAGCCAGGCAGTAGTGATGCACACCTTTAATCCCAGTACTTGGGAGGCAGAGGCAGGAGAATCTTTTGAGTTCAAGACCAGCCTGGTCTATAGAGTGAGTTCCAGAGCAGCCAGGACTACACAGAGAAGCCCTGTTTCAAAGAAACAAAATTATATTGATTTCTTGTGTTGGGAGTGTGGGCACTCACATACCATAGCACATATTGGGCATCAGAGGACAACTTTCAAGAGTTATTCTCTTGCGGACTGGACTCAGGTTAAGGCTTGGTGGCAAGTGCCTTTGTCCCTTAGCCATCTTACTCCCTCTGTGTTCTTTGAGATAGGGTCTCACATAGCCCAGGCTAGCCTGAACCTAGTTACACAGTCACAGTCCATAGGTGGTGGTCCAGGCCCTGCTGATGCTCTTATAGAACACCAAACGTACCAGAGATCTACCAAATTCTGAACTCTGAAATCATTGTCCCTAGCTACTATGCCCAGCCCTTTGATTGACAGCGTAAGAAAAATTCCATAAGCCTAAGAACCATCAGTGCAACCTACCACAAGAAGTTGCCTCCTAAGCACTTTTCTTTTTTGAGATACAGTCTCAGTGAGCTTTGAGCTCACTGGTTCAGGTAGACTAGCTGGCTGAGGAACTTGATGGCTCTCCCTGTTTCTTCCCAACACTGGGTTCACAGATCTGTGTCACAGCACCTGCCTGGGAGCTGGGAGCTGGGAGCTGGGGATCTGAACTCATGACCTCATGCTCTTACAGCAAGCACGTCATTGACTGGGCCATCTCCCCAGGTTCCTCCTGAACTCTCAATTTACCTGCTTCATCACCCAGAGACCTGGAATCACATGACCAACTTCCAGTGAACTTTTATGTTGTTTTTTAAAAGTTTCACTTAGGAATTTACACACCCATTCCTTGGGTAGTCACATTCATCTGAGTGGTTCCCTGGGGATTGGGGGCCTTTTTGTTTGTTTGTTTTCTAGACAGGGTTTCTCTGTGTCACCCTGGTTGTCCTGGAACTCATTCTATAGACCGGGCTGGCCTCGAACTCACAGAGATCTGCCTGCCTCTGCCACCCGAGTACTGGGATTAAAGATGTGCACCACCACTGTCAGGCCCGTAACCTTTATTTAGTTTACTTTTTGCTTTATTGTACACATGGAATTGAGTTAGTGATCATCAGGAAAACTTCCCCATATTGCGTTGTGTTTAAATATGCCTAAAATAAACTGCTTGGGGTCAGACTCCTGAAGTTTGAACCAACACCAGCTACTTGGTCCTGTCGAACTCATTTGGCCTTTTGCCTTCTGAGGACCGTTATTCTGATTCTTCTGCCGGCTGTGATGGCTGAACTCTAACTTCTAGGGTTTCATACTCCACTAGGGAAGAAAGCAAGCTGAGCATGGGCAGAGGCGGTTTAGGAAAAGCTAACGGCTTGGAAAACGCCCTACCGATCAGCATGATGACCAAGTTAGCTGCTCCGTATTTTTCTATCTCATGAATCCAGTGAGGGACAGACTCGAATGTGGACCGGCGTGTGAGGTCATAGGCGATGATGGCTGCGTGGGCGCTTCGGTAGTAGCTTTGGGTGATGGTGCGGAAGCGCTCCTGGCCCGCAGTGTCCCACACCTGCATCTGCAGGGCAGAAGAGATAACAGGAGGTGAAGCAACTTGGACAACCCTTCATTTAAGTCACCTTACAGCCGAGCGTTGGTGGTGCACGCCTTTAATCCCAGCACGCGGGAGGCAGATGCAGGTGGATCTCTGTGAGTTCGAGGCCAGCCTCCAAAAACAATACAGAGAAACCCTGTCTCGGAAAAAAACAAAAGAAAAAAAAAAGTCACCTTACAAATAGTTTCCTGTGGGCTGGCGGGATGGGGAGAGGTGCTGCTGCCAAGCCTGAGGACCTGGGTTCAATCCCTGGGACCCACATAGTGGAGGGAGAGAACCAACTCTGGCAGGGTGTCCCCCCCCCCCACCTTTCACAGACACTCAGTGGCAGGCACACACAGCTGCAAATACACAATAAACTTTTTAAAAGAACAAATACACACTCGGGAGGCAGGGGCAGGCGCATCTCTGTGAGTTCGAGGCCAGCCTGGTCTACAGAGTGAGTTCCAGGACAGCCTCCAAAGCCACAGAGAAACCCTGTCTTGGGGAAAAAAAAAAAAAAAAGAACAAATACATTCCTAGGTCTTACTTCAATGTATTCAATTCAGTAGACCCAGGCAGGGCCAAAATGTGCTCTCTGGTTTAGGAATCACCTGGAGGGGCTCTTCCACTGATTGGAGGATTATTTATTCCTGGGTTCATATTTTGAGTTTACCCATTAGGAGAAACCTTGGCAAGAGAGATGGTATAGACTGAACTGATTTTATTTTTTTTAATATTTATTTATTTATTACATATACACCAGATTGAGTTGTAGATGGTTGTCAGCCACCATGTGGTTGCTGGGAATTGAACTCAAAACCTCTGGAAGAGCAGTCAGTGCTCTTAACCTGTGAGCCATCTCTCCAGCCCCTGAACTGATTTGAAAGGACCACTTAGACTGGTCACAGTCAGTAGTATCCTTTTTTTTTTTTTTTTTTTGGATTTTTTTCGAGACAGGGTTTCTGTGTAGCTTTGGAGGCTGTCCTGGAACTCACTTTGTAGACCAGGCTGGCCTCGAACTCACAGATCCGCCTGCCTCTGCCTCCCAAGTGCTGGGATTAAAGGCGTGTGCCACCAATGCAGGCCAGTAGCATCCTTAACACAGTACTTCCAGGTTACTGTCCCAAGCATGGGTCACACCAGCACCGACTTATGCGCCTTCCAATAGTGTCTAAATGAAGAGAAACTTTTTAGAATTATTTTGTGTGTATTTTACTTGTGTGTGTGTGTGTACGCACGCATACATGCACAAACCACCTGTGTGCCTGGTGTCCACAGAGGTCAGAAGAGGGCATCAGGTACCCTGGAACTAGAGGTTATGAAGTGGAATGGATGGTTTTTGTTTCTTTGAGACAGGATTTCTCTGTGTAGCCCTGGATGTTATGGAACTCACAGAGGTCCACCTTCCCCTGCCTCCCCGAGTGCTGGAATTAAAGGCGTGCGCCGCCGCCACCACCGCCCGGCTGGAATGGATTGTAGTGAACTACCGGGAATCAAACTGGGTCCTTTTCTAGAGCAGCAAACACTGAGTCATCCCTCTGTCCCTGTGTATACATTTTTGTTGTGTTTAAGATAAAGTCTCATATGGCCTAGGCTGGCCTTGAACTCAGTATGTAACTGCGGTTGGCCTCAAACTGTTTTTTTTTTTTTTGTTTGTTTGTTTGTTTGAGACAGGGTTTCTCTGTCTAACAGCCCTGGCTGTCCTGGAACACACTATATAGACCAGGTTGGCCTCGAACTCACAGAGATCCACCTGCCTCTGCCTCCCAAGTGCTGGGATTAAAGGTTTTAGGAGTTCAAGGACCGCAAAGGCTACAAAGAAAAACCCTGTCTTGTAAAAACCAAAGGGGGGGAAAGTCACTTAAGCTGTTGTATAAAGTACAAGTGTCATCACTCATAAAGGATGGGTTTAATAGACTTAGAACCAATGCTCGGGATTTTCCGGGGAAATGTCTGGGGAAAAAAATTATAAATTCTAGCGGGGACAGGTGCAGTCTGGCTCTACAGACAGCAAAGGATCACCAGTTTGCAACTACATCTTTTCCTAGGAGGAAGTAATGTCCCTGAAGAGAGATAAGCCTTTGAGTTGAACTGTCCCTGGATTTTTCAGTGCTTATCTGTGTGTACGGAGGACCTCTTGCCCTCAACAGGTGTGTAGGACAGGGCGGAGTCTCTCCTAGTAGGGCCTAGAGAAGGAAATCAGGTCATCAGGCTTGGTGACCAGCTATCATGCTAGGGCTGACTTTGTTTTCTTTTTTGTTTGTTTTGTTTTTTCGAGATAGGGTTTCTCTGTGTAACAGCTCTGGCTGTCCTGGAACTCGTTCTGTAGACCAGGCTGGCCTCGAATTTACAAAGATCCACCTGCTGGGACTAAAGGTGTAGGCCACCACCTCCTGTCAGCAATATCCTCTTTTGTGGCTTCTTGTACCTTACTCAAAGTGTACATACCTTACTTAAAATGGGGGCTCTGTCTAAAACAACGGAGTTACCCCTAGTGCCCCTCTGACCTTCACTTTCTTGCCGTCTATCTCGAGGGAGCGCACCGTGAAGTCCACCCCGATGGTGTTCTGCTGTGACTCGCTGTAGACTCCAGATTTGAAGTGCTGTACCACGCATGTCTTCCCCACATTGGAATCTCCCACGAGGATGACCTTGAACAAATAGTCCACGTTCTCATCTGCTGCTCTGGCTGAGCTGGAGAACTGCATGGCTCTGGCTTCCTAGAACAGACCAGAGAGGAAACACAGCAGTCAGTTTTTCTCTAGTGCGTGCCTACTAGGCTTCTCTGCACCAGGGATCCAGAGAAGGCAAGCTGGGGTAGTGGCTCTCACGGGGCAACCCTGCTCACGGGTGGAGGCAGGTGCCCCGTAAGCCCGCACCCCAGGTATATGTGGGCACGGCTTCAGGAAAGCCCCTCACACTGATAAGGCCATTCCATGATGGGAACAGGAGTACAGTCAGCTTTACCAAATTAGATGCCAGTCTTGAAGACGAGGTGTCCAAAGAGCAGGATAGTGAGGCAATGCCTACAGGAGTAACTCCCTGGCCGTCAGTCAGGGGGAGGATATGCCCCTAGCCACTAGAAATCTGGCTGCCCCATCAGCTCGTGACAATCGACAAGATTTGACTGGGAAGACAGTTTAAGGACTCCCAGGTTGGCCAGTACAAACGAGTACAGTGCCTGCAGAGGCCAGAGGTATTGTGTGTCCTGGAGCTGGAGTGACAGGCAGCGGTGAGCTCGAAGAGGATGCTGGGAATGGAACTCAGGTGCTTTTAACCTTGGAACCGGCGCGCGTGTGGCCTTTTTATTCTGGGCAGCAATCCGTTTTCCTCCGACGGGAAATTAGAATGTTGAGGACATTCAAAATTAAAGCTTTAGTTAGAATGGTACGTCAGGGCCAGATGCGGTGGCACACAACTTTAAGCCTAGCACTCAGGAAGCAGGGCTTCTCTATGAGTTCAAGGCCAGCCTGGTCTACAAAGCCAGTTCCAAGATAGCTAAGGTTACATAGTGAAGCTGGAGGACTGGGAAGGTGTAGCATGGAAAAGAGAATAGCTTAACTGTTTAACTGCTTAACTGTTTAACTGTTTCTTTTATGGGGGGCAATGGGGGCAGGGTTTTTGAGACAGGGTTTCTCTGTAGCTTTGGAGGCCATCTTGGAACTCACTCTGTAGACCAGGCTGGCCTCAAACTCACAGAGATCCACCTGCCTCTGCCTCCCGAGTGCTGGGATCAAAGGCGTGCACCACCACTGCCCGGCTAGCTTAATGATTTCTAATGTTGGTATTTGCCAGACTTAATGATTATCAGAATTAACTGGAGGAGATAATTAAAAATATACATTCTTGGACTGGAGAGATGGCTCAGTGATTAAGAGCACTGTCTGCACTTCCAAGAGGTCCTGAGTTCAATTGCCAGCAACAATATGGTGGCTCACAACCATCTGTAATGAGATCTGGTGCCCTCTTCTGGTCTGCAGGCATACATGCAGGCAGAACACTATACATAATAAATCTCTTTTTAAAGATTATATATATATTTCTTAGAACCTATCTCAGACCCACTACATCCATCCACCCACCCATCCATCCACCCACCCACCCATCCATCCATTCATCTATCCATTCACATATATATTGATGGGGCTGGAGAGATGACTAGTATTAAGGGCATTGGCTGTTCTTTCAGAGGACCCAGGTATGGTTCCCAGCACCCACATGATGCCTCACACCATCTGAAACTTCAGTTTCAGGAGATCCAATACTGTATTCTGCCCTCTATGGGCACGTATGCATGCAGAGCATAGATGTATATGCAAACAAATCATCCATACACATAAAACATTTACAATATATTTTTATCTTACGTGTGTTTACATTAAAAAAAAAAAACAACCAGAGCCGGGCGTTGGTGGCGCACGCCTTTGTTCCCAGCACTCGGGAGGCAGAGGCAGGAGGATCTCTGTGAGTTTGAGGTCACCCTGGTCTACAGAGGGAGTTCCAGAACAGCCTCCAAAACGATACAGAGAAACCCTGTCTCGAAAAACCAAAAAAAAAAAAAAAAACCAACCAGACGTGGTGGTGTCTGTGGCCCTATCTCTGGGGAGGCGAATACAAAAGGATGTCTGGAATTCACTGGTCAGCCAGCCTAGTCACCCAGTGAGCTCCAGGCAGATGATAGACCCTGTTTCTAAAACCAAAATAGATGGTGCCAAAGGGGACACATGATTCCGGCTGCCACATGATGTGTACACACATGAGCACACGCAAATAAAAATCACAGCAGTAACAGATACACCCTTGCATGTTCCCCAGGTGAATCTGATGAGACTTGAGAACCATCAGTCAACACATCCATCACCTGCAGCTACATTCCTGGGTTCAGCGTCTCTGTCTAAATATTCACCTGTGCTTAAATAGCTTCAATCTGCAGGAGCTTGGTTTCTCGTGAAAATCTTTGTGCACTGGGGCGGCTCTACAGTCCACGGGCTAACCCCTGTCTCCTGGGAATCCTCTGTCAGTCTCCGAGCTCACTCCCCTTGCTGACATGTTGAATTCCTAGTCCACGTGACAACTCAGCAGCTATTTGAAGCAGCAAGCATATTCCTGAAAGTACTTAGGCATTTAACCCATCACTCACACATTTTTTTTCTTTTCTTTCTTTCTTTTTATTTTATTTTATTTATTTGTTGTGTATACAGTCTTCTGCCTGCATGCTAGCGGAGGGCACCAGATCTCATTCAAGGTGATTGTGAGCCACCATGTGGTTGCCCAGAATTGAACTCAGGACCTCTGGAAGAACAGTCAGTGCTCTTAACCTCTGAGCCATCTCTCCAGCCCTTTTTTTTTGTTTGTTTGTTTTTTGTTTTTCAAGACAGAGTTTCTCTGTGGCTTTGGAGGCTATCCTAGAACTAGTTCTTGTAGACCAGGCTGGTCTCGAACTCACAGAGATTCATCTGCCTCCGCCTCCCGAGTGCTGCGATTAAAGGTGAGTGCCACCACCGGGCCACTCACACATTTAGTTAGGTCTCCTTACCAAATATCTCATGAAACCAAAAAACTCAAAATACTTTGATGATTGAATTTGAGGTTCAGTAAACTGCTCCTGTCATAGGGTCACCCTCATTTCCCCTTGATTTATTCTTTGGCTTTCTCAGATGCCCTAGAAAAACCCATGTTTATAGTGACAGACAAATACAAATGCTCGTGTCTGTTTTGGCAGACAAATAAAAATGCATTTATATCTACTCTATACTTTGGTAGTAACCAAAGGCTTTAAAGAGGCAAGGGACGTCTAGGACCTCTGTTTGGATGCCCCTGAGGTCACTTATGGAGAAACGATCCAGTAGAGAAGAGATACAAGCAAACCACATTTTTACTTTTCTGAGTCTTTTCAACTAAAGAAAGCCATTCCACTTCCGGCATCTGATCACTGTAACTCGAGCTGAAACCTTCTTTCCAAGTCCCCATTCTCCTCTTTCCCCTCAAAGTGCCCGGGATTCCACAAAAGCCCCCTTTAAGCTAGCATACAAGCCCTGCAAGGAGAAACCGGCGGAAGGGAGAAACCGGCAGAATGCTCCCAGACAACACCATTCCCCATTCCTTTACCTGGGTCACCTGTTGCTTACCCCTCTCTCACCTGGCTGGCGGGCGAGCAGTGTTTGTGCTTTTGCTCCTGGTTTCCTTTGCAGCCCTCGGTGCGTTTCTTCCTCCTGCCTTGCTGCCGGGTGGGAACTGTAGTTCCGGCCCCTGGCTTGGGGTTTGGTGACCCGAGAAAACGAAAGGGAAACAAGGGCAATCCCTCCCACCTGCAAGGAGCCCGAAGCCCTAGGTGAGGTGCTGGCTGGTTTAGCGCGCGCCCACTGCTAGCTTTCCTGGCAGAATTCATCGGATTAGGAGAGAGCCCAGAGAGGAACCGCCTTTTCTTCAACTGGCACCTGTTCAGCTGCCCTGTTCCTCTTTTTCTCTGCATCCTTCATCCTACATCCTGCCTGACACACTTGCTTATTTGCCTGGGCTGGGAGGCTGTAAACGGAGATGACATCGACTTAAAGGAAGATATTGATCTGGGTCTTGAGTGACTTGTTTTGAGAAGACACTGGAAGGAAGGAGGTGCTCAGGTCACTTTCAAAAGTAAAACAAAGGGAGAACACTGTATACATAAATATAAGTAAATCTTAAAAACAAAACAAAAAAGTAAAACAAGGATCCACAAGATGTCTCAGTGGGTAATGGTGTCTGCTGCCAAGCTTTTTTTTTTTTTTTTGGTTTTTCGAGACAGGGTTTCTCTGTGGCTTTGGAGGCTGTCCTGGAACTCACCTTGTAGACCTGGCTGGCCTCGAACTCACAGAGATCCGCCTGCCTCTGCCTCCCGAGTGCTGGGATTAAAGGCGTGCGCCACCAACGCCCGGCTTGCTGCCAAGCTTGAAGACCTGAATTCTATCCCCAGGGGCAAGTTCTCTGACCACACATACATGCACAAGCATATGTACACATGTTAAAAAAAAAAGTAAAATAAAAACCCAAAAATACCCAAAGCAAACAAATGAAAAGTTCCAGAATTAAAAGAACTTAGAGCAGTTTGGGGATTTAGGTTAATGGTAGAATACTTGCCTAGTAATTACAATGCCTTGGGTTCTGTTCTCAGCACTAAAATAAAATAATGAATAATCTGGGTAGCAGTGGCACATGCCTTTGATCCCAGCACTTGGGAGGCAGAGGCAGGTGGATCTCTGTGAATTCGAAAGCAGCCTGGTCTACAAGAGCTAGTTCCAGGACAGAGAAACTCTGTCTCGAAAAACAAAGAAATAAATAAATAGCAGGAGAAAAAAGTTCTGCCACACAGCAAAGACCCTTACCTTTCTTTTCTTTCTTTCTTTCTTTTTTTTTTTTTTTTGAGCCAGGGTTTCTCTGTAGTTTTGTAGGCTGTCCTTGAACTCACAGAGATCCATCCACCTGCCTTAGCAGCCCAAATGCTGGGACTAAAGGTGTGTGCCACCATTGCCTGGTTCAGAGTTTTTTGTTTTTGTTTTTTTGTTTTTTTTGTTTTTTTGTTTTTTTTTTCGAGGCAGGGTTTCTCTGTGACTTTGGAGGCTGTCCTGGAACTAGCTTTTGTAGACCAGGCTGGCCTCGAACTCACAGAGATCCACCTGCCTCTGCCTCCCAAGTGCTGGGATTAAAGGCATGCGCCACCAACGCCCGGCCAGAGGTTATTTTTTAAGTGTGAGAAAACCTAGAATTTATTAGTCTTTGATGCTGGCTGTAGGAGCAAAGATCTGAGATTATTTTTTTTTCTGTATTTCCACCCAAAGAGTCTATCAGTTCTAGACTCTGTTAATGAAGCACTTGTCAGAGCCCATCATAAGGATTTGAAGCAGAAGAGATGGTTCAGTGGATAAGAATGCTTGCTGCTCTTCCTGGTGACTTGAGTTTGGCTCCCAGCATTCATGTCACACAGCCCTGAAATAGGAGACAATTGTCCCCTGTTCGAGACCTTCAAATAACCTTTAAGTTGTGATCCGTCTTATCTCAAATTTCACCCACACAAGGATTTTCAGGAATATCTCTTTTAAGCAAGGCAACTCAAAAGTTCACTCTGTTTAGAGTGAGAAAAAACAAGACAGTGTCTACTGCTGCTGCTGGCTGTGGTTTTGAGAACTACTTCACATGGGTAGCTTAGAAACTCCAACCACAAATGTGCAAGCTGAGGCAGGAAATAAGGTCCTCTAATGTCAACGTCATTGAGGGGAGCTGTAAATATTTTCTTTCTTTTGGTAATGATTATTGTTAAAAATTTTTTAAAAAGTCAGTTGATTCGGACCCAGTACACATTGCACGCTGGTAGAGCACCTGGAGGTGGAAATTGAGTGTTAAAATAGTTTCTTAATCCCAGCACTCGGGAGGCAGAGGCAGGCGGATCTCTGTGAGTTCCAGGCCAGCCTGGTCTATAGAGGGAGTGCAAGGACTGTTACACAGAGAAACCTTGTCTTGAAAAACAAAAAGCAAACAAACGAAAATAGCCTGATGGATGCCTTTCTACCTCATTTTTAGTTTTTCTTTCTTTCTTTCTTCTTCTTCTTCTTCTTTTTTGTTTTTGTGGTTTTGTTTTTTTTTTTTTGAGAGACAGGGTTTCTCTGTGGCTTTGGAGGCTGTCCTGGAACTCATTCTTGTAGACCAGGCTGGTCTTGAACTCACAGAGATCTGCCTGTCTCTGCCTCCCGAGTGCTGGGATTAAAAACATGTGTGTCATTACTGCCTTTTCAATTAATTTTAATTTTAGTTTTTGTGAATGACTGCATGTGTGTGTGTGCGGACCACATATTCAGATCCCTGAGGAGACCAGAAGGCGGCACAGGATCCCTTGGAACTAGACTTGTGGCAGGTTGTAAGCTGCCTGATATGGGTGCTGGGAACTGAACTCGGGTTCTTGCAAAAACAAACATCTCCCCAGAATCTCATCGCCCCTTCTACTTCATCTTTGAATCCACGGGTGGAAAACCGGAAATGCACACCATTTGGAAATCCACTCACTGGGCTTTGCTTCTTGCCCACACCTGTTTATAAACTGAGGCACTTCCACTGGCAACCTGGATGGAGCTGCTCCCTCCCTCCCTGAGTCTCCCTCCTCTCTTATTTGGTTTTACTGTGTAAGAGGTTTTGATTGCACATACATCTGTGCACCACGGGCATGCCTGGTGCTACAGGAGGTCAGAGGAGGACATCAAGTCTCCTGGATTTATAAACAGTTATGAGGCACCGTGTTGGTGCTGGGGATTGAACCCAGTTCCTCTGGAAGAGCCACCAGCTCTCCATGCCCTCACTGTCTCTTTCCTGTGCATCCTGAGCTGTAAAAACATCCTGATGTCTCTGTGTTGGGGTTTGGGTGGCCCTAAGGCTCTCTGCTGTAACTCGTTGCTTCAGCCTCTCCCTTCCTGGGGGATTTTGGTTGCTGTGACTTCAGATTTCCTAACCAGAAGTCTTCAGGCCTTTGGTAAGGTTTGGCTAAAACTTGGTGTGCACATCAAAGGAAGCTTGGCAGATTTCACCAATGCCAGAAGACTAACTGTGAAATGAACCAGGTCCAGGAGTGCCCCAGTAAGCAATATTTATCATGTTGACCTCTGCGGCAGGAGTTCCTGCAGAGCTTTGCAGCTGGTTTGACTCCTGGAATGTTAACACCTGGGCCTGGATTAGCCTTGTGTGACTGCTACCCTTTGTGCCCAGTACCTTCTGTTTGAAGCATGCATATCTTATCTGAGAGTTTCCTAAAGGTTCAAAGCCTATGAAAGACTTTGTTGTGGGAGGACTCAGAAAACTGAGATGTCCTGTGACTGGGAGTTACTTTGGTGTGTGTCCCATTCTGTAGACCCAGCTGGTCTGGAACTCACAGACATCCTCCTGTCTCTGCCTCGTGAGTGCTGGCATTAAAAGTGTGCACCATCACCGCCCTACTCAGGAAGTGTTCTTCTTATTACCTGGTCCCCACAGTAGGAGATTTGGTGGTGGCAGTGGCATCTTCCTCCTTGTTCTCTCCCTCCTCCCCTTTCTAGTTTTATGTATGTGTTTATCTATGTGTGAGTGTGTGTATGCCACGTGTATGCAGTGCTCACAGAAGCCAGAAGAGGGCGTCGAGTCCTCTGGACCAGGAATTATAGTGGTTGTGAGCCACCATGTGGGTGCTGAGAACCCGGAAGAACAGCCAGTGCTCTTACCTGCTGAGCCATCAATGCAGCCCCCCCACTTTTATTTTTCTTTTTGAGACAGGGTTTCTCTGTATTGTTTTGGAGGTTGTCCTGGAACTCGCTCTGTAGACCAGGCTGGCCTCGAACTCACAGAACTCTGCCTCCCGAGTGCTGGGATTAAAGGCATGCACCACAACCCCCCCCCCGGCTGCAGCCCCATTTTAAAAATGAACTGATTTATTTCTTTATTTAATCATCTCTCCAGCCCTGCTGCTGGGAATCTTAATACGCAATAGTTTATTTTGTTAGTGGGGGTGATAGGCTGTAGAGCTAGCTGCGAATACTGGCAGGTGAATGTCCCTGCCTGTAAGGACAACCGCGTTTAATTATACAAAAATGTAAAGCAGAATAAAGCCTCTTTTTTTTCTTTGTTTTGGAAAAAAACCCAAAATTGGTTAGCCCACCAGTTCTTCTCGAATTATCTTTCACTCATGGCCCCTTCTAAGCCCCGGTGAGACCGAACCTGCAGACGAAGCGGACCTGGCGGACTACAACTCCCGGCATGCCTCGGGACGCTCGGTCACGTGAGCGCGCCCGGAAGCTCTGGCCACCTCGCGGCGGGGTGAGGTGGCGGCGGGGGCCGGCGGGCGGCAGGGTGTGTCGGGGATCCGGCGCCGCCTCGGCGGGTCTCAGGTGCGAGCCTGCGTGCGTCCGGGTGCTTGGGGCCCTGGCCGGGCTGCGTGCGTGGGAGCTTCGGGCGCGGCAGGCGCGGGCAGCTGGTGGGTGTGGCGGCGCGGCTGGACCCCGGGACCCCGCCGGAGCTGCGGGTGTCGTCCCCGGTGTCCCCGGCGTCGCCGCTGCCGCGCGGTCCTGAGGCTGCGAGCACCGCAGCGGGGAGGCGGGGAGCACATCCGAGCGGGAAGACGGCCCCAGCCCAGCCCACGCGGACCCTGCCGGCCAGGGGATGGGTGGGGGACGCCTTGTACCCCTCGGACCACCGGTCCCCCGGGCCTTGGATCACGGGACATTTGCACAAGAACGAAAGCAAAGGAGAGGGCTCGTGGTTTAGCCAGGGGAGGGTGCCACGTTCCCGGGAGGGTGGGATGCGCCGAGGTCAGGGAGAGGAAGAGCGGGCTTGGCGGGGAAAACGAGGCTTTTGTTTTCCAGGGACCACCAGGACCTCGGTTGAGGAGTCCGGCTGTTAACTTATTCGGAGTCATTCCTTGGCTCCTCTTATTTGCAGAGGGTGGCCTGTTCTTGATTTTTGTTAGGGACAGTGAGAATGCGTCCGCGTAGCTTTACTGCCTTCCTGAAGTAAGTTAGGGCGATGCTGTGATAGCTTGCTGAAATGTGTAGAGGAAGCACAGTTGCCAGGGCGAGCAAAACCAGACTCGTGATTGCTAGCCTCTAACCATTGCTTGGCATCTTCGCGCACACACACGTTTTCTGTGTTTACGAAAAGAGCGCCTTCGCTTCTTTGGCGGCCGGGCATTATTTCCTCGCCGTTTGCCAGACGTTTGCCGTATGACAGGCTGTGCCCTAAAAATCGAGTAAATCGTTTCATTGATCCTTAGCGAGGAAATTGAGCCTCAAAGACGTGCACTAAGTGGACTTGAACTTTGGTGTCAGAGTTATGTGGGGTCGCTCTCCGGCTTTCAGGAGCAAGTTCGGGGTTCATTGTTTGGGGTGCCTGTCCATCAGGGACGATGGCATGTCATTGCAGTGACCATTAACGTGGTTAGTGCTTTGTCTGGAGGAGGGAGGAGAAAGTAGTTGTCTCTGAAACGTGTCCAAAAGTAGAAAATAGGGAGAATGTGGTCATAGGAATCTTATTATAAAAGGATGTGGCTCTCAAACATCTGTGGAAATGAGGCGGTTTTAAGAAGAAAGGATGGCTAGGTTTGGTGTGTGTGTGTGTGTGTGTGTGTGTGTGTGTGTGTGTGTGTGTGTGTGTGTGTGTGTGTGTGTGTGGTTTGACAGGTGTCACGTAGCCAGGTCACCTTCATCTCTCCCTGTGTGAGTGAAGACAGACTTCTGATCTTCCCATCCCTGGAGTGTTTTGAAAGGAGAAGAGATATACATGGTACCTGTAAGTGGCTTCTAGTTAGATGATGAGAGATCAGAAAGACACTGCCGTGTAAGTGTCGAGCATTGGGCCATAAGTACAGTGCCCTGAAATCCTCAAACTCAATGATCCGTCTAGTGCCGTTCTGCCTACCAGTACTTTGAGTACACGTGACCGTTTCACTCGGCACTTGTAAAAACCAAATCCTTGTGAGTCAGATGATTGCCAGTTCTGCCCATTTGAGGGTGCAGGGGAACCGCATTTGTTTATAAGATGGACTTTTCCTATCCCCAACTACATACCAGTGAGTTTAAGCTGTGCTAATTCTAATTATGTTTTATGAAGACTGGGATGTTTTCTCTTTGAACTTTTCTACTTGTACAATGTAATATGGAGTCTAGTTAGGTCTGGGTTTGAATGTATATTTTGTCTCTCAAGAGAGATTACTTTCTGATACCTGTTTCTCATCTGAAAACAATCTGGAGAGCTGATGACTGTGGTTATATATGCAAAGACCCTATCAGGGTGCTGGTGCCTTGTAGGTGTTCAGCCAAAGAAATCATTGATGCATTTGGGAGGCAGAGGTAGGTAGATCTCTGTGAGTTAAAAGCCAGCCTGGTCTACAGAGCTAATTCCAGGACAGCCAAGACTGTTATACAGAAAAACCCTGTCTCAAAAAAAAAAAATCATTGACAAAGTTTTTTTTTTTTTTTTTAATTTGGTCTAAGAACTCTGGGAGGGTCCTGGGGATACAACTGTGGATTTAGGACAGAGAAAGACATTCTTTGTTTTTATTATTATAGTTTATAGATGAATAGTAAACATGTAAAGAAACAGAAATGGGAATAGAAACTTTTATTTATTGATGCTGGGACTGAACCCAGGGCCTTGCATATGTAAGTTAGGCAAGTGCTCTACCTCTGAGCTATATTTAGCTCTGTTTCATTTTTGTTTAGAGACAGGATCCCAGTGTTGCCCAGGCTGCTGACTGTTACTGCACTTCGTAGTCCAGACAGGTCTTGAAATTGCAAAATTCATTGTCGGCTTTGAGTAGCTGGGACCGACACTATTTTGTATTTTCTCCATGCCCAGTGTATTTAATGTTTTGAAGTGAAGTCTTGCTGTGATGCTGACCTTGAACCCCTGGGCGCTCAAGCAGTCTTTCTTCCTCATAGCTGGGGCAGTGTGCTGCAGTATCCTGTTCATGGAGACTTCTTTCCCCTGAAGATAGAGAGGGTCTTACTGTGAAGCCCTGACAGGTCTAGTATTTGCTCTGTAGACCAGGCTGACCTCAAGCACACAGAGATCTGCTCACCTCTGCATCCCAAGCGCTGGGATTAAATGTGTTCACAAGCACACCTGCCCCAAGGAGAAGCTTTTTTGATGAGTGGTCAGAGGAGCCACTTGGGGAGGGGATGTCTGAGTAATGGGCCAGAAAACAAAAGGGGGGGGGAGAGCAAGCTGTTTTAAAGAACCAAGAGAACCGCACAGAGGCCCAAGGGAGATGTCGGGATGGGTTCCGGGGTTGGAGATGGGGCAAATCTAGGGAGGGTGGCGGAGGGAGGAGGCAAGTGGACAAGGAGTAGATTGTGGCCTGGCAGAGGGTTGGAAGCCGTTCAGCTCAGTGGGGGGGGGGGGTGTCTGATAAAATAGAGATTTGTTCACGTGATGGGCGCTGCACATGCTTAGAAGCAGCAGGTGGGTAGGAAGTGCGTTTGTCTGCAGGGGCCCTGCGTGGGGTGAATTTAAAGATACAGAGCCTGCTACAACAGGAAAGGAACTGATCAAGCAGGGTGTTTGGAGATGGGGGAGGGGTGGGAGTTTACTATTGCTATCTACCCTTTTTTTTTTGGTTTTTCGAGACAGGGTTTCTCTGTGGCTTTGGAGGCTGTCCTGGAACTCGCTTGGTAGTCCAGGCTGGTCTCGAACTCATAGAGATCCGCCTGCCTCTGCCTCCCGAGTGCTGGGATTAAAGACGTGTGCCACCAATGCCCGGCCCTACCCTTTTTTTGAATCTATTGATGTTCTATTGTGTGGTTTGGGTTCGAGGTGTCTTCCGCAAAGCTCATCCGCTGACGTCATGATCACCAGGTGGCAGTGCTGTTGAGAGTGATCCCGTCACTAGGATGCTAACTTCATCAATAGGCTAAGCTACTGATGAACTCATAATGAACAGGCTGTCAGGAGCCTCGTCATGGAAGCAGATCAGGGGCTGCCTTTGAAGAGTGGATCTTGACTTGCTCGATGCTTGTTGCTCCCTTTGCGTCCTTAGCCGCTGTGAGCTAAGGTGAGCATCTTCCCCTCGCCATGCCCTTTCCTCTTGGTATTCTGCCTTGCCCCAGGCTAGCCCAGAGTCAAAGGAGCCAAGTGTGGAGAGACGGCTCCCAAACAGTGAGGCAGTGTAAAGCTTTCTCTTAAGTCGTTTGTATCAGGTGTTTGTCTCAGTGATAGACAAGCTAACACATCTACCTTGCTCATCTGTTACCTGTTGGAAAGTCAAGGAAAAAAACCTCAGTTTAGTCATCCATTTTAGGTGGACCCCTACCAGCCCCTATGCCCTTGGTCAAACTCACTTCTTACAGGGGGCCAAGACAGACAGGCTGGGGGGATCTGCAAAGACAGACTTTATTTTTTAACCTGTCCTTTGGAAAGCACCCAAAGGTTGTCGACAGAAGTTGGTTCATCCACTTTTTTATGGGGCCTTGCAACATAATGGTCGCCTACATTATTGTTAGTAACATAATCCTAGCCCTTGACTTACATGTTAGGGGGACAGAGTCTTTCTACATAGCTCAGGCTGACCTCAAAATCAGCAGCAGTCTTGTCTTCAGCCCCCGAAGCTCTGTCACACATGCGTGCCACCCTGCCTGATGGTCACATTAACGTTGTAAGATGTAGTTTTGCTAGTGTGTGAAGAATCATTTGGGCGTGCTGTAAATATAGAGAGCAAACCCTGTTACGGCAGGCAGGTGGTAGATGAGGCAGGTGTCTTAGGGTGGTGGCAGGGGGTTAACTGGCGTATATTCTGGAGGTAGAAAGGACTGACCTAGTAATGGGCTGGGTGTGGAAGCTCGAGAGAAAGGGGAAAATGAAGAACTAATTGTGTTCTTGGTTCACAGGAGGGGTGGGGGTGTTATTTCTGAGCTGGGGACTCCCAGGGGAGGAATAGATCTGGAGGGAATGGATCCCATTTTAGGTCTGTGGAGGAATACTATGTAGTCGTTTGGAACCCTGGAATGTCAGGGTCAGTGGCATAAACCTGGGCGGCATTGCTCTAAAGCCACAGGCCTGGGTGACAGAGCAGAGAAAGATCCTGGAAGTCCAGAAGGGAAGGGAGAAAGTACTACCTCAGAGGCTGAGCCGGCAGGGCTGTGAGGGAAGTGTGGGAGGCTTGCCCAACCGTTGCTCACCCTTTGAGGTTTGTGGTTTGAATCTGAAGTCAGCCTGCCTGTGTGATTTGTCTCTGGCAGAGCTCAGCTGTGAGGATACAGGGACGGAAGTGGGCCATCCTGGGAGAAGAGAAGACTCACTGGGGAGATGGCATGTAATCTGGGAAGGAAGTGTGGCTGAGGGCAGGAACCTGGTGTGGGTGAAATGAGCTTGAGGTATCACAGGCGAGCGCTCTGGAAGGCTTGTGGGAGCTGATGACAGCCCCGAGTTTCCCCCATGGAGGGAGGCTTCCTGGGGACACAGGGAAAGGAGAACTGAAGAAGACAGGACAGGAGAGGGGGTGGGACGCTCTCCTCTTGCTTGAATGCTCCGAAAGCAAAGGGGAAGTGCCCAGCGTGGAGGCCGGTGCTGTGGACCAGAGTGATGGGGTGGGGGTGGGGGCATTTCAAGCTGCTTGGGGGACAGTGTGGGCATGCACCCATGTGTTTTGGGGGACAGTGTGGGCATGCACTCATGTGTTTTGGGGGACAGAGTGGGCATGCACCCATGTGTTTTGAAGCAGATAGCCCGTGAGAGGAATGCTTGCTTCTTGAGAGGCCTGGAGACAGCTAGGAGGCATCTGTAAGGACACGGCATTAGTTAACTCCCTCTGGGCTTCCCAAAGGGCTCTGGGAGGGTGAGCTGGGCAGTGGGGAGACCACCCTGGGGGTGGTGGGTACTGGTGTAAGGTTGGTTTCCTTCTGCCCACTTTCCTTCTCCATTGTGCTGTGGACTTTCATCAGGGTTAACAATACAGAACATTCTCACTTAACATCTGTATATCTGTGTTTTATTTACTTACTGAGATGGGTCGGCTGTGGAACAGCCCAGGCTGACTCCGGCAGTCCACCTACCCCAGTCTTCCAAGCATTGGTATCCAGTTCTGCCTCACCGTGCCCAGCCCAAGATACCTTACTGGGCTGGGGTTGGAACAAACTGTAACTGTCTCTATAGAAGTGAAATAGTGAGTCACACATCCCAGCGCCAGGGGAGAGCAGCTGGAGCAAGATTGCTTCTAGTGAGAGTATAAAGAAAAATACAGTAGAAATTTAGGAGTAACAATGTAACAATTTAGGGAAATATTATATCCCAAAGCAACTTAGTGTAGGGTGACTTTACAGGGTACGTGGCAGGGTGAAGTCATCTTGAATCAGCATTTACAGGGCAGTTGTGTTACACACACACACACACACACACACACACACAGAGTCCATGGCAAACTTCACACACACACACACACACACACACACACACACACACACACACACACACACACACACACACAGAGTCCATGGCAAACTTAGAGAGGCCAGAAAGCAACTTGTGCGGAACTGCTGCTTTCCTTCTGCCTTGCATGGGTTTCGAGGACTGAATCAGGGCATAGGTTCCTTTGTCTGCTGAGCCATCTTGCTGCTCCTACCTTTATAAATTAACTTTTTTGTGTGTGCATGCATGATGTGTATGTGTCTGTGTAGGTGTGTCATGGCGTGCGTGTGGAGGTCAGGGGACAGCTTTGTGTGAGGTTGGTTCTCCCCTTCATCTTTATGAGGGTTCCAGGGATGGAATTCAGGTCACCAGGCTTGTTCAGTCAGTGATCCTGTCTGCTGAGACATCTTGCAAAGTACTGTGTAAAGAAAAAAATTATATACACATATATACGTATATATATATATAAATATACACATACATATATACATATATATACACACATCCATATATATGTGTATATATATATATTTTTAAAGTATTGTTTTTAATGGCCTAGAATAGGAGAAAAGCCTCATTATAAAAATCACATTGCTTAGTGATTGTGAACTTGCTTTTTTTTTTTTTTTTTTTTGAGACAGGGTTTCTCTTAGCTTTGGAGGCTGTCCTGGAACTAGCTCTTGTAGACCAGGCTGGCCTCGAACTCACAGAGATCCGCCTGCCTCTGCCTCCCGAGTGCTGGGATTAAAGGCGTGCGCCACCACCGTCCGGCCTGTGAACTTGCTTTAAAATGCAGGGGGTTTGGATCTGGTGGATGGCAGAGGTCTGTGTTTGCTTTGTTTTTATGCAGTGCTGGGGATTGAACCCAGGGCCTTTGTATGCCAGCTACGCCTTCTTCCATTGTGCTGTCGTCTCCATTCCTGAGGGCCTTTCTTTTTTATTAGTTATGTAGCCCTGGCTGCCTTGGAGCTCTCCGTGCAGACCAGGATGAACTTGAACTCACAGAGACCTTGCCTCTGCTTCTGAGTGCTGGGATACAAGGTGTGGCCCACCAGGTTTAGAGAAACCCTGCCTCAAGCCTCCCCCCCCCCCAAAAAAAAGGTTGCTGCAGGTTGGAGGCCATTCTGGACTACATAGTGAGATATGTCCTTATATTTTTAAAAAATTTGTTTTTATGTTCATGAGTGTTTGTCTGCCTAATACCTGCAAAGGTCAGAAGAAGGCATCAGCTTCCCTGGAACTGGAGTTAGAGGGTTGTAAACCACCTTGTGGGTGCTAATGCTCTTACCTTCTGAGCCATCTCTCCAGCCCCTGGGACTTGTCTTTAGGGGGACAAAGTAAGCCTGTCATAATGGTGAACATTGTTTTGTTTTGTTTTGTTTTGAGGCAGGGTTTCTCTGAGGCTTTGGAGGCTGTCCTGGAACTAGCTCTCGTAGACCAGGCTGGTCTCGAACTCAAAGAGATCCGCCTGTCTCTGCCTCCCGAGTGCTGGGATTAAAGACGTGTGCCACCAATGCCCGGCCGGTGAACATCATTTTTAACAGTATGTGGGAGGCACGTGTATGTTTTATGAGTTCATGGCCAGCTTGGTCTACATACTGAGTTCCAGGCCAACCAAGCCTATATAACAAGATCCCATCCCTTTTTTTTTTTTTTTTTTTTTGGTTTTTTGAGACAGGGTTTCTCTGTGACTTTGGAGGCTGTCCTGGATCTAGCTCTTGTAGACCAGGCTGGCCTCGAACTCACAGAGATCCGCCTGGCTCTGCGGCTTCCCATCCCATTTTTTAAGTAGCTCATTTGGAAGAGTGTTTGCCTAGCATGTAGGAAGCCCTGGGTTTGATTTCCAGCATTGCACAACTGATCATGGTATTACATGCCTGTAATCCTAGCACTCTTGGATGGTGGAAGCAAGAAGATCAAGTCACCCTTGACTACACAGAGTCCAAGCTCAGGTAGGGCACCTAAGAGAAGGAAAAGCAAGGAAGTATATAAAATAAATAAATTGGGCTTTATCAGTTGTAACAGACTGGCAAGATTTGGCAAACACTGACATGCCCAGTATGCGTTCGTGGTGTTGGACGTGGTGAAAGCTGACATTAGAACTTGGCAGAGACCCCTGTGTTCAAGCTCATGTCTGAGTGGAGGCCGACTCTGGGCTATGAGGGATACATGTGTGCAGTGTTCTTTTTAATTACTGTAATTACATAGGACCAAATGATGTAATAGTATTCATTTCAAATGGCAGTCTGCCTGCAACAGGTGACTGTTTAAAACTGTTTTCCCCACCTACTCATTAAGACCTTTCATCTCTACGGCTTAGGATAGGGTAGTTTATTTAGAAACTAAATCTACATGGTCTCAGAGATCCCAGTAAATGCATACATGTATCCATGTGGCTCTGAATTATACAACTTGTTACTGCTAAAACATTAGTAATCTCAGTTTGTTTTTATGTAGTTATTCATATATTTTTGTCACAGTTACTCTAGTATGGGGGAATGGCGCTCATGTGTGGAGGAGAGCTTGAGGGAGGGAGTTGGTTCTGTACTCCCTGTGTGAGTCCTGAGGATCCAGCTCCGGCACCAGACTTGGTGGCATGTGTCCTAACTGAGCCAACTTGTGATCGATAGCTTTTCTTACGCTACATTTTGTATTTTATATCTTATGCTCTTACAGTGTTTCGAGGTAGAATGTGTTTAGGTAAATAACTATCTTTTTTTTGTGTGTGTTAGACACCCCCAGGCTGGCCTAGGACTCAACTGTATACCAAGGATGACCTTGAATTTCTGATCCTCCTGCCTCTACTGCTGGTGGTATTACAGGCCTGTATTATCATGCCTGGTTTATATGGTGTTGGGGATCGAATTCAGGGCATCTGTATGCCAGGCAAGCAATCTGGCAAGACCAAGAACTGTAATTTTAGTAGCAACACATGCTACCTCTTGTTTTTGTAACTTCTGGATCTATAAACAGTTTGTTTATTTTGTCAGAGTTTTTAGAGTCGTATGCTCATAAATTTGTTAGCATCTTTCAGAAGGGATGATTTTAAAGTGAAATTAGCTACATTTTGTTTGTTTGGGGCTAAAACAGTTTTCTTCTGGGGGGGATGAGATTGTTCAGTGACTTGCTCTGTATCTTGGGCTGGGCCTGACTTTTGATTCTACTATAGTTTCCTGAATACAAGGAATAAAGATGTATGCCACTATGCCCAGTTAAACTAAAAATGTATAATAATATATTAAAAATGGTTTTTATTTATTTATATGAGTGTTTTCCTGCATGTATGCATTTGTACTACATGTGTGCCTTGTGCCTGGAAAGACCAGAGAAGGTGTCAGATTTCCTGGGGCTGGCGTGAACCTCCATGTGGGTGCTGGCAATTGACCTGTGTCCTCTGGAAGAGCAGCCAATGCTTTAACCACTAAACTCTAGATTTTTTGAAGGGTTATTTTTTTATTAATAAGAGGTGTGTGTGTCTGCATGTGAGTGGGTACCCATGAGTGCAGGTTCCCCTGGAAGCCAGAGGCAGCAGATAGATCCCTGGTGCTGGGAGTTACGGACACTGTGAACTGCCTGATATGTAGTCACCCGGAACTGACCTCGGGTCCTCCGGAAGAGCTGTCGCTGCTCCTAAGCCTCAGCCCACTCCTCAGCCCTGGGCAGATACTTCCTTATTTTAATCGGCATTTCTAATATTCCTTGGAACTTTTGTTTCTTAACTGCAATAGCTCAGTCCTTTGGAGTTGTCTTTTTACTTCCTGTGCTCTTTCTGTACAAATGAGTGCTTCCTTCTCTGTCTGCATGGCTGTTCATTCCTCCTGTTGGGTATATTTCTTTGTTGAGGTTCCTGCTCCAGGGCTAGCCAGGGACTGGAAGACATAATTTTCAATGCAGTTTTCTCATACTAGGTCGTTTATGAGATGAAGATGTGATTATTTGTTGGCTGGTCATAAACTTACTAATTCAGATTTTACAGAATTATTTTTTTTTTTGTTTTTTGTTTTTGTTTTTCGAGACAGGGTTTCTCTGTGGCTTTGGAGGCTGTCCTGGAACTCACTTTGTAGACCAGGCTGGCCTCGAACTCACAGAGATCCGCCTGCCTCTGCCTCCCGAGTGCTGGGATTAAAGGCGTGCGCCACCAACGCCCAGCTACAGAATTATTTTGGATAGTTTAGATTATCATTCTCCCTCCCCTCCCTCTCTCCCTCTCTCCCTCTCTCCCTCTCTCCCTCTCTCCCTCCCTCCCTCCCTCCCTCTGTCTTTCTCTCTTGTGTGTGTATGTGTGTATGTGTGTGTGTGTGTGAGAGAGAGAGAGAGAGAGAGAGAGAGAGAGAGAGAGAGAGAGAGAGACAGGTCTCCTCCTGTAGCCCAGGTTGGCCTCAGACTCACTTTGTAGCTGAGGATAGCCTTGAACTAACTCTTGATTGTTCTGCCTCAGCTTCCCAAGTGCTGGAATTAGAAGTGTGTGCCAACAGGTCTGCTTTTTGTTTGAAAAAAAATGTCAATGATGTATCTTTGTCTTGGCAGAAAGGAGAAGTGATGTAACTGGACCATTCTGAAGACTGAGGCTGGGGTGAAGAGGGAGGCATGGCCTGGCCACGGTTTTTGCAGAGGGGGGCTCTGCTCACTGGCTTCAGCCACCACCATGCTGCCGTGTTCCTGCTCACTTTCTTCAGGTAGTGGCTTCCTGACTCTTGTCGTCTGCCTTTGGGAGTGGTGCCGCATCAGAGGCGAGTCTGCTGGTTGATCTGGCCTTCCGGTGAAGTAGATGGCTTCCTTTTGGGCTTCATTTGCTCTGTTTTAGTTTTGGTGCTCGGCACAGAGCTCACGGCTGCAAGCTCGCTGAGTATTCTGTGTCACTGAGCTATACCTCTGGCTCTCAGGTGTGCTTTTCCCCCTAAATATCTAATGACACCCTCATAAGTCAGATCTTTTGAGATAGGGTCTTATTGTGTAGCTCTGGCTGTTTTGGAACTGGCTCTGTAGACCAGGCTGGCCTTGAACTCACAGAGATCCGCCTGCCTCTGTTTCCTGAGAGTGGTGGGATTAAAGGCGTGCGCCACCACTGCCTGGCCACAGTTTGACCTTTTTAGAAAATTTTCTGTGTGAGTGTTTTGTCGGCGTGTACACCGTGTGCCTAAGTGTAACACGCACGCAGAGCCTGTGGAGGCTGGAGGAGGGCGTCGGGTCTCGTGGCTGTGAAGTAACTTACGGTTGTGAACTACCATGTGGGTGCTCAGAACTGAGTCCGGTTCCTCTGGAAGAGCAGCAAGTGTTCCTATCCTCCCAGCTCACATACTTCAGTCTGAAAGCTTTATTTTAACTAAGTTTTGTGGAGATGGGGATAAAACCCTAGCATATCACCTGTGTTTAGCCTGTGCTTAACCCTGAGCAGCACGTTCATTTTGGCTTTGGGGACGGAATTCAGCCCCTGAGCTTCATTTCCTCCTTTTTTCCCCCTAAGACAGGGTTTCCCTGTGCCTCTGGAGGCTGTCCTGGAACTCCCTCTGTAGACCAGGCTGGCCTCAGACTCACAGAGATCCGCCTGCCTCTGCCTCCTGAGTGCTGGGATTAAAGGTGTGCACCACCAACTCCCGGCTCTACCTTCATTATTATTGAGACAAGGTCTATGTATATTTATGATTTCCAGGCTAGCCTGATATGTGTACACACACACACACACACACACACACACACACACACACGCACGCACGCACGTACTCACACACACACACACCCATCTCCTACTACTTCTGTTCTTGTATCATAGATTTGCATTCTGATATTCCCATTGCGCTTTGTTGATGACTTTAGGATAATAGTTCTCAAGGTCATTTTGGTCTCCAAGGGTTATTTGGCAGCTTTGTGACATTTTGATTGTCCTGATGGAGGGTTACTATTTTCATTTAGTGTTGGAGACCAGCGATGCTGCTGATGTCATAATTTGAACCAAAAATTTGTTGACATAAAATGTTCCAGACGTTAGCCAGGCAGTGATCCTTCAGGCCTTTGGTCCCAGTACTCGGGAGGCAGAAACAAGCAGATCTCTGTGAGTTTGAGGTCTACAGAGTGAGTTCCAGGACAGCTAAGGCTACACAGAGAAGCCCTGCCTTGAAAAACCAAAACAAACAAAAAACTGTTGCAGAGGTTGAGAAGCCCCAGTCTGACATCAGGGCTTTCTATTGAAACCTGGAGCTTTAAGGGAAGATGTATGCATTCAGGACATGTACAGAGCCTCCTTGAGCAGCCAAGGCGAGAGGGGTGTTGTCAGGAATTTGCTAACTCCTTAGAGGCCTGAGGCTTAGCAGCCCTTCACTAGTTAGCGTGACTGGATGAGTTGTCTTGTGTTTATGGTTCTATAGCCCTAAGTGACCTCTTTTGTTATATAACATAACATATTTAGGGGTGGGGTATATCATAAGTAGCCCTCTTACGCAAGTGTCTTGATGTTTCCACAAATTTCATTACTAATTCTGTTTATTCATTTATTTACTCTGGGTGTGCCATCTGCCATGGTACCAGAGCAGAGGTCAGAGGTCAGAGGTCCTAGAGCCTGTTCTCTCCTTTCATCATGTGTGCCCTAGGGGTTGAGTTTAGTTTATTAGGCTTAGAGACAGGTTCCTTGGCCACCGAGCCCTCCCACCAGCCCTAATAATCCTTATTGAAGGTACTGCACATATTGATTAGGAAAGAGGTTCTGTAGTCTTACAAGAATTGCTGGGTCATTTTGACAACTTAGGGCTCTCCATTTGTGAGAGGCGTGGGTGACTGGGTATTACTCATGCTTTTGAGAAGTGGCACTGTCCCTTAAAGTGTGTGTGTCACATGCATGCCAGGGGAAGTTACGCACAAACAGTGGAATCATAAGACAAGACAGGGTTTCTCTGTGTGGCCCTGACAGTCCTGGAACTTGCTTTGTAGAGCAGACTGGCCTTAAACCAAAGATCTGACTGCCTCCGTCTCCCCAGAGCTGGGATTAAAGGGTGTATTAGAACCACCTGGTTAGCTGAACATGTCCTTTTTATTTTTAATTTTTTAAAAAGATTTTATGTATTTATTATGTATACAGCACTTTGCGTCCATGTATGTCCACATGCCAGAAGAGGGCACCTGGTCTCGTTACAGATCGTTGGGAGCCACCTTGTGGGTGCTGGGAATTGAACTCAGGACCTATGGAAGAGCAGCCAGTGTTCTTAACTTCTGAGCCATCTCTCCAGCCCCTCCTTTTTATTTTTATTTTATGGTATTGGTGTTTTGCCTACATGTATGTCTGTGTGAGGGTGTTGGATACCCTGGAACTGGAGTTAGAGACAGTTGTGAACTGTCGTGTGGGTGCTGGAAATTGAACCTGGGTCCTCTGGAAGAACAGCCAATGCTCTTAACCACTCAGCCATCTCTCGAGTCCCTGCAGAGCCTGCCTTAATTGGCAGCTTTTACAAAGCAGCAAATAGTTTTCCTTTTTGTAAAGCCTCCAAACTTGAATAAAGCAAATGTGCATATATTTGATTTTTGCTGAGTGCTGTTTTCTTTGCCTCTCTTTCAGTTCTGTTCTCTCTCTGTTTTGTAGCTATTCATTGCTCCATGCGTCCAGAAAAACATTTAGCAATGTCAAAGTCAGCGTTTCCAAGCAGTGGACCCCGACCGCCTTTAACACGTCTGTTGACCTGCCTGCAGAGGTATGCAGAGTGTTACGGTGGGGCTAAGAGGGGCGGGCCTCCATGTCCACCCTTAGGCGATTCCTAAGTTCCTTTGCATCATCTGGTCAGGCCTTACTGTGTCCTAGGGTGATGAACTCCAGACTGTTGTGATTTCAGACCCTGCATCACCTTATTTATCCCTGTTGTGAAATCACACAGCTCTGGCTGATTTAGTTTTCATTTTTAGTTTTTATCTAATCTTGCACCTTTTCTTTCCTCGTCCCTCCCCGCCCTCTCTCCTTCTCCTCCTCTTTTTTTTTTTTTGATACAAGCCCTCTCTATGTACTTAGTCTTGGCTGGCTTAGAAATTGCTCTGTAGACCAGGCTGGTTTCAAACTCAGAGAGATCCTCCTGCCTCTGTCTCCTGAGTGCTGGGAGTAAAGGTGTGCACCATTCATCCTGGCTACTTTTTTCTTCTTTTCAAGTAATTAAACAAAACAAAACTAAACTGTGTGTGTGTGTGTGTCTGTGTGTGTGTCTGTGTGTGTGTGTGTGTGTGTGTGTGAGTACACAAATGCACATATGTGCACGTGTCCAGAGGCCAGAAGAAAGCACTGGGTTCTCTGGAGCTGGAGGTTAAGAGCTGCCCCATGTAAGTGCTAGAAGTGAAGTCCAGTCAACTAAGGGCAGCCAGGGCTCCTGACTGACGAGCCTCTGTCCGTGCTCCTGACTGACGAGCCTCTGTCCAGTGCTCCTGACTGACGAGCCTCTGTCCATGCTCCTGACTGACGAGCCTCTGTCCATGCTCCTGACTGACGAGCCTCTGTCCAGTGCTCCTGACTGACGAGCCTCTGTCCATGCTCCTGACTGACGAGCCTCTTGTCCAGTGCTCCTGACTGACGAGCCTCTGTCCAGTGCTCCTGACTGACGAGCCTCTGTCCAGTGCTCCTGACTGACGAGCCTCTGTCCATGCTCCTGACTGACGAGCCTCTGTCCAGCCCCTCTTCACCCGTTTTCTGCCGAAATTTTGCCTTTCCCTTTGGGATGAGATAAAGTACCTTTTTCTTTAACAGAAAAAAAGAAAGAAAGAATGAATTTCATTCATTTATTTGTTTGTGTGTATGTTTTGAGGGTTTTTCAAGTGTTGTCTCCTTCCACCATGTGGGTCCTGGAGACTGAAATTCTTACCTGCCCTCAGTACTTTTTTTTAGACAAAACATCTTTGGCTACTCTGGCGGTAGTCTGGTGACACTTGACCCCCGGTGTGGGATTTGAGCTTTGGGATTCTGGGCTGGCAGTCCGCTCTCAGCTTGTGACAGGGAAAGGAGAGGAGGTGAAATGAGCAATTGGAAAGGTGCCCGGTGTGATGCCTGCCGGAAACCAGGTTCCCTCCCAGAGTGTCCTCTCTCTTCCAGCGAGAGCCTGTGACAACACATGTGAATTGTATGTGTAGCACATGCTAAAATTCTAGGGCCTCCGGAAAGCAGGGTTCAGGATTGCTGGGTGCAGAGAGTAGTGCTTGCTGGGAACACTGGGAGCCCTCCCTCGTCTGGTGAGGGCGATCTGATGCTTAGTCTTGTGAGCAGGCCTGGGTTAACTCTTTTTGGTGGTAACCATTCACGTTATTAGCTCTTATGGGGCAGTGTTGACTCTTTTGTTTGCTTGCTGGGTAATCCATCCAATCCATGGTTCTGGGGGTTGAGTCCAGGATCTCATCTGTTCTAGGCAAGGGTTCCACTACCGGGCTCCACACCGGCACTTTAGGTACTTGTTTTACCCTCATTGGTGTCATAGTGGGCGTTACTATTCTTCTTCTTCAGAACTACTGATCTTGCAGTTTGGATTGATTGATTGGCTCTACAGAAATTAGGTTCCAGCATGCCATGTAGAACTTTGTGTTTCCTTCCTCCTTCCTTCCTTCCTTCCTTCCTTCCTTCCTTCCTTCCTTCCTTCCTTCCTTTTTTTTTTTTTTTTTTGTTTTTGTTTGTTTTTTAGAGATAGGGTTTCTCTGTGCAACAGCCCTGTCTGTCCTGGAACTCGCTCTGTAGACCAGGCTGGCCTCGAACTCACAGAGAGATCTGCCCGCCTCTGCTGGGATGAAAGGCGTGCGCCACCACTGCCCACGAGCTTCGTATTCCTTTACAGGCCCATCCTTTAGATGCCTACACTCTGACCCGAGGCAGACGTTGGGAAATTAGTTTAAACCCAGCTTTTTCCCTGAGTTATACCACCAACCCCCAGAGTTTTTACCTCCTGTGAAAGATACAGAATTCTGGGGCTGGAAAGATGCTCAGCAGTTAAGAGCACTTGTCCTTGCGGAGGACCCAAGTTCAGTACTCGTCACCCTCGTCAGGCAGCTCACAACCGCTGGTAATTTCATATTCCTGGCTTTGACGCCTCTGGCCTCCATGGGCACCTACTCCACAGGAGAGGGAGACATAAAACTAAATCTTTAATTTGTTTTAGTGACATTTGTTTATTGTGTGTGTCTAGTGTGGGCACATGCATGCCACAGCACGTATGTGGAGATGGTACAGGGCGGCTTCTTCCGCCACTGGGTCTGGGGATTGAACCCAGGTGGTCTGGGTTATACCCGTGAGCTACCTTGCTGACTCTAAAAATAAATCTTAACACGTATCACTTCTGGGGATAGAGAGATGGCTCGGTGGTTAAGAGCACAGGCTGCTCTTCCAGGGGACCTGAGTTCAATTTCCAGCAACCACATGGTGGCTCACAGCCATCTACAATGAGATCTGGCGCCCTCTTCTGGCGTGCAGGTGTGCAAGCAGATAGAGCTTCCATACACGTAAAATAAATCTTTTCTTACAAAAGTGCTACTGCTGATAGTAAAGTTTCTCTTTAATGTCTGAAGTAAGCAGTCTAGCCGCTGCCATAACCTGCCAGCAGCAGCTCTGCCGGAAACTCAACTGTGTTTATTTGTAGCAAAGTCTTTCTGCCGCTCTGGCTCCAGGCAGCGACTGATCTGGGAAGCAGTTTTTCTTTTCTTACTAAGTTTTAAAAAACTTTTATGTGGTCAAGCAGAGATGGTACACGCCTTTAATCCCTGAGTTTGAGGCCAGCCTGGTCTATAGAGTGAGTTCCAGGACAGCTGGTGTTTTTTTGTTTGCTTGTTTTGGTTTTTTGAGACAGGGTTTCTCTGTATTGCTTCGGAGCCTGTCCTGGAACTCGCTGTGATTAAAGATGTGCACCACCAATGACCGGCGACAGCTAGTGTTACAACAGAGAGAAACCCTGTCTCAAAGCACAAGCAAGACAAAACAGAATTTTATGTGCATGAGTGTTAGCTTGCATGTGTGTACATGCGTGCTTGATCCCAGTGGAGGCTGGAAGAGGGCGTCGTGTCCTTTGGAACTGCATTTATGGATGATTGTGCGTCACCACAGGGTGCTGGGAACGGGACCTGCTTTCTGCTGAGCCAGCTCTCCAACTCAGGGAGTTGTTTATATAAAACATGACTTTCCTGCATGGAGGCGCATGCAGTTTCTGATTCCTGGTATTTAATTCAGTCAGAATTTATTTCATTTGGACACGCCGCCTGCTCAGTCTTTTTTTTTTTTTTTTTTTTTTTTTGGTTTTTCCAGACAGGGTTTCTCTGTGGCTTTGGAGGCTGTCCTGGAACTCACTCTGTAGACCAGGCTGGCCTCGAACTCACAGAGATCCGCCTGCCTCTGTCTCCCGAGTGCTGGGATTAAAGGTGTGCGCCACCAACGCCCGGCTGCTGCTCAGTCTTCTTACAGAGCTGACTTGGTCACCAGCTTCTCGGTGTTTGACCTTAGAGAAAGGGTGTACCAGAACCTGCGGGCCCTAGATAGCAGCGGGCCCTTGTCAGAGCTGGACCTTTGAAGTCAAGTAGCTTTCTACACAGGGGCTGCGATCGGGACGTGTGCGTGCGTGCGTGTGTGTGTGTGTGTGTGTGTGTGTGTGTGCGTGCATGCGTGCGTGTGTGTGTGTGTGCGTGCATGCGTGCGTGTGTGTGTGTGGTGTGTGTGTGTGTGTGTGTGTGTGTGTGTGTGTATGCGCGTGTGTGCGTGCATGCGGACGCAGGTGGTGGGGAGTGGTTGAGAGGTGAGGTCCTGAGGTTGCAGCAGAGTGACTTGTCCTGGTCCCGTGTTTCTGCAGATCTGGAGCAGCAACCATTTGTTCCCCGGCACAGAGGAAGCCACTCTTTTCCTTGGAACACTAGATACCGTTTTTTTGTTCTCCTATGCTGTGGTAAGTTTTAAAGTTACGGAGTTTGTTTTTTAAATAACTATCTAAATTTTTGCTTTGTTTTTTAGGACAGCTCTGGCTGTCTTGGAACTCACTCTGTAGACCCGGCTGGCCTCGAACTCACAGAGATCTATCTGCCTGCCTCTGGCTCCTGAGTGCTGAGTTTAAAGGTGTGCACCACCACCACTGCCTGGCCAAAAATTTCTTCTTTTTTTTTAATGTGGTGCTGGGAATCAAACCCAGAGCTTGTGCCTAGACACATGCTTTCCCCAATTGACCTCCCCTCTCCCTTATCAAATATTTTTTAAAAAATGAGTATTTTTTTGTTTTTGTCTTTTCCAGGCAGGTTCTCTGTGTAGCTCTGGTTGTCCTAGAGCTGGTTATGTAGACCAGGCTGGGCTCAAACTCACAGAGATCCTCTTGCCTCTGCCTCTCAAGTCCTGGATTAAAGGCGTTCTGTACCACGCCTGGTGGATTTTTTTATTCATGTTTATGGGCATTTTGCCTGCATGTATGTCTGTACCTCACAAGTATACTTGGTGTCTGTAGAGGTGAATGAAATAGGTCATCAGATCTCTGAAACCAGACAAACTGACAGTGTTGGTCCACCGTGTGAGTCCTGTGTGGCGGGCCCTGGGAGGGCAGCCGGTGCTCCTAACCACCGGGCCTTCTGTCTGTCTGTCTGCCTTTGCTTCTGTGGCTTCCAGGCGTTGTACATTCTGGAGCAATACAGAACCAGTTGAGTCCCTTGTCTGAAAGAGAATTGAGACTTTTTCCTTGTCCTCTTCCTCACAAATTGCACAAGGCCTCTTGTGACATTTGTAGACCACTGAGTCTAATGCTTGTGTGGAGGGACAAACACTTGTGATGTTTGTCATCTAAGGGTTCTGTATTGTTATTTATTTATTTATTTTTATTTTATCTATTTATTTTTTTTGAGACAGGGTTTCCCTGTGGCTTTGGAGGCTGTCCTGGAACTAGCTCTTGTAGACCAGGCTGGTCTCGAACTCACAGAGATCTGCCTGCCTCTGCCTCCCGAGTGCAGGGATTAAAGGCATGCCCCATCACTGTCCAGCTAGGGTTCTGTATTGTTAAGGCAGTGAGTTATTGGAAATAGTCTCCTGTCAATTTAAGTTTGAAGTCAAGACAGTTAGTCATTTTTAGACACCTGTGGCAGAAACTTAAGGTGTGTTGCTCTTAAGGTCTAGACTGATGTCAGTATTTAGTACTGCCAGAAACCAGGAGGAGGGTAGAAGGTGCTTCTCAGTGGTCATTGCCCTTCCAGCCTTCCCATCCTCCTTGCTCTGTGATGCCCTGAAGCCTAAGAGGCGAGGCGGCTGGGGTACAGCGAAACCTCTGTCCTGTGCCCTACAAGGTCCCAGCCAGACAGCGCACTTACGGGAACTCTTCCTAACCCAAGCACAAATGGTTGAGAGAAGCTGCAGGAAGGCTCAGGACCACTGCTTAATCCAGCTTGTCTAGACAATGGACCGTCCCTGGGGCTTGTTTTGTCTTTTTCTGCAGAATGTTTGCAGTGTAATGCTTGCTGCAATACATTCTTAGACAGCTAAAGTGGAGGTGTGAATAAGGTTTGATTTTTTTATTTTCCAGTCACCTGTCTTCAGTTTGCCTCATTTGTAACGTGTGCTTCCAGTTTAGACGGTTACTGTGTAGAGCCATCAAATGAAACGTTCTCTTTTTAGGGCCTCTTCATCAGCGGCATCATTGGGGATCGGCTGAACTTGCGATGGGTTCTGTCATTTGGCATGTGCTCCTCTGCGTTTGTGGTAAGCTGAAAGGTTTTTATGGTTATAGTGGTTATTAATGAGCTGCCCAGGAGGCTTCCAGGTTAAAAGGGCTTGCTGGGCAGACGTGCCGAGCTGAGTTCCATCCCCTGTCCCGCAGTGGATGGAGAGACACACCTAGAAGTTGTCCTCTGACTCCACGAGTGCCCTGTGCTTGTGTGTACCTCCTCACACTCGCATACGCATGGACAGTGAGCACAATCTAAATTAAAGTTGCCACCGTTTTGTCAGCTGTTCTAGAGTTAACCCTTTCATCTCCACCTAGAGTGGAGAAACGATGCTAGTCTTTGTGTTGTCATCCTGTGTGTCTTCCACTTAGGCAGATCGTTTGTTTGTCTGAGACAGGGTTTCTCTGTGTAATAGTCCTGGAACTCGCTCTGTAGACCAGGCCGGCCTCGAACTCACAGAGCTCCGCCTGCCTCTGCCTCCTGCGTGCTGGGATTAAAGGCGTGCGCCACCACTGCCCGGCACGAATCTTGTCATACCTCGGATTTGCAGTCTGAATAAGCCTGGTGTGAGGCTGCCTGCCTTGCTGTAGACAAACTCACCGCGCTCTGACTCCCTAGCCTGCCAGGCTTTTCTACCCAGTGCTTTCCTCATTGTTGCCTCAGGTGGCCCTCCTGTCAGGCCAGGTGACACCACTGCCTGTCTGAGGCCCTGCTCTGGCAGGAACCGCTCATGGCCTCCCCTGGGCTTCGACTCAGGCTTTTTCATCTTCCCGTGTGCTTAGGCTTCAGTCTTCTCTCCACAGTAAGCCCGCAGACCCTGCCTGGACCAGCCTCAGCCCAGCTCCTCTCTCCCTTGTCATCTGGCTCGAGTCCTCCAGGGCTTCCTCTTCCTCATTTGCACAGGGGATGTGCAGACCCCTTCTCCCACGGTGGCAGTGGGGGTCGTGCGCGTGCGTCTGTCTGTCTGTCTGTCTGTCTGTCTGTGCGTGCGAGGGCCATTTGGAATGTGAGGAGTTGTGCTCCACATCAGAGAGTCACGGTTAGTGCTTACTGCCAGTCACCAAGGGTTCTTATTGATTGAGCCAACTCCTAGAATTCAGTTAGATTCTGGGTTATTTTAGTTTTTCAATGTCTGGCATTTGCATACAGGGAAAAAAGCTTTTTTTCCCTTAAAGTTTGAGAAATCAGAGCCCTTTATTTATAAGCCAATGAGCTACACTTTGTCCATACTTTTTTAACATTTAAAACCATGCAGATGTATATGTAACCCTTTAGGTTTGTAGTCTTGTTTCCACAAACAGGCCTGGTTGGGTGACTACCTCTCCTGGCAACCGTCGACCATTTTTCTGTCCTGTAGTTCTGCTTATTGTAGAATTTACAACCGAGATCTGACAGTATTCTACTTACCCATGCCAAGTCCTCTCAAAATAGACTTCGGCTGCAAATAAAATGTCCCTTTGAGAGAACGCATGGAAAACACAGGCGCACGAGAGACGCTGTTGAATAATGCAGCGATGACAGACAGGGTCACTTAAGCGAGGGAACTTAGTAGCTGCCGCAGCGGCAGCTGGCTTACACGGGACAGTCCAGACACTCAGCACCTGGTCGTCCTGACCCAGCATGCACGCGTGGTTTCGTGTCGTGCTTCAGCCTCTGGAGATCGCCATTCCCAGAGGGCTGAGGGAGCAGGTGGGGAAAAAGATGGAAACCGAGGCCTCTGCTTCTAGAGCGGAAGATGCCAGTTGAAGGGAGTGGGGGGGGGGTGCGCGCGTGCGTGCACGTGCACAGGTGTGCACATACAGAAGCAAGTGGAGGACTTTGTGGGTTTTGCTCTCTCACTCTCCATCTTATTTTCTTGAGGCAGGGTCTCTGACTGAACCTGGAGCTTGGCTGGCATCTAGCGAGCCCCAGCAATCTTTCTGTTTGCATCCCACATAGCGCTGTGATTATAAGGGTACGTAGTAGGGCCACAGTCAAGTTTGTACGTGGGTGCTAGGGATCTGAGCGTGGGTCTTTCATGTCTCCATAGCAAGCGTACCCACCCATCGACCCATCTCCCCGTCCCACAAGAATATTTTTTGTGCACCCTGAAAAGCAGGTGGGTGTTTGAAAGTGTCCGTTTGATGCCACATGTCCCTTTTCTTCCCTTCTCGAAGGTGTTTGTCTTTGGCACGCTCACGGAATGGCTGCACTTCTACAACAAGTGGCTCTACTGTGGACTGTGGGTTGTGAACGGCCTGCTGCAGTCCACTGGCTGGCCCTGCGTCGTTGCTGTCATGGGCAACTGGTTTGGCAAAGCTGGGTATGTCGCTTCCTTCCCCTGACTGCATTAATGTTGGATCACTGACTCTGGCCACGCTCTGTTCCTTGGTGCTTTAGAAGACGCCTCATCTTCTCTTGGTGCTTTAGAGGACGCCTCATCTTCTCTTGGTGCTTTAGAAGACGCCTCATCTTCTCTGCTGTGGACGTGGCAGTTCTGGGGTAGAGGGTCCATGTGTTGTGGGCCTCAGCAATAGCTTCCCAGTGAGGCCCGTTCCCATGGCTGTAGTTCCCAGTTCATTCTTAAGCCGCTCTCCTTCAGAAACTCATTGTCCCACTTAATGCCACCTTCATGCGTGTTCCTTTGAGCTCAGCTTCCTTTGCCATATTTGGAGACTCCGTGGTTTCCATATCACGGCATTAACAATAAGTAAACTTTGCCCAAAAGTTATCCATGGAAGTTGAGCACAAAACCCAGTGCTAGAGCCCTTGTGTAGCATGTAGAAGACACTGCTAGCACAGAAGAAAAAGTTACCCTGTGACCTGCCTAAGGTCTCACACACTCACACTCACACACACTCACTCTCACACACACTCACACACTCACATACTCACACACACTCACTCTCACACACTCACACTCACACTCACTCTCACACACTCACACGCTCACACACACACACACTCACACACTCACACGCACGCACACACGCTCTAACACACACTCTAACACACGCTCACACTCACACATACTCACACACACCACATACACACTCACACACACGCACACACTCACACTCACACACCACATTCACACTCACACTCACACTCACCACACACACTCACACACTCACACACACACTCACACACACGACTCTAATTCAGGTGCTGGCACCACTTGGGGCTTACAGCTCCCCTACCCCTCAGCCTTCATGTTAGAGTGTGTCGGGCTTGGCATGTGTGGTGTGGGCTGCAGGAGGAAGGAGGGTGCCTGCTGGTGAATCCCGAAGAAGGCGTGCTCAGTGCATAGGATGGGAGACAAGTCAAGTGAGTCAGACTTGCTTTGTGGTTTGGCATTGCTTCCGAAGTATGTGGACGGGAGTGCAGTCATTTTCCCGGGGCCAGTGTGTAGGTGTGGGGGCACGCTTCCCGCCTGTCTGGGCTCTTCGTGTGTTTGTCCTCACTCATAGGAGATCAAGTACGGAGGCCCCTTCTTCCACTGTGGTCTTCAGTGCACGCTCCGGCTGCTCTGCCGTCTTCCCGTTCAGAACGGGCGCTCCCTCGGTCATTAACAATGTGCAGTGCTGTGAGAGTTTCCTGTAGACCATCCTGTGAGGATAGTACCATTCAGAAGCGCTCATTATATTTCAAGTAGCTAGTGGCTTCTGTTTCATGCTGACCTTAGGTCAGCAAGATTTCATTGTAAAAGTGCTTCCTTTTTTTTTTTTAGATTTTATTTATTATTATTAAGTATACGCCAGAAGAGGGTACCACATCTTGTTACAGGTGGTTGTAAACCACCATGTGGTTGCTGGGAATTGAACCTCCAGAAGAACAGCCAGTGCTTTTAACCTCTGAGCCATCTCTCCAGCCCGTAAAAGTGCTTCCTTTTTATATTTCGGGTTCTGTTTGTTTTTTGAGACAAGGTTTCTCTGTGTAGCAGTTCTGACTATCCTGGAAATCACTTTGTAGACTAGGCTGACCCTCAGACTCACAGAGATCCTCCTGCCTCTGCCTCCCAAGTGCTGGAATTAAAGGCGTGCGCCACCAACGCCCGGCTGTTTGCTTGTTTTTAAGAATAGATGAAATTATTGGAATTTGGAGATTGCACAGGACTTCATGCATACTAGGCAAGTACTCCACCACAGAGTGTTTTTCCCAGCCCCTTTTTTTTCTCTTTCTTTTCTAAGATAGAGTCCTACTATATTGACCTGACTAGTATAGACCAGGCCGGCTTCAAACTCAGAGGTCCATCTGCTCTGCCTCTCAAGCGTGTTCTACCACACCCAGTTTAAAATCTGTGGTTTCTTTATAGCCCTGGCTGGCCTGGAACTCCCAGAGATCTACCTGCCTCTTCTTCCCGAGTACTGTGACTATAGGCGTGTGCCACCGCCACCATGCCTGGCAGCAAGGCTTTGTACCTTCAGGACCACAGTGATGCTATTGATTGAAGGAGGCTAACTTGGTTCGCAGGGGCCCTGGGCTGTGTGTTGAACACTAACACTCAAGTTGTAGCCCAGCATTGGAGTCTTTCAAGAATGTAATGCAAGAAGGGGAAAGAATGAAATTATGAGTACTGAGCGAGAGTAGGTATGTGCCCAGCTGCCTCTGGTCCATCGTGGGTGTGGAGGAGCCTCGGAGGGGGCCTTCCATCTCTAGGATACACAGCCAACTAAAGTCCATGCAGAGGGGAGGAAGCCCAGGCAGGGTTTGAACTTGTAATCCTCTTGCTCCGGCGTCTCCAGTACCTGGCAGACTGACGTTAAAGAAGCAGCTGTGGGGAGAGAAGCCAGTCACTATTGCTTTAGACTCTGACTTCTTGGGAGCCTTTAGCAGTGATCCATGAAGTCCACTGAGACTGTGAGTGCCGAAGGAAATCTCCGTTTTCATAGCCCAGATCCTTCTCAGTCATGCACCGAGGTCCTGGCTTGCTTACCTGCCCCCTCCACGATCTCCTGGATGGGGTTTAGTAATTTTATAGTTTGGAGCGTTTCATCTTTTTCTGCCTTGTTTGTTGTTTGCTGCTGTTGCTCTTGTTTTCTCCCTGGAGACAGGGTTTTGCCGTGTAGCTTGGGTGCCTTGAGCTTTCCAAGTGCAGGGATTAGTAGTGCACAAGCCAGCATACCCGGCTTCTGGTCCTCAGTTCTTTTTCTACAAAGAATTCAAGTCATCAGTGTTGCTATGCAAGTCCTCTGCTTCTGAGTTCAACGTCTAACCTCTAAATGAAAACTTAGTATCATTTAGTCTTAGAAGAATCTGGCTGGGAAGTGGTGGCACACACCTTTAATCCCAGCGCTCTGGAGCAGAGACGGGATCTCTGTGAGTTCATGATCAGCCTGGTCTACAAAGCAAGTTCTAGGACAGCCACGGCTACACAGAGAAACCCTGTCTCAAAAAACCAACCCCCCCCCCAAAATCTGGTTTTATCATTCTGGTATATTTTTCAAAATTTTAAGTAGAATGTTGATTCTCTGAAATGCACACCTTTACCGTTCAGCTAGTTTTCATTTTGACCTGCACGTAGGATCCCTGACACATTGCCTTTGGTTTTCCCATTGTTCTCCTTAGCCGGGGAGTTGTCTTTGGTCTCTGGAGTGCCTGTGCTTCAGTGGGCAACATTTTGGGAGCGTTCCTGGCGTCATCTGTTCTGCAGTATGGCTATGAGGTAGGTGTTTCTTTGATAGTGTGTGTGTGTGTGTGTGTGTGTGTGTGTGTGCACTTGCCCTTTAACACAGGGTGGCCTTGAACTCCTCATCCTCTTCCTTCCTCTGCCCAAGTGCTGTGATTACAGGCACACGCCACCATGTCTGACAAATAGGGGCCGCCGTGTGTGGTGTTAGCGATAGAAGGAAGCTAACTCGGTTTGCAGGGGCCCTGGGCTGTGTCATGAACACTGCCGCTCGGTGGTGCTTCGTGGGTGTGGAGGAGCCTCTGGAGGAACCTTCCGTCTTCAGGGTGCACAGGAAGCCTCTGGGGAGGGGCATGTTCAGCTGGCTGCACATGTGGCCGTCAGAATGGGGTGGAGTTGTGGATCCCCAGCTGGCTGAAATCAAAGTAAGCCTGTTCCTGTAGGAAGAGGAGTCAAGATGCATCACTTTCCTTCTGACCCCTGGCCCTTTGGAGTTACCACCGTAAGATGTTGCCAGTTGTTGGGAGTGTTTTAACTGCTTTGAATTCCTGAAGAGTCGAATGGCCAAGAAGCCCTAGGCATCCACCCCAAATATCCCTAAGGAGCTGGGGTGACACTAGAAGTGAAACTCTCCTAAAAGACGGTCCCCAGAGCCAACAGCGCAAGAAGCTGGGCGGCGTACTGGCTGTGCTACAGCGCCGGGTGTGTGGAGAGCGGAGCACTCTTTGTTCTGCTTCCAGTGTTTCTGTGTGGGAATGAAGAAAAAGAAGTCTACAGACTACCTGAAAGTCACGGAGGGTGCATTTGGGGCATTCTAACCAGTAAATTATTGTTACAGAAAAATCAGTAGGTGAATAAGGGAGCAACGGCAAGACTATTTTGTGTGTCCACTCGCTTTGTGAGACACAGCTTGGTAGCCTGTTTTGGTCTTGAGGCTGTGGTGCAATGGTCTGGCAGTTGTTGGCAATGTCTGTCAGACTACAGCTACTGTGCCCAAGCCGTCCACTTCAAGGAAGCCGCGGCACCGGTGAGTGTGCTCACACATGCGCAGTCAAATGCGGTCTACACTTGTCTCAGCACGGTCTGTGGTAGCCAAAGACTGCTGTTAAATGTCAGCCCGTAGGGAGGCGTGCACATTCCGATGCACCTGTTGGAGGATGCTGTGTAGCTGTGGCTTGTGGTCAGAAGCTCTGAACCGAAAGAGATCAGGTCACTGGGAGGATCTCACAGGCAGCAGTTCGGCCAAGCAGTGTGCCCTGAGATGCCGTTTGGAGAACTGAAGATGATTGTATTAGCTTGTATGTTTCCTATTGGTCCCTGGAGAGCAAAAACTATACTGTAGAGTATAGTTTCCCTTTGCCAGTTGCCTGGGCCCTGCCCTGCTGTCTGAAACCCCAAATAACACACAGGAGGCTATATTAATTATAAAGCTGTTGGCCATTTGCTTGGTTTCTTACTGGCTATCTCTGACTTAAGTATTTAACCCATAATTGTTAATCTAAGTATTTCTCTTACTGGAGAAAAGGGTCTGGATCTCTTACTCCTCTGGTGCCTACGTGGTATCTCCCTCTGCCTCTCTTTCCCAGAATCCTCCTTGACTCCTAGTCCCACCTATCTTGCTTTCCTATTGGCCAACAGTGCTTTATTCGACAACCAATAAGAGACAGACTTACAGAATGACATCTCCCATCACTATACAGCAGTGTTTTTATGTTGGATGGGTTGGAAAGGGATTGGGCAGAAAGAATCTACTCCACCTCTTAATGCTTATTTTCTTGAATAGATTGTCCAGTCAGAAACCTCAGTAATTAACAGTAAGGTGCTCTTTCAGGGAGTAGGTTTTTCGGTCCAGGTAGAAGCCCATCGTCACTCGCAGTCACCTTTTCCCCCTAGACTTTTTTGTATCTGTCACATCTGGATTATACTAATTGGTTCCGGCGTGAATTTCACTCACCCATGGGCTGCTTCTCTTGGATGTGGCTTCTGGAAGTACCACTTTAATTTTGTTGTTCACTTGTTTAAAAATTCTCTCAATAAGGCAGCTGTGCAGCCCGGCCACCGTGTCTTGCGTCCTGACACTCACCTCCTGTGGTGGTGTTCATCCCTGTGGTCCTGGGCAGAAGCCCTCCCCTACAGCCTGCAGTGGACGCCGTCTCATCCCTAGGCTGCCAGCCCAGGACGATGACCCGACCCCCCCCCCCCCCCCCCCTTAAACGTGGTCTGCTGTGTCAGCCTCCTTTTAGCTGTTCTCCTTTCGAACCCCGTATGTTTCTACTAGGGCTTGGTCTTCTTGTTGATGGAGCTGCATGCCACCTTCTCATATTGTGTTGGGTATTGTTTAATCCCCTCAACTGGATAGAATAGCTTCAAGGTCACATACTATGTCTTTGTAGGATTTTGGATGATGAAAAGAATGAGATCTGGGGGCTAATCCTGGTTTTTCAATCCTGATCATGTCATTTAGTATCCAGGGGACCCTGATGATCCTCTGTGAGCCTCGCCATGTCCTTAGGAAAGTGCAATGGGGAGTCAGATGTAAGGACACTTGGCACAGTGCCTTGCCTGGAAGGCCTGGCTACTGAGGTGGTCCCTCTCCCGCTGCCTTTGCTGTCCCAACCCCCCCTGTGGCTCTGTGATGAGCATAGCTGCGGTGGCCGCCTCTGTGTAAGGGCCGCCTCAGCCATCTCTCCTCTCCTCCAGTATGCCTTCCTGGTGACCGCGTCTGTGCAGTGTGCTGGCGGGATTGTCATCTTCTTTGGACTGCTAGTGTCACCAGAAGAAATTGGTGAGAAGTCATCTCTTCTGTTCAAAATACCTTACTGTTGGGAGCCAAGGGAAGTCCAAGGACAGGAAATGGGGTTCTCGGAGGAAAGCTTCACACTCTTCTCATGGCGTTAAAGGCACAGTTGTGCCCTGTGTATCGGGTCCAGTTCCAGCCAAGTCTGTTTCCACTATAGGGGTTTGAGGGGAGCGAGGCTCGCATCTGAGTGCAGGAAGAACTGAACATTCCTAGACGATTTGTGCAACTGAGACATTGCCTAAGAATGTAACATCTTGAGACTGGGTTCTTATAGAAAAATGATTCAGTGTGATGTTTTCTTACGGTTAATTATGGAGCGTGTATAAGTGGAGCAGAGGGGTGTGTAGCTCTTCTGAGCTTTGAGCTTGAGCCTTAATTGGCTTTAGTTTCCTTGGTCTCTGGACCTTAGCTGGGTCTTTTACAAGAGAATTAAAGCAGCATCAGCCCTGTAAGTAGTGATGTATACAAAGCCTAATACAGGACCAGGTCCACAGGCCAGTGCTCAGTCAATGCTCACTGTTACTGCTGTCCTAGGCCTCCCGAGTATTGAGGCAGAAGAGAACGCGGAAGAAGATTCACACAGGCCCCTCATCAACGGTGCTGAAAATGAAGATGAATACGAGCCTAACTATTCAATCCAAGAGGACGGGGCTGTCATCCAAGCAAAGGCAATAAGCTTTCATCAGGCTTGCTGCCTTCCTGGAGTCATACCGGTAAGGACTGGCATGTCTCCTTCCACAGCTGGCCAAGGGCCACGCTGCTTTTATTTTTCTTTTCTTTCTTTCTTTCTTTTTTTTTTTTTTTTTTGGTTTTTCGAGACAGGGTTTCTCTGTGGCTTTGGAGGCTGTCCTGGAACTCGCTTAGTAGTCCAGGCTGGTCTCGAACTTACAGAGATCTGCCTGCCTCTGCCTCCGAGTGCTGGGATTAAAGGCATGCGCCACCAACGTCCGGCTGCTTTCATTTTTCTAATATACTTGAGATGCTTGTATAGCATCCCTCAGCTTCCCTGATGGCCGTGAAAGGCCAGAGACTAAATACTTGCAGCTTTGATCTGTAGCACATAGAAGCTGCAGATGTGCATGGCCAGATGTGACCCTCGAACCTGCTGACCCTGATCTAGCATGCAACTACAAAGACAAAAAGAACAACTTTTTAAATTCGTATTTTGAGTCTGTTGAATTTTCGTGGGCCAAGAAGGGTTTCGAACGGTTCATTATGTGCCTTATTCGTGGCTTCTGGTCATTTGAGAGAGTAGGGAGTGCCCTGTCCAGGACAGGATACCGGTCTTTCTTGGTAACACATCCCAGTGTTTCCACAACCGTTGCTCTCAGGAAAGCCTCCGTCTGAGTGCAGCCCCTTCTGCTATCGTCTGTCTGTCTCGATGCTTTGGGCGCCCTACCCCTGGAGTAGAAGTTAAGAGGCCTGTAGTGTTTCCCACTGGCTTTCTGTGAGGCGTGGGTGAGTCGCCTCCTGTGGGATGGAGGCGCCACCCAGCTTGCCTGGGTCTAGAGCACTGCTCTTTGTGTAGTTGACGACAAAGCACCTGTTTTCGCAGCCTTGTTTTCACGATGCTTATGCATTTTCTCCCAGCCCCATTTCAGTCAGCCCGTAGGCCATCCTGGTCCGTCCCTCGCAGTTCTCCTCTGCCTCTTTGCTAGAAAAACTAATCCTTCCCACAGGTAGCCAAGTGTCAGTCAGACATAAGTGTGACACCCTGTAATGCTTGACTCCAAAGACAGTGACTGGTGTTGGAAAACTCTGGTTCTTGTAGCCCTATTCTTACGAAAATCTGCCTTTCGGCTGTTAAAATATTTTGCTGGTAGTTGCTTTGGTTGAAACAGAACTTCAGTTTGTTGTGATCAAACAGGAAACTCGTTTGCTCGTCCCTTTGTGCTTCCTAAGCCATTGTTCCCCAGCACGGGCGGGCAGGCGGGCGTGCAGGGTGGAAAGGAAGTGTAGTTAACCCCATGCTTTTGTCTTTGTAGCAGACTATGGACAGGGAGCTCTGCTGGTTGAGATTTGGTTCTCTACGGGGTAGCTGCTGCCCTGCCAGGGAAGCTCTTTTAAAACAAGTGGCACCTGGGGAATAGCTGGCGCTCAGGGGCAGGAGCGTACCAGCCAGACACCCTTTGAAGTCATCCTCTGCCTCCGCCTTCCCTTTGATGCTAACAGTCAGGGTCTCCTGCTAATAATGTGCTGGGTACAGGAGTCTCAGCCATCACCCACTTAAGGCCGCTCTTTCCAAAGAGAGCAAGAGGGCCAGTCATGACCACATCCTTCATGTTTTGGCCCACCAAAGATGCTGTCCTTTGTGGGATGCAGGGCTTTCCGGAGGCTGTGATATGAAAGTGGTCCTCAGGCAGCTATCTTTCTGTCTGCGGGTGGGTCACAGGTCACGTTACTCTCCATAGTTTACTGCATTAACTTGGTAGGAAGAGAACCAAGAAGTCTGCTGCCTGCAGCGTGAGCTGAGATGCTGCCCAGGCTGATTCGCCCCTGGCTGGTGTGGGTTGGCAGCGCGCACACCGTGGACCTTTTGTCTGAAGAAAGAAACGTGCGTACAGCAGCCACCGCCTTCTGGGTTCCAAACATTGGCTTCCTTTTACCAGAGAAATGGCCGGAAGAGAAGCTGGGGATAGTCAAGGAGAAAACTGTACATGGCTTTTCGTTTTAAGGTCTTTCTAGAAACCAAGGAACTAAAGAGAAGAGGGCTCCCGGCTCTCGGGGTCGTGCCGGGCCATTTGCTGCTTACTGATAGCTGTGTTTTTCTTGCAGTACTCTCTGGCCTACGCCTGCTTGAAGCTGGTGAATTACTCCTTCTTCTTCTGGCTGCCCTTTTATCTGAGTAACAACTTCGGGTGGAAGGAAGCCGAGGCTGACAAGCTGTCCATTTGGTACGATGTCGGAGGCATCGTAGGTACGCGCGTGCGCATACCTTCCACATAGCTAGGAAATCTCGCTTCACTTGGAGTTTTACTGCTCGCTCCGCGGCCGTCTTCCCCAACCCACCCTACCAGCAAACTCGCAAACGGGTGTGAGAACAAAAAGTCCATAGAGAGGAAGCCAGCCCGAGACGGCTGTGACTCACTCGTAGGCTGTCTTTTCTTAGTCTTTGGTTGATGGATCAGTCCTTTTGTCTTGGGAACACTCGGGAATCTCTTTAAATGCAGCCCCTTTGTATGCTTTCAGGGGTGGCTTGGCTTTGAAGCTGATTTTGTGAGAGATTCAAGATGGAGTGGGAATGTGCTCATTTTGGCTTCCTCCCTCTGTCCCACTGTCTCCGGTCAAGGAAGCAAACGCAGCACCCTATGGGGTGGATTGTCAGATTCCACTGGGTGGAAGGGCAGCATTTCCCTTTCTTTCTTGTGTGTGTGTCTGTTTGCAACTGCCTTGCTGTATACAGCAGATTTATTTTCCAGACTGGGGACTGAACCCTGGACTTTGTCCATGATATATATAATGTCCCTAGTTCTGTTTTACCGGTGGCTTTGTGGTATAGCCAGAAATGGAAACAAAGAAATTATAAACTTTTAGATAAGACCAACAGATGCGTGCTGTGGCCAGACCTTATCAACTCTGTGTCTGTGATGTTTGTACTCAGAGTAAGAACAGGCTACCCTGAGCACATGGACGGGTGGCGCAGTAGGTGGCTCACTGGTATTATATGAACTCAGCGATTGGTAGTCTTAGATCCGGAGCCAGAGGTGATGTAGACACCCCGAGACTTGTCTGTATTCTGTGTCCTCTAGAATTAAAGGTACCCGGTGCAGAAGGAAAGGAGGAGGTTTGGAGAGGCAGCTCAGGGGCTCTGTTGATAGCTCGTGAGGCGTCTTCCTTAAGCGCGGTGTTGATGAGGCCGGGCCTCACAAGCTCCCAAGCCTGAGCTGCTTGCCAGTCTATGATGTTCCTGCTCCCGCCTCCGGAGTGCTGGGGTGCAGGTTCCCCTAGTTACTTCACCATGCTTTAAATTAAAGTGAAGAAAAATCCAGGGGGTCACTTCACTCTGTTGGGTAGGGAAAATAGTAAATACGGGTTACGAGGGTTTTGATGGTTTTCTCTTTTCTTACTTTGACGCCTGATTTGTGGTGTTCAGTGTGGGGACAGGAGACTTGGGAGGGCCAGCTGTGTCTGTGGCCCCTGAGGAGCTTGTCTCAGATAGCTGCGTTCCCCTGATGTGTGCTCTCTGTGCCCGAAGGTGGGACTCTGCAGGGCTTCGTCTCGGATGTGCTGCAGAAGAGAGCGCCCGTGCTGGCCCTCAGTCTGCTGCTGGCGGTGGGGTCCCTTGTTGGGTATAGCCGTGAGTATTCCTTTGCGGTCGCCTTGACTCAGTGGTCAGTCATGGAGAGAAGCCATGGTTAGCTCTGAGTGCCTGGGACCTGTCATCACATGGTTTTGTTTGTGTGGGGAGGAAACGGGCGTCTCTCCTGCTTTGTGGGTCTGCTTAAAAGCTTGCTTGGGAGTGTACTGCTTTGTTTGAGGGGCGGCTCCAGAGGGGCAGCATTAGAGCCAATAAAACCATAAAAGAGGGCAAGGTTTCCAAAGCGGGAAGATGGTAATTAGTAGGCGTTGGTGTGTGCAGCGAGAGGGAGTGTGTGTGTGTGTGTGTGTGTGTGTGTGTGTGTAAGACGATATAGCCTTTCTCTAGCTTTTAGACATCTCATTACCTTGAGCAGCAGCCAGAGGCAGACAGGACAAAAGCTGGAAGGGGCGGTGAGAGTCATCTGTCTTTGTTGTCTCTGGAGGGATTGTGAGGTATCGGAGATGCGGCCGCGGTGCACTGTTGACTGTGTGTGTCTCTTCTCCCATAGACTCTCCGAACAATAAGTCCATCAATGCGCTTCTGATGACCGTTACAGGTATGGTCCTGTTGACACTGTCTCCCACAGATGGACTGAAACTAAAACCTTCACCTGTAGAACTCAAGTGACAGGAAAATACTGCCTCCTTTACTGGCTTCTCCACTCTGCTTGGGCCTGACTGCTTCAACCCTCTGGCAAAAGCTTTCCCTGTGGAGAGATGTCCTAAACATTTCGATTGCTGCCCCAGTCCTGAATTTAACTTCAGAAAGTGACTTAGGTGTCACATTGGAATCCCATCCACCCACTTATGGGAGTCCAGGACAGCTAGCTTTTTCTCTTGTGCCAGACGGGGTCAGTGTTTTCCTGAGCACTGGTTAAAATAGTTGGGTACAATTAAGGAACACGTTATAAAAATGTTAAAGTTATTTTTTAATTCAGCAAGATGTGCGACTCTGATTCCACTGACATGACCCAGTTTACGACAGCCAAGCCATACCCATCTGTGGGTCGGCCTTATGAGAGCAGTGGCAGATAGCGTCCCTGTGTCTTTGAAACAGGGCTGTTTTTTCCCCCTCCAGTGCTGCTTGACTTGGGTGGATCGAGCGTTAGGAAGGCTGTGTCCCGCTGCCTTGTTCTAACCCTTATATACATACATACATACACACATACATACATACCTACACACACACACACACACACACACACACACACACACACACACACACACACACACACACACGCTTTAGAAAAGTAGATAGCAGTCAGTTTGAAATACTATCTGGGAGCACTTCCTTTATTTTTTGTTTCTCTTCAACATGTTGATTAAGACATAGGGATGGTAGCCGGCGGTGGTGGCGCACGCCTTTAATCCCAGCACTCGGGAGGCAGAGGCAGGCGGATCTCTGTGAGTTCGAGACCAGGCTGGACCGACAGCCTCCAAAACAATACAGAGAAACCCTGTCTCGTAAACCCCCCCCCCAAAAAGACATAGGGATGGTGTTTTGTCTTATCTGGCTAGAGTTTTGGATTATATTTTTAACACGACCCTGTTCTCTTTATGGCTTCAGGGTTTTTTATTGGCGGACCGTCCAACATGATTAGCTCGGCTATTTCTGCAGACTTAGGTCGCCAGGAGCTGATCCAAGGGAGCAGCGAGGCTCTGGCGACTGTCACAGGAATCGTTGATGGAACTGGGAGTATTGGTGCTGCCGTGGGCCAGGTGAGAGAAGCTTGTGCATGCCGCCTCCCACGGTAGGTGGCGCTCTTGGGTCGTGAACCGCCGTACAGAAAGCCCTAGGTTTTCAGCCTCTGAGAGGTGGGACCTAACATGGGAGGCATCTCACAGGGCCATAGAGTATGCCGTCACCTCTGAGTGTAGTCTGTGTCCTCTGTGCCCAGACATCAATGACTGGTCCTAGAGGGTGACTCGGGTACCCTGTAGTGGAGTCATCCGGGATGCACGTCACTGGGGGTGTGCGAGCATGCTGAGATGGAGCCTGTTGATCTGTAAATTCCTGCGTGGATGCTGGAGAGTCTCCAGGCTAAGACTGTCCTAGTGTGGTAGTCAGAACGGCTTGACGTTTGCCTGGTTAGTGGGGTGAACCACGGACAGCTGATGCTGGGGGTCACTGAGGGAACGGTGGGGAGCTGTGGTCTGTCCTGGTGTTACCCAGCCATGCAGTGGGTGTTCACCAGCGTCTGCCTGCTCCAGTAATGCAGGCTCCGTGAGGGCAGCGTCATGGCTGCTCCTGGTACACAGGAGACATGCTGGTTCCAAATCACTACAATAAATGGCAGGTAGCATCCCTGAACCTTTGAAACAGGGCTGTCCTGTCCCTCTCCAGTGTGTTGGTTGACTTGGGTGGGTCGAGCATTAGGAAGGCTGTGTTTGACTATATGATTAGGGGACAAACTCATAAAAAAAAAAATAACAAGGGTAGGAGAATTACTTCTGCATGCTCTGGGGTAGGAATCAAACAGCTTCTGTCACCCATTCAGAAGGCTTCTTGTCTGTGGGGATGGTGAATAAGCATTTTATTTTCTACGCTTGTGTGTGTGTGTGTGTGTGTGTGTGTGTGTGTGTATTTGGGGGGGGGCGTGCATGCTGTGTGGTGCATATGTGGAAGCCAGAACAACCCGCCAGAGTCTGCTCTTTCTTTCTACTGTGTGGGTCCTGGAGCTTGAAGTCAGGCCTTCTGAGACATCTTTCCAGCCCAGCAGACTGAGTATTTTCAATCTGTCCTCACCAGGGCTGTCTAAGTGAGCCAGCGGGTAATTGTAATTGATATTGCAGACATTTTACTTGGAGTTTTCTTTTTCCTTTTTGCGGACAGTTTCTCACATAGCCCAGGCTGACCTTGAGCTTGCTATGTAGAATAGCATGACCTTTAGTTCCCGGCACACCTCCCAAGGACTGGGGTAAAGACCTGTGTTCCCTCGCCTGACTACTGGAGTTTTATTCCTATGTGTCTCACACGTCTGTGTTCCGATTCTAATGGTAAACGTGGGTCACCATCAGACTGATTCCCACAGTCAGGCAAGTGGGTCAGGAATGAATCATTCTTAGCTGTGCCCATTCCTCCTTTGGGGGTTTTTGTTTGTTTTATTTTTTCAGATGGTCCTGACTCTCCTGGAACTCAGATATTTGTAGACCAGGCTGGTCTCCAACTCAGAGATCTGCCTGCCTCTGCCTCCCCGGTGCTGGTTGGTATTAAAGGTGTGCGACACCATGCCTGGCCTCTTAGGGATTTTTTATTTGCCTTTGCCTCAAACTCTGAAGACTAAAACTCTGTTGGCCTTGTCCTTAGCCATTCCCTGGGCTGCTCCAGGGATGGTGTTGCCTCTGCCTTCCCCAGACTTTTCAAGAATTTGTTGTTTTTTCCCTCCTGATTGCTACGGCAGTTGGTACATGCCTCCAGAACACCTATTACACACGACGGTCAACTTGCCAGTCTGGGTCTCTGTCCTCGGTACCAGAGTCTGCTTTCCTTCAAAGCCGTATTGTTCCAAACTGAGCATGATGGTGCACACTTGTAACCCTGCAGGAGTGCGCTTGAGTCTCAGGTCAGCCTGGGCCGTAGAGTGACAACCAGGCCATCCACGGCATATCAGGAGCTAAAAACCTAAAATGAAACCAACTGCTTCATCTGCCTTTGTATTCCCAAAGCCTAATATGTTGTCTATTTTGTGTGTATGTGTGTGGGCACACCTGTGCTATGTCACACGTGTGGAGGTCAGAGGACAGTTTGTGGCAGTCAGCTATTTGATTCTAGTATCGGGTTCTGGAGATCAAGCCCAGGTTGTCAAGCTTGGTAGCAAGTGTCCTCAGCTACTGGCCATTTCGCTAGCACACACATTTGGGAGTTAGATTCAGCTGCATTGTTTACTAAGGAGAAATAAGGACAAAGAACAAATGTCCACATTGAAACTTAAACATATATTAGCTGCTAAATATAGAACAGTCCACATGTCCAGCGGCAGATGCATGCCTAGCAGAATGAGGCAGGCATAGCCGTACAGCGGGGTGTTATCCACCGTTAGGAAGTAGCGAAGGCGGGAGAGATGCCGCAGCATCAACGCGCCTCACAAATGTGCCAGGTAGAAGATGCTAGTCATAGGAAACACAGTGTGTGTTCACTCAGAGAAAATGTCTAAAACTGGTAAATTTACAAATGAAAGACGGGGCCGGTGTTTGTGCCGGGTGGAGTGACTAGGGAATGGTGGACATCTTTTAGAGTTGGTCATAACATTGCAAAATGGCATTAATGATTGGCTGCATGAACTCAGTACACTAAAAACCATTGTGCTTTGCCCTTCCAACAGTGGGTTTTTATGTTATACAAGTTGCACATTGATGCTTTTTTTTTTTTATGTAGAGCTATAGGACAGGTGAGATGGTTCAGCGGGAAAAGACACTTGCCATCAGTCCCTGCCCACCTGACCACCCTCACAACCATGGGGTAGAATGAGAGCCGACCTCCGCAGTGTGTCCTTTGGTCTCCGTGTGTACAGCGGTGTGTGTTTGAGCACACAGTTACAGGCAATGAGTGAGGAAAATGTTGTGTTTTTTATGAGTTGAAGGAAAGATAAACCCTCCTCTTTCTTTAAGTTAGAGTTAGAGTTATCGGAGGCTGCCATGCCCCTGAGGCTCTGGTGGGATGAGACTGTGCTTCTGTGGGTAGGTGAGCTTGCGCTGCTCTCCAGGCTGGCCTTGAACTCAGCCTTCCTCCTCATCCTCATGAGTGCGCCACTACAGGTGTCCCGTCGCCCTCAGCTGGACTTGCGCTTTCTCTGTTTATAATTGGACTTAGACGGCATCATCAGGTGCTCCGCCTTAGTTTTCCCAGCGCATATGTCAGTAATAATGTGGTCAGTACGGGTTACCTCCTCTGTGCGGCCAGGTGATTTGTAACACTAGTATCAAGACATTTAGCAAGGGAAAGTAGTCTCTTAGGCAGTGGTGTGGGAAAAACCAGATATCTATGTGAAAAGAATGTAGTTGGATCCTTACTTTATACTCTGCAACAACAAACTCAGAATGGATTAAGGATCTAACTTTAAGTAAGAGCTAAAATTGAGAAATTCTTAGAAGAAAACATAAACAAATTTTGACATAAAATGGCTAATTTACTGGGCGTTGGTGGTGCACACCTTTAATCCCAGCACTCGGGAGGCAGAAGCAGGCAGATCTCTGTGAGTTCGAGGCCAGCCTGGTCTACAGAGCTAGTTTCAGGACAGCCTCCAAAGCCACAGAGAAACCTGTCTCAAAAAGCCAGAAAAAAAAAAAAAAAAAAAAAAAAAAGAGAGGCTAATTTGATCCACGGGAAGAGTCTTAGTAGGGAATACAGATCAGAGCCACACTGAGGTCTGACTTCGTTCCCGGTGAGGATGGCTAACATTTAAAAGCAGGAAATGGGCTGGAGAGATGGCCCCGTGGGTGAGAGCGCTGGCTGCTCTCCGAAGACCCCAGGCTCAGTTCCCAGCACCCATGTGATGGTTGCAACTGGCTGTGACTCTAATGCCAGAAGATCTGTGCCCTGCTCTGGCTTCCATGGGACCAGGCATTCATGTGGTTCACATCTGTGTGTCCAGGCAAAACCAGAGCCTTACATTGCTGGTGTAAACATAGACAAAATGGTGGAGCTTTTGTGGAAATGGGGGTATTCTCACCCTCCCCAAATTAAATGTGCAATTATTATGTGATGTAGCATGGTGCTACTACATTATTTTTCCTTCTCCCCAGCTGAAAAAAAGGATTAATATTTGTATGCTTGTGCTCATTACAGTGTTAGTCATAGCAGATAGAAGATGGAAACAGGCATCCAGCAGATGACTGAATTAAAAAATGTGCTATATACATTCAGTGGAATTCTGTTCACCCATGAAAAAGAATGAAATTCTGATGCATGTTTACTGTATGGTTGAAGCTTGAAAACTTCCCAAATGAATGACTAATAAGCCAGATAGGGGAAAAACATTTACGTGAAGTATGTACAGTAGGCAAATTCACAGCTTCAGAAAGTAAATTAGAAGTTACTAAGTCAGGTTTGGTGGTACATGCATATAATCTCAGCACTTGGAAGACTGGAACGAGAGGATTGTCACAAATTCAAGGATGTCCTAGACTGTGTGAGTTCAAGACCAGCCCAGGCTACAGAACGAGACCCTGACTTTGGGGAGAAGAAAACAACAAGAAACCAGAACTTGGCTGGGGTTGTGGCTGCTATGATTTACAGCACTTTCACTATAGATAAAAAGATTTGAGAAGTGCACAACCAAGTGTCGTGGTTGTACGTCATTGTGGCTGTCGTTGATGCTGCCGACCCGTGTATTTAGAAATGGTTACAATTGTGGAGAGATGCCCCAGGGGTGAAGAACACCCGCTGTGCAGCCAGAGCATCATTAGGATCCCAGCCTTTAGGTAACAAGTTGGGAACCGCAGGCTTACCTGTAACCCCAACTTTGAGGGAGCCTTCGGCAGGAGGATTGCTGGGACTCGGTGGCTTCCAGTCTAGCTGAGAAAGCATGATCCCTATGTCCAGGGAAACCCATAGGCAGTGTGGTGGAGGACACCTGATGCCCTTGGGCACAAGCTCAGCCCTGCACATACGTGTACACACGCACACACACACACACACAGTGGTAAATTTTGTGTTAAATATTCCTGTAATAAAGGGGGGTGGGTGTGGGGGAGCTGCAGTAAGTCCTCTTAGCTTCTTTTCAGTAATTGAAAGTAAAGAGAAGCCAGGTGTGGTGGCACGCCTTGAATCCCAGCTCTCAGGAGGCAGAGGCAGGCGGATCTCTGTTGAGTCCAGGCCATCCTGTACTACAAAGTGAGGACAGCCAGTGCTACACGGAGAAACCCTTTCTGGAAGAACCAAAACAAAGAAACAAGAAAAGAAAGTCAGGGGAAAGACTTAGTTGGAATGCTGGTAACATTGTAACCCTGTAAGCAGATGGCGAGCTTGGGAAGGGAGCAGGGCATCTGAGGCTGCCCGCATTGAGTCAACTCCCAGCCGCTCAGGCCTCCATAGTAAGACTGTGTCTCAGAAGCACTTCACAAGGGAAAAAGGGAGACAGCTTGTTCTGAAAGCGTCAGCTCTAGGCCCTTCCACTGGGAGATGAGGAGGGACCAGGAGACAGAGGGTACCGTTCTCCTCCAAAGAGCAGACCTCTAGGCGGACAGCAGCTTTGTACAGAGTGAGCCAGCAACAAGATACAGATGGAACCAGGGTGGTGGACCAAGCATGTCACCAGCATTCAGACTGGCAGCGAGAGTTCCAGGCCAGCCTGGGCACCGTGAGACCCTGTCTTGAAATGGGAACTTGTGTGCGGAAGAGCTTGGTAAACGACAAGGTGTTGTTGAAACCCAGCTCCTGATTTTCCAGAGTAGTCTTGTCTAATCTCCTTATTATTTTTATTTTTTTATTTTTTTTTTGTGGTTTTTTCGAGACAGGGTTTCCCTGTATTGTTTTCAAGGCTGTTGGTCCAGCCTGGCCTCGAACTCACAGAGATCCGCCTGCCTCTGCCTCCCGAGTGCTGGGATTAAAGGCGTGCGCCACCACCGCCCGGCCTAATCTCCTTTTTAAATGGCTGTGTCTCATTTATTTTATGTGTATGACTGCTTTTCCTTTATGGATGTGTGCGTGTCTGTGACGTCTGGTGCCTGCAGAGCCCAGAAGAGGGCGCTGGTTCCCCTGAGTTGGGGTGACAGGTGGTTGTGATTACGGCAGCTAGTGCTTCTAATCACTGGGGTATCTGTCTCCGCAAGCCCTGGCCCCAGTTCCCTTGAGGCAGAGTCTCACGTAGCCCAGGCTGGTCTCAAAGTGGCTGTGTGGTAGAGGATGACCTTGAACTTTTGATCTACCTTCCATGGGCTGGATCACAGGCAGGCACCACTGTGTTCAGTTTATGTGTTCTTTTGGGGGGGGGGTAAACCCAAGGCCTTGTGAATGTTAACTAAACACTATCAAATCGAGCCTTGTCCCAGCCCTCGTATTGTTAGTTTATGAAGAATTATATCATAATTTCCTTTTTTCCCTTTTAGTATCTGGTGTCTTTGATCCAGGACAACCTAGGATGGATGTGGGTTTTCTACTTTTTCATTCTCATGGTAAGCGTGTGCTTTTCCCTTCAACCATTTTTCCTATTTCACCTAGGACATTTGCTTTCATCACTGCTTGAAACCACAAAATTGCTGATTGCTTTTAAAGACTTTAGTGTGAAAAGTAACGTTTGATTAGGCTGAAAAGACTCATGTCTTTTCTCAAGGCGCTAAAGGGCCCCGAGTTTGCCTGTCGCGACCTGAGACTAATGAGTGTTGCCATTTACAATTCCAGAGAAGCAAGAGGCTCACTCATACATCGCCAGCCATTAATCAGTGTGCTCCTCTGGGCGGCCGCCTGGCTGCCAAACAGGCCTTGAGAATGCTGAAGCAAAGCAACAGTGTTACAAAGAAGTGAGGCTCTAATTAACACGTCCGCAGGGGCAGTTGTTCAGCTACGGAGTCTGGGCTGAGACATTGTGCTTTGTGAGAAAAAGCCCGAAAGGCCCTGCTCTTAAAATGCGGCTTTCTGTTGAAAAGGTGTGTGACATACTCAGTTATATTGCTGATGGCACAGTGCTCAAGACAGGTCAACTCGAACTCATCTGCAGATGACTTACCCTTGAAACCAGGCATCCTAATTGGCCACCATCACCAATCCTAGGCAACTGTCCTCTGTTCCGGGGATGACCAGGATAGGTGAACAGGAGCAAGTCCCTGGGGCTCTCTTCTCCAGCCTCTAGTAACTCAGATTTGGTGACGCACACCTGTAATGCCAGCACTTGGAAGGCAGAGGCAGGAGGATTGTAAGTTTAGGGCCAGCCTGAAAGACCTTGTCTTTAAAGAAAAAGTGCGTTTGCTTCCAGGATTCATTTGTGGGCAAGGGATGCATTGTGCTTAAGGCCCAGAGTTCAGTTCCCAGCACTGCAAAACAAAAAGGCAATACCACAGTGAGAGTCCAAGCTACACAGCCCGATGGCCCAAGTTTGTACCCAGAATCTCTAAAAAGCCAGATGTGGTACATGTCTGTGACCCCAGAGCTCCTACTGAGCGGTGGAAACAGGAAAGCCATCCGGTAGCTCATCAGCAGAAATGCCAGAGTTGTGTGTCTGCACGGCGACCGCATGGTGGGGGACGAAGGCCACCTCCTCCACACTGTCCTCTGACCTCCACACATGTGCCGTGGCGCCCGCACACACATACATGCACATGTGCACCTGCACATGTGCACCTGCACATGTGTGGGTACGCATGCTCTCCTCCCCCCACTAAGTAAATACATTTAAAAATGAATAAAAACCTTGCAAAGGCCCGGGCGGTGGTGGCGCATGCCTTTAATCCCAGCACTCGGGAGGCAGAGGCAGGCGGATCTCTGTGAGTTCGAGGCCGGGCTGGACCGACAGCCTCCAAAACAAAACAGAGAAACCCTGTCTCGTAAAACCAAAAAAGAAAAAACCTTGCAAAGACCCCCTAAGTGGAAGGAAGTGCCTGCTGATGTGAGACGACCAGAGCTATTGCTGTGAAAACCCGGATGTGCTGTAAGAACCCCAGCTTCTGCAGGGAGTGGTGGTGCCCACCTTTAATCTCAGCACTCAGGGGGCAGAGGCAGGCGAATCTATGATTTCAAGACTAGCCTGATCTACAGAGCAAGTTCTAGGATAGCCAAGGCTGTTATATAGAGAACCCAGCCTCAAAAAACCAAAAAGGGAAAAAAAGCCACCTTTTGTCTGGGCTCTAGGAACCTGCTTCGCCACGGCAGTGGCAAACGAGGTAGTTTTTGGACAGCTAATGTGATATTACATGTTTGTGATCCTCACCCTGACTTTCAAAAGTTGTTCTCTAATTCGCTGAAGACAGACCGTTTTCTTTCTGGAAAGTCAGAATGTGTTTGCTCAAATCCATTGCTGATGTTCAAATCATGATGCTCTAACAGAAGTAAGCTGGTGCTTCATTTTTCAAAACTTTTTTCTCTTTACAGACAAGTTGTACGATTCTGTTTATCTCACCATTAATAGTGAGGGAAGTGTTCTCTCTTGTGCAAAGGAGACAAGCTCACATACTGAGTGAATGATGGCCCACAGGAGAGAGAGAAGGGACTCAGGAGGGCCTGTACGTCTTCAGTGCAGTCGTGTGGAGTCGCCAGAGCACCTGTGGAACCTCACCTTGTCAGGCATCCAAAACACTGCCAGCTGTCCCAGACTCTGTCGAGTAAGGGCCGAGTTATTTTTGTACACTACAGCAGTTACTGATGATTTTATTATTATTATTATTATTATATTTGTGAATGTACTGAAAGGAAAAGGAACCTGCCGACATCTTTGTTGGGCTTGTCAACTTATCCTGTAACTTTACGTGTCATTTTGGTCCTGGACTCTTGTCCTTCAGCCTTAATTAAGGGCTAAGGGAGCAAGAGGCAGAGTCATACATGTTTGTATTGATGAGAAGACTGCTGTGTGACACTCTGAAAGCAGGTTTGCACAGAGTGGGTCACCATAAAGGCGTCCGAGCAGAGCTCGGGCCAGAAGAAACCACGGCCCCACCTTGGGCAGGCTTGTGGCTGGGTCACCCTGGCTTCTGGAAGTCTTCGTCCTCTTTCGAGTGGTTGTCAGCTCGTTCTCCAACTTCACTCGCGTTTGACTGACTCCTAGGAGTAGTCTTCCATTCATGAACTGTAAGTCATCTCGAACATTCCAGTGTGGAGCTTTCAATCTCAGATTTACTGTCTGGAACACTTAAGACCTTCCAAGAAGCCGTGCTATGTAGCCATATTCTTGGAAAGTCGATCGCTGTCGATCTCTGTCACAGCCGGGTTCCTGGAGTTACCTCAGAAGAAGGCAAAGGCTCTTTGTTGCAGGGGTGTGAAGTGTATGTATTGAATCATGTTGGTGGATTGTTGGGGCCCGAGGCCTGCCCCTTTTAGAAGATGGTAGAGTGTATGTCTTCAAGACTGTGTTCTATACGCATCAACGCTTCAAGGCCATTCTGTGCATACATTTTAAATTATGTAAACAAACTTAGGAGGAAAATGTGCAATTTTGAGGGACACCTAATTCACATTGGGTCAGGGAATTTTCTTCCACTCCTTGCTTTATGCTCCAGAATATGTGTTGAGGAACTTGTATTTAATCTTGCAGACCTCTGATCACCTCCTGCTGAGTCACTGACATAAAGGGAAAACACAAAACATGGGATGGGAGGGGGAAACCCCAGCCTTTTGTAATAAATGTCCAGCCGTTTGTTTATTTAATCTCTGCTCAAGTTCTGCGCAGCCTCTCATTTTCCCTTTGCATGGAGCTGGGATGGAGCACGCATCGCCCACGCCCAGCGTGCGTCCCTCACTGCGCCGTACCGCGTCCTAGCTCCACCCACAACACAACATGGCTGCCTTTGGCTGCCCAGCACCGCCGGTCACTGGCAGCAGACGCTTAGCCCACAGCCTCGCCAGGGGGAGCTGCTGCCCTCCCTGCGGCAGCAGACTGCCCCGTGGGGTGCCCGCGGGTGACCCCTGTTGCCCCTGTTGCCATCACTGGCCCTGTCTCATAAGAGGCTGAAGGCTGGAGAGATGGTCTAGCCGCTTAGAGGATGCCGGCTGCTCTTCCAGAGGATCCAGGGTTGTAACGTGAAATGACTCAGACACAGATACTGGGGTTCAAACTGGAGATCAGGGAAGCAAAGCAGCTGGTCACTGACCCTTACCTCTAGCTCAGGCTGAAAGGGCTGATCAAAATACGCACGAGCTCTTCACCAAGTCTCAAACTGCTGCCTCTCCTCAGTGTGGCTGCAGAATGAATGCCTCTCTGAGACTTGATTTTGTCTTATATACTTCCCTAATGTTGGGATTAAATTTTAGACTGATTCACTCTTGTGTAGATCTGGGTGGCCTTGAACTCAGAGAGATCTGAGTCCTAGGATTAAAGGTGCGTACCACCACCTCCTAGCTTCTGGCTGTTGGGATTAAAAGTGTGTGCCTGGCTTCTGTGGTTTGTGGCTGACTTTGCCTTCTGAATCCTCAGGCGAGCTTTAATAAATCATAAATAATGTATCACTACCCAGGGTCAGTTCCCAGAACCCACATGACAGCTCACAACCTTCTGTATAACGCCAGTCTCAAGGGTGTGTCCTCCTCTTCCGGACTTTACAGACACTGCATACACACAGTGCACTTGTACACACACACGTATAAATAACAGGCCTTGAAAAGGTGGGGACGGTGAAGGGGGACGACAAGCCATGTGGACTCCTGGTTCCCATGTGCGTGTACCCACACACCCGTGCACACATGCTAACACATACCAAAAATGGGAGAAAGGGTCACAGTGAAAGCTGGTTTGAAGATGGATCTTCTGTCAGTTAAAAAGATAATTTAAAAGTTAGTAAGAGGCTTTTACACAGTAAGATAAAGAATTATTGAGTGGGAAGCATTTTGCCCTTCAAGTGTGTCACGTTCTGGAATTTAAAAACAGTAGTTACATATTCCGTAAGTAAGAGCTTAGGAAAAGAAAGAAAATCCCTTCCTGACAGCTAGGTTGAAGGACCAGAGTGCGATGATCTGTTTCTGTGGCACTTTGGCTGGCTGGTACCCAGGGCCTTTGTGCTGGCTATGCAGGTGCTTTAACACTGAGCTGCATCTCTCTTCCAGGGTGCTCCCTGGTTACCCCTAGAGGTCTGGACCGCACTGTGGTCCTTCCACCTCTGCTGGGATGACACACGAGTCACCAGGAGCCACCTCACCCGGCTACAAAGGCCTCCGCTTGCGCTGACTGGTGTTTCTGACTAACCTCCTGCCTGTCTTTCCTGCTTGGCTCACTTCCTCCTCAGCTCCTGAGCTGAGTGACTCGCCAGGATGCTCTCCAGGGCCGCCCTGCTCTGTGCCTGTAGCTGTCAGTGGCATCATCAGTGGCGCCTCCTTTTACCAAGGAGGACACCGTGTCCTCCTGCCGCCCACACAGACGGCATGTGGGGCTCACTGAACTTGGGAGCCCTCCTGCCTTATCCCTTCTGCTCTAAAGCCTTTCCCTCCTATCTGACACTGGTGACCGCTTTCTCTTTTTTCCAGGACTTTTTTTTTTAAACCCCTTTCTTATCCTTGACTTGTAGAGCATTTTAGTTTTGGGGGTTTATGTTCATTTGTGTATTTGGTGACTGTGGCTTTTAGGTGTGCGTGTGTGCGCGCGCGTTTATGTGTGTAAGCCAGGGTTGACCTTGTTTTCCTCGATCACACTCTATCCTATTTAATTTTTTAACTTATGGATACGGGTGTTTTGTCTGCATGTATGTACATTACGTATGTGTGGTGCCTTTGGAAGGCAGACAAGCCCAGAGGTCTGGAGATGGAGTCACCGAAGTGGCGAGCTGGGGATGGAGCCTAGGCAGCCAGGGTGTAACTGCTGAGTCTCTCTCCAGCCCCGCCATCTTCAGAACTTTTTCCTGCCTCCACGTAGGCCAATATGGCAGCTGCTTGCGTTAATTGGTTTGGTTGGTGGGTTGGCTTTGGTTTTTCAAAATAGGATCTCTCTGTGCAGCTCTGGCTGTCCTGGGACTCCTACAGACCAGGCTGGCCTCGAACTCATAGTGATCTGCCTGCCCCTACCTCCAAGTGCTGGGATTAAAGGCATGCGCCACCAACGCCCAGCCACATTGTTTTCACAATGTGTAGGGCATAAATCCGTATGAGAATATTAAAGACCTCTATTCTCTTTTTTAGTTCAAAATGAATGTTAAAAAAACAAAAAACCCACACGAGCCAGGGTGGTGGTGGCGCATGTCTTTAACTCAGGAGGCAGAGGCAGGTGGGTCTCTATGAGTTCGAGGACAGCCTCCAAAACTACAGAGAAACCCTGTCTCAAACAAACGAAAAAGCCCCATACATTTTTGTTGCAGGACCTTCTTAGAAGCTCATCCTTAGAACTCTGCAAACTTCAAAACGTGGTGAAAGGTGGATGTGTTGTTGCGGTCTCATGTAGTTTACTGAACCTCCCCTCTCCCTGAGAGCCTCCTACAGAGTTGGACTGGTTAGGTTATGGCCGTTACGGTGGCCGCGCACATTCAGTCCTCCCTGTCCTGCTTCGTTCTTCCCTGTAAACCGTCTTTGCCTCTCAGCTCTCTGTCTTCATTTCCCTCCAAGCTCACGCAGCACCATTCAGTCCGAGGGCCTTGTGCGAGCCGCCCACACCTCTGCCTCCTTAGGCAAATCCATCCTGTCTGCTTGGTGTCTGAGGCCCTTTTCCTCCAAGGCAAGAGAGACCCTTGTGTGGCTGGTGGTGTTTGGGTTTGAGAAGTTGGCAGGAAGACAACAATGGAGGGTGGGCAGAGTAGGCCATGGCTCCTGGACCTGGCAGACAGGCCCTGCAGTGGCCGCCTGCATCATCAGGCTGCGTGGCTTTGAACTGCTGTCAAAGTCCTCAGCTCTCAGGCTCCTCAGCACCCGGGAGACAGTTTTGGGCTGCAACGGTGCCTGTTACTCTCCAGGCTGCCTCTTCTCTCCAGCCTTTCAGGGTTCCTCCTGCTCACCCCTCTCCTCTGCCTCCCGGTCACTCTGCTGGTGATGAGCCTTTCCTGCTGGAGCCTTACAGAGAGAGAGCCTTGTCTCAGGCGCGGTCTGCCAGGCCTGCTGGCTTTACTGCCCGATCGTATCTCTAGTCCTTGTCACGTCCTCAATTCAACAGCGAGCGTGGGCAGCGTGTCCAAGGAGGCGCAGCCATCCAGCCGGTTCACCGACTTCCCGGGTCACCTGCCTCACTGCCTCTTTAGAACTTTTAGGTACTGTCTTAGTTACCCCCATCCCACCCCACCCTACCATTGCCCTTCCTTTATTGCCTGGGGCATTTCTGGTGAGATCACTTGTTTCAGCACGCATCTTCAATAAATCAGATTAAATGTGAAGTGCTAGAGATAGATGGTACAAAGCTCTTAGCTGGGAATATAGGTACTAATTATACCTAGCATTAACCTTTAGTTGCATGTTACTAATGGCATTTTAGAATCAAGAAGCTATACAGAAGTAGTTCCAGGTAATCCAGTATTCTTTTCTGGCCCCATGCACCAGGTACATGTATGGTGCACATATGTGTAAGTTGTGTTGATTGGTTTTTGTCAGCTTGACACAAACCTAGACATACCTAGGAAGATGGGATCTTAACTGAGAAAATGTCTTTGTCAGATTGTCTGTATATTTGTGTGTGTGTTCCTGTATTATATATGCAGGTAGTCTAATGGAGGCAGATACATTTGGGCTGGTGGACCTAGATTATATATGAAAGTAGGCTGAGCAAGCCAATAAGCTGCTCTCCCCATGGTCTCGCTTCAGTCCCCGCCTGACTTCCCTTACGATGAACTATGGTTGGGACATGTAAGCTAAATATACCTTTCCCTCATGTAAGCTAAGTAAACGCTTTTAAGCTTAATAGACACTTTTAGGAACCTTAAGACACGGACAAAACACTCATATACTTAAAGACGTTTTTAAAAAATCGGCTGTCCCCTTTCCTGTTGAATCTGCACCATGGGCTTTACGGCTTGCGGTTGAGAGCCCAGAGAAGAGACTGTT